CTTGGACTGTGGAGTTCCCGCTATCGTAGCGGGTTGCGGAGGGCCTTGCGGGGCGGCGAAAACGATCTACGAAAACTCCCTAACGGCTTTCCACAACCCGCTACGAGATCCGGGTTGCTACAGCCAAGGCCATCGGCGCGCAGGCGCGGTAGCGGCTTCTTCGTTGCGGAGGGCTTAGCGGAGGGGAGAACGCGGTCTACGAAAACTCCCTATTCACTCTACCCTGTGCGGTCGCTCACGTGGGCTCGGCAAAAATGTAGAACCAGAACCGCGGATATCCGCACTTGCTCCGCATCCGCAGGCCCTGGCATCCGTATCCGATCCGAAATCCGCCAAATCTGATTCACTTTTATCCGCACCCGCGAGTTTTACTGCGGATTGGATATCCGCGGATGATCCGCGGATATGCAGGGGCCTATGACAAATAACATTCAAAAAAATTACTTCTGAAACGCAATTTTGCCCCCAAAAAAGTGAATAATTACACTTCCGCATTACTTTTAGAAAGTACGACAATTACTTCCAAATTGCTTTGAGAGGTACGTACCCTACTTCGGTAACAATAACTTAACCTTTTTTTGTTTGGTTTTTTTGCAGGCAGATTGTTTCAGAATTTATACAAGCATAGCTCTCTCGGCGCATTCGTCATGTTTCGCGCCGTTATTTCATCAAGTTTATTAATCGCATTGATCGGGCGTTGAGGCGAGAAAGAGAGAGAGAGAGATGACGTTGGAAGAAAGGGGAAAACGTCGGTCATTATGCGCCTGTGCGTCGTCGTTTCACCTTCTTTGTTTAAAAACTGTGTATATGTGTATGCGCCTGTAAAGAGGAGGGGAGGGGAAGAGAGAGGGTCCAGGCAGTTTTTCGGCCTCACTCTCGTACCTCGGGGGGCAAGCTCACGTGTATATACGTAGTCTTTAATTTTTCCAATCATATTAGTTTGGAATTTTCCAATCATATCAGTTAAAATTGGTTCGGTCGTTAATGTACATATCATAATCTAAATCATCCTATAGTATTATACCGTCCGCCACCCTGGCAAAGACAGACATCACGGTCATGAATGTCTGGGCTTCTCGCGTGCGCTTTTGAGACCAAACAGTCCCTGTGGGGTCGGATAGATGTCTCATTTCGGCTGACGTGTCCATTCATCCGGATGCTCAATTTCGGCTGAGAGGATCGTTTGCCTTGTACAGACCAGCTCCTAACGTTGTATTTGCGCTAGGCTATGAAAATAAATGTATATACTTGTGCTCCGAGAGTGCGTTTTGCTGCTCCAAAATGACTTGCACCAATGACACCACTGTACTCTACTTGGTTGTAGTCGCCGAGAGCTTGATGTTTTTCGATGTCTGTATGGACGACATAAGATTAACACACAACTTTAAAGGGGCACTGACACCCCAAAGGTCGTATTTATTTTTATTGTCTAAAACGATGCAAGTTGCAGCCATAGACACGCAAAAAAAAACCGCATCGCGAAAAAAAATTTTTCCGCGCGCACGCGCGCCCTTTTTATTTTTGGCGTTTGATTTTCCCCGCCTCTCGCCTCCTCGCTTCTTTTGATCGGTGACGTCAAAAATCAGGAAATTTAGAAGCTTTGTAGGCGAACATCTTTATAACATTTAATGACGGCAATCCTAAACATGTTTTTTAACGCAATTGCGAACGCACTACGGCCCTTCTTTTTGAAATACCAAAAATCGGGAGTTCGTTGTGGTGCCGTCTCCTGGATTTGTATCCTCCAACGGAAAACAGGCGACACCGCTCAAAACCGGTCCGCCGCAACGCCGGCGCTAGCCGGCGCTCGCTCCTATCCTCCTCGCTTTGGGTCGCCATGGCAACAGCAGGGAGTGGTGACAGGAAAGGGTACTCTCAGGTCTCCGCAATTTTTGACGTCAAGGGCACCGGCGCCGATCGCGCGGGAACTTCGAATTCGGCATTTGGAAATTGTTTTTTTACTTCACAAATACTGAATTCCCAAATTTCAAATTTTGAGGGTAATGTCCCGGCATCGTTTTCAACCGTTTCGGATAATAAAAAAAAATATGATTTTGATGTGTCAGTGCCCCTTTAATGCCGATTGAAACTTGCGCATGTAAAAGCAGTGTGCGAATTCCTCTGTTCAGAAAATAGTCTCACCATATTCATACAAGGGGATGAATAAAACACAAAAATAAAGCAAATGTATCAATCTGAAATATATGATACTGAGCAAGAGAAACTGTATTCAGAATACTATCACAGTACATCATGACAGTTTTGCGGCGACATTTCTTTATCTGACTGGCGGATGTATCTTTTTTCCTGCACCTATAGTTGGACAAAGGAGCTGCCAGGACGTCCTGCCCTTTACAAGTGAATGGCGGACAGAACCAAAAGAAGAGCCAATCTCCAGACAGTTATTTGTTATTCATTCTGTGGGCAATTAAGGTCAACGCGACAAGCAAACAGAAATGGTAATTGTAAACAGGCAACTGTGACTATCATGTGTAAAGAAAGCCTTTTCAACATCAGAAAGTTTTGATCTGCAACCTCAAGTAAATTGGAGATACCCAGCCAATCATACCTGCAAGTCAAACCCTTCCAATCCATATCAAGATGCTTGAGCTACAATGAGAAGGCTTGCCAAATTTTAAAATTTGGCCAAACCGAAGCATTTAGCTGAATAATCGAAGCGATCCTAGCGGCGAAATGCCACGCAAAGCATCTTGAGAACCCATCGGCCATTAAGTTTCGGTTTCGCTTTGCCAACGTCACCCTACGACATGCTGTCACGACCAAATACAGTGCTTGCATTTTCGAATATGATTTTCTTTAAATTTACAATATTGTAGGTGCTGCCTACCAACACACATATAATGCTAAACCCCTTTTCTTTTTCTTTTTTTTTTTTTTTTTGGGGGGGGGGGGGGTTGACAAGTTGGAATTTATGCGCATGTAACGAGATTACGAAGGCACATGGAAGTATACTGGCCCGGTCATTCTGTTCCACGTTCTCAATGTCTTAGGCTTTTAAAATGATCCGTGAGGGTCATGTTGCACTTTGGAATGGTAGCCGGACGCGGCAGGCCTTACTCCTACTCCCCGACAAGTCTAGGCAGGTCCTTACGGCCGCAGGAGGTCCGTGCTTCAAAGGGGGATATCGCGAAGATGAAATGGGTACAGTGCAAGTGAGCGCCGACTTTATTTTCATGCAGTTTTGAGATGCACTACGTGAGACCTTGCCACTCCTTTCCGTGGCCAAATAGGTCCCACAATGCAATGCGCGCAGTGACGCGTGCAGGGATTTCAGGAAGTAGTCTGTTGGTGAGTTTAGCCGAATAGAGTAAATTAAAGCGTTCGGCTGAAATGAGACTTCAGCCGAATGGACACTTCAGCCAATCCATGACACCAACCCAAGTTATACAATACTTAGAAGATACGGTACACATCCCTCAGAACCACGTTGGATTATGAGCTTTCTTGGAACTCTGAAGACACGAAAGAGCAGTGGTGAACTTTCAACACTGCACAAACTCTCATGCTTCTCATTTATTTGGTGCTGGGCTTTTACTAAGGTGAATGTACAAACATTGTCACCCTAAAAAAAAAAGGCAAGTATCCTTTGAAGAAATGAACCAAGGCCACCAGGAACCAACAAGAAAGATGCCTAATAACAAAAGTCTAAAGACGATGCTCCCTACCTTTAGTCATTTCCTAGGAGGTTGCACATGTACCTGAAAAACCCGCGGGCCGCTCAAGCATAAAATCCACCTGGACTCCGTATCTGAATCACGGCTTGAATTCCAAAAATTCTCCTACGGATGAAGGTCATATTTATGTCTTTCCTACAGATGTCATCCAAAAAAGAAACCACACAGAAATTGTGACAAATATCTATATTTTATAGATTATAAATATACAGTAAAATCGTATATGGTGTACATATATATCACAGCTTCCGACAAGAAAAAAGACATTTTTTTTTTAAGCACGCAACATCATAGGCCATCAATCAAAGAGGTTGTTGTTTTGATTTCATATTTCTCCTTTCGTGCTTTAAAAATGAAGTAAAACAAACAGCGTGCACAAAGTTTGTATGTGCGGCAATATCATTGAAACAAATTGCTGTTGAAGAGAAATAAGTTTTTTTTTCCATACTTTTACACTACATTACTGTCGTGTCATCACCATCCTTTTCCTTCTTAGCACACTTGCACTAATGGAGCTTGCAGCATTTACAAGCTTGCCCATGTATTGCTGTACAACCTGAGCAACACATTACCTAGTGTGAACACAGCGACACTGTCAACGCGAACAAGTAATCGGTGGTTTTTGCTGTCTCTCTTAGAACCGAAGGGCTGCCACAGAAACTACTACTACTATGCAGAAAGTGCTCACTTGGAGTTGGGGTACTTACTCAAGCAGAAAAACTTGATGCCCGCCAAAACCCCTTCAAAGTAAAAATGCTAAAAAGTGCAAATGTCGTTTTTGCGCTAACCGTGTCTGCAATGTACAAAGTGTAACCTCCCCCCCCCCCCCCCCCCCCCAAAAAAAAAAAGAACAAGTTTTTTTGTTTTGTTTTTTACCGCAAAAAGTAAACTACGCGTTGCCGAGCGACCAAATGTAGCGCGAGCGGTCCGAACCAGGTTGCCAAAGTTTCAGAACTAACCGTTATGTTTTTCAAGTTATAACTCATAAGTGATTTTCTCATATTTCCAATGGGAAACTGGCGGCCGACATAGCTCTCGAATACATGGAGCTGAATAACGCCAGTTACCGAAAACAGAAAAAAAAAAATAATAATAATAACGGGCCTCTTTTTTTATTGGAATTTTCAGAAAATCACCCATGACTTTTGAATGAAATAACGGTTAGTTTTGAAACTTTGCCAGCTGGTTCGGACTACTAGCACTACATTTGGGTGAAAAATGAGCGCTTAACGATGCAGTTTTTTTTTTTTTTTTTTTTTTTTTGCGGTAAAAATTTTTTTTGCAATTTCTTTTTTCTTTTGGGGGGGGGGGGGGGGGGGGAGACACCCTGTATATAAAAATTCCGGTGGCATCTTTCAAGCATCACCACTTCTTCCGATTTTTATTTACTACATCCGCGCAATGTTTTGCTATGACAAACGGTCAAACACTACACAAGAAGAGTGAATTCAGTGAAGGCTATAGACCGAGTTACCCAATAAAGCAATCTCTCAATGGCAGTGGTGTATTCAGGATTTTCTTCGGGGAAGGAGGGGGGGGGGGGGTGGGGGCGGAGGGGCTGAGGTGGCAGGGATGTTCATGGCTTAGGATGTGAAAGGGGGGGGGGGGGGGGCATAAGCCTCCCCCCTGGCTATGCCACTGCTCAATGGCACTATAGTCATTGACAGGCTGTGAACGACAGGGCATGTCGTTCAAATGCCTGGCCTCAAGCACGCACTCCCTGCCTTCCGCCGAAGTGCCATCAAGGGCAGAAAGCTTATGCTAGAGACGGGACAGCTGAGTCTTCTCCCTTCGATTCTCATCCTGTCAATAACCTTTGAAGTGTGCATTCCTCAACCAGATAGCCAATGAAGAACCGATATGTGCCAGGACAGTGTAAAGCACTCAGGCATTGGGAACAATGAAGAACCGAGAATGTGCCACGACAGTGTAAACCAGTAGGGCATTGGGAACAATCTCCGAAAGCACGTGGGCCCTCCTTTCGGGCCTCCAAATGAAGGAACGGAAAATGATCAGCAACGTCCCCAAACACAATTTAAGAGAACAAGTGCTCAGTCATTCAACTTTCCTCCAGTGCAACAAGGGCATGGCACCATTACCCAAGAGACTGTGTATGCTACAATGATGAAAGCTCCAGCCCCATATGATATAAATCTTAATAGAAAAAAAATCCAAAGAATCACATTTTCTAAGAGGTGCAAAGGAGTCAAACTTGCAACTTCAAACTTTGTTTACAGAATGCTGGTAGCTTGCAATTCAGTGTTTGCTGGTAAAACTATTTTAATTTTTCCTTTTAGCTGTAAGTGACCAATCTTTTTCAATATATACAAAAAAAGATGGCTAAAGAAAGTTTAAAAAAAAAGCTATTTCTTTTTCAATCCAAAATTTAATGACACAAAATTTAAATTATATGGCTCACATAAAAAAAAAAAAAAAATCTTAAATTTTTAATGAAACACATAGCTGATATACTAGCATCTCTTAATGGTGATGTGCCTATAAAATGCTAAGTGGTGGGCAGCAAATGCAAAAGGTTGGAATATTTAATACATATAGTGTCCAATCTACAGTAAAGTCTACAGCCAATGTTACCATAAAATTATGAGCAGGTTACCCATAACAAAAGGTCTGCTTTAGCCTGATTTATCACAACATTGCATAATCTGTCCAATACTAAGCATGGCTGCATGCATAAAATTCTACCTTAGGCATTTTATGAGGACTGGTATAAAAAGGCAGCTGTAGATTGCTCTGGTTTGTTGTAACTCTCGACTAAACTAAGACCTGACACTAAACCAGCAGCCTCGAGAGTCACCATACACTATTGGTATTATAAAGATTGTCACATAACCCCCTAAAGCCAGCTGAATCGTCAATTCAAAAAGTAGTCTTGGAAGGTGTACGAAAGATTAAAAAATACATCCCATTTTAACAGCTGCTCCTTGGACAACTGCTGCTATAAAATATGATTATCACGTACAGCTCAGTCTGTACTCCTGTCACAAATTATGTGCAGCATTCTCAAAGACACAGGCACCAGGGAACCAGACTGCAGCCCTACGAAATGCCTTGTTTGCATGATCACTCGCACTAAAACATGCTCTTCAACGTCACATGCTCACGAGTGCCACAACGCTATGCAGAACTGTTCAGATGAAGTAGAAGGTCGTTTAGGATTCATGGTAACAAAGCTGCAAGCTGCTACTTGCTGCTTTTACCAAGGTGCCACCACAGAGCTCGGGTCAAAATTAATTCATTACATGCACATTTGTAAGTAAAACTACTATTATACCCCCCCCCCCCCCCCCCCATTCTCTCCCACTCATTAAAAAAAAGACGAGGGTTCACCAATAAAGTCATTAAATCTGACAGCCCCAAGTGACACATTTGCAGATGGAGTTTGCATCCGAGCATACAGAGCATTGCGCCTTAAAGGGATACTGAACCGAAATTTGGAGCTCACAAAACAAGGCTGGAGCGATAGGTGGGACGCTGCAAAACCCGAAAACATCACTTACTATACAGTGATACCGCTAACGGATGGCCATATATTTGGAAAAGTGCGCGATAGAGCACGGCTGACGAGACATGTGACGCCACGATTCTCACTCTCTGCCACTCACCGCTTTGCACACTCGAGCAGGAGAACCGAAGCGAGGAGGAGAAAAGTGAGGCTGCTTCCCCTCATTCTCGACTGTTTGAAAAAAATTGTGGCATCACATTCCTCGCTTGATTGCACCCTTCTTTTAAAAAATTACAGCCATCCATTTGGAGATATTCGTAGTGTCTCGTTCAACACTTCTGCGGCCTCATTTTGTGAAATCATATTTTGGTTCAGCGTCCCTTTAAAGACCGACACGCAGCCTGAAACACTTCCAGAAAGGAGGGAACTCTTTCTCTTTCAGTGGGGTTAGCCCCCAGACCTGCGTCTTTTGGGCAAAGAAGATTGTGAGAAGGAATAGAGAGAATACTGGGAAAGGGTTCACCGCAAGGCAGAAAATGGTTCTGCAGGCTGGCCTTTAAGGCACGATAACTAAGTGAGTAGGTCTCCTAACTACAATTGCAATCCGGCATTTACAATGCAACCACTTTGGCTCAGCTGGTATTAACATGGTTGATATGCATAAACCTTTTTATGAACAGATCAGCAGAACTACCTAATCAGACAGCGTGACAATTTTCTTTTTTTTTTTGCTTGAGAGCACTATTAAAAGGCATCTCCAGTCATTATTTTCGAATTTGGGATTACAACTGTTTTCAGCTCAGGCAGTGTTCCTGAATTACAAGGTAGAATTCTTTTTTCTCGATATTGCATTGAGTTTTATAAACATCACAGCTCAAACTTTGGTTTCGGGCGTCTACAGCAAAACCGAAACTATTTGCTAGCGGGATGGCAACACTGATCATCAGTCGTACGATTGCGACGCAATGTTGCCGTGGTGCTGTGGTATGTGGTACAACATGCGGAATCAACCGCAGCTCCACCACAACGTGACGTCACAGGGGTGCTGCGGTACGCATCGCCCGGTGTTTCTTGATAAAATGCTAACCCGTTTTCGACCTGCTAAAGAGCCAGCTGGTCGCATCTTTAAAATCGGTTTTAGTGGAGTACCTGGCTTCGCCTTGACGTAACATTTCGGCTGTGATCATATTTCGTGCCACTAAAGCGATATCAGTCATTTATTTTGGTTTTGTTTTCGACCGGAATTGCCCTTTAAGGAGAAGGAACATTTAGTACCTGTACAATTACCATAAGGCTTCTAGGATGAGTGATCTCTTTGACATTACGACCTGACTAGTTGAGTGCCGCATGTCAGATGTTGCAGCGGTCCTTGCTAGCTCTACTGGGTTTCACATTGCGAGGACCACGGGGTTTCATAGAGTTGCATCAATTGCTCAAATAATGGAGCAAACAGCAATTTTAACTCAAGAGCATATTTTACTCATCCGGAGTGATACCTAACTTTAAGATAACAGTTTAGACAGGGATGTGCATAAAGGTAATCCTGGTTTTTGCCAATAGAGCACTGACCCTAACAGGATCGTGGAAATCATTGTTACAGCACTTCAAGTGCCTTGGTCGTCACTGCTAAGACTGCCGGGATAGGTTAAATTCATTATCACCTTGAATGATTACGAGCTTATTTATATGCTACAACATGCACCATAAAGAGATCTGACAACACTCTATAGATCAGCACCCTATCGGCAAAAAGCTGTTTTCCCCGATCCGCTTTTTGCTTCCTTTAAAACTGCCTCTTATATTTGGGTATGTCCTTGCAACTAGCAACATACACTTGCAGCTGAAATTGCTTCTCACTCCACAACATACGCACACTTTGTGGCTTGCTTAACACTGCATTCTTTGGAATGTGACACCTTGTACAACGCGAGACAAGATACGGTACATTAATTAGAGACACACTAGTGTCGTAAGTTGGGGCCTAGTAGCTTGAGGCACTGGCTAGGAGCTGGATGGCCGTCAGTTCCGACATACTGTCCGAGCCTGCCGTGTCCATGGTCGTCTCTTCGGCATTCATCTCGCACGAGGAGCTCTCCTGTCGGTCCGGGTCTGACACTTCCAAGGATGCTTCCTCTCCAGAGTTTACGAGAATGGTCAGCTTGTCGTCGATGCCCTGCACAATTTCTAGTGTCTTCCCTGCCAGCTCGGGAAGGGCATGAGTGTTCTGTAAGAGCAGGAGAAAAAGACACGTAAGCAGAAAGTGGGCAAACTGTGACAATCTCAGAATCTGTGAAAATGCAAGGCAAACTACCGCATGATTTGAAACATTTTCCAACCTCTTTAATTAACAAAGTCAGCCTGTCTATTTTCCTGTAAAGCATGCCCTGCTCAAATGGGGAATCAAAGAAACTGGAAGGACAAGTGAAGGGATCAGTGGACAAGCCAGAAAGGGATGCCACTGGAGGTTGAAGGTGTGAAGCATGTGTTCGCCACCAAAGTAATGAAAGTGTAGTTTGAAAGTCAAAATTGCATTGAATTACAAAAGTGGACTCAATATTCATGTTAACATCAGAGTGGCAAAGATGGCAAGTGGAGAAGTTGTGAATAAATAAAAAATCAGAAGTTTGCCACATTTAATGCGACAAACTTAATAAGAACGGTACAAGCCCCTGGCGTCGGAGACGGAATTGAGACTGTCTCAAAGCAGCGCATTATTTCTGCTTTATACACGTGCTAAGTTTGAGAATGTTCCAAACCAGAACACTCACTTGCAGCCAAGAATGGTGTGGAACCTTCCAGAAGAGTACAAATTAATAAAATAAAAACCAGGCCCAGCAAGTCTGAACTTTGATCCTCCGCATGGCAGGCGCGAGCGTTGCCGACACCGCCACACACGTGACAATATTAGGCTTGCGGACAAATCATTTGTTAGAAAAAAAAAGTGAACACACCACTTTCATTCCATCATGAATGTCCTCTGGGCCAGTGCTGCCTCCAGACTTGGAATGAGCCTTGATATGCTGCAAAGTACAAAATATTATTTCAGCTAGAGTACTGTTCCAGGTTCTTTAAAAGTTTTGTGTTTAGAGACATCTTGAAGCACAGTTATTCCAAGAGAGCATCAATCCCCAAGCTTAGAGTGTACATGCCAGGTAAACAGCCAACATTCTTTTAGATGCCACTTGGTACATCAAAGACATCAAAGACCGACTATACAATATTTTCCAGCTGAGTTGAAACTCTTCCTCTTCCTTTCTTAGAATTTGTCCATGAATGATGGAGCCTATTTTGTACAAACTCCAGGGAACAACAGCCCTGTTTCCGCGGTCATGGCCATGATCATTGGAATGAGAGGAAGTTGGGAATAAAAGTTCCAGATTAGCCTTAAAGGGGTAGGGAAACAAAATTCCAGCGCTCATTTTCTACCTTGAATGTGTTGCATGTTGCACCCTAACCTCAAAAACACCAGTCTTCCGTTGAAAAGCACAAGAAAACCCATTTTAAAGCTAAATAAACAATCTTTCAATGTGCACCTGGTGGTTGCATGTGGAGCCTATTTGGGAGGTAATCTAGCAACTTTGGGGAACTTGCTACGTAGTTGTGACGTAGTAGAATCCTTCGGAGCAGCGTCACTCTTTGGAATTTCAAGATTTTCCTTCTTAGCTTCCCTCCTAGCTCAACTCACAAATCGCGCATTGTACCAACCGGTCCAAGAAGATGGAAAGGAAGGACTCCCCTCTTTCTCGGACCCTCGTTCGTGCAACCGGACACAGCCATTCTCCCCTTAAAACATTAGCCCGTCGCTCAAAACTCGAACAAAAGTTGCTTTCCCCACCTCGTTCAGCCCTAAGCTGACAGTGTTGTGGAAGCTACGTGCTCCTTGGGCCAGCCACATGCTCGGCAGCCCACGGGTATTTCGAAAGGCTCAGTTGTAACGCACTGACGCTATTGACACCACCACAACGCTGACAACGCCACCAAGGGCAAAGCTCATAACCATGCCTGCCTTGCTACTCCACAAACGTGAGAAATCTTTTTTTTTCTGTGTTAGTTTGCGCCGGATATCCCATGACTCATCCCACTCTCCGTTCGCTTCTCTTCGAGCGCTTGCTTGAGTGCACCGTTTGGAACGAAAAATATAGCTAGTCGTTCAAAATACAGATGTGCGATTATCATTTACGGTTATTATCCATCATGCTTGACTCATTTCCAAACGAAATTTGAATATTTCAATTTTTGCTTCCATACCCCTTTAAGAGAAAACCAGTTGACCTCGTAACATTAACTTCCCCTACTAGTCAGCTTATAATACACACTCGAGGGGGCAACTATCGACATTGCTGTCAGCTGTTGGTGCAAGAAATATTAAAATTGACAATATACCTATAAGCACCTTATGGAATATCATTTTTAACCCTGTTGTCAAATGTTATGTTATGTGTCATGTCTTAAGTTTTGTTTTTTATCTATTGTGTGCAATGGGGATTGCAAAGTGCATGTATACGAAATGAGGCCATTGCTATTCAGTCCTCAATTACTTCTCATCTCTATGCAAAATTGCCAATTTGATGTACCATAAGAAGTGTAGTCATAATAAAAAGAGATCAAGAAGACTGACAAACTTGCCCTCGTGAAGGCGGTTTAATTTAACTCTGCTCTTTACGAGCTCCATGCACGGGATGTCCGCCAGCACCCCTGCAGTCTTTCATTATATTTCTAACAACTTCCCCGGCACGGCACTAAACGGTGATTCAAGGAGATGCCAGGCTCTTTAAATCGACCGCAAAATTTGATTTCTTAACCTATCCCGCTACGACTTTGTGCAGCGTTGCCCACATATGGTGCATTTTTTTTTGTAAAATTTGCAAAGAGCGAACTTACCTGAGGAAAAAGTAAAGAAAGAAAAAGGCTTAGCTCTTATGGAAATGCAGCGAAGCCACCGGTCTTTAAACAACACGGCGCCGTTTCACACGGGAAGCAAGCGATCGCGACGCCAACTGCCGCCGACGAATGAGCATACGACGCTGAGAGCCAGCGTCTTTAGCAGACAAGGAACTGCACTTCCTTGTTGTTACTGTCGAGACCGGTTATAACGAAGTCGGTTATGACGAGATAGCAGCTACAGCGAAGCGATCACGATTTCCCATTCCCTTTCGCACTTTGTTATAACCGAAGTCGGTTATAACGAAATAGCGGATATAGCGAAGTGATTTCCGATTCCCGGTGACTTCATTATAACCGGTCTCTACAGTACCGCGCCTGTTTTTGTTTCTGCAACTGTCACTGCCTGCGGAACGCGCGCCGCTTTTGGGTCGAAAAGATTGTCTGCTAAAAACGCCGGCTCTCGGCGCCGTATGCTCGTTCGTTGGTGACGTTCATTGCGCCATCTTTAGTCTCCCGTCCAAACGGCGCCGTGTTGTTTCAAGACCGGTGGCGTCGCTGCATTTCCATAGGAGCTAAGCCTTTTTCTTTCTTTACTTTTTCCTCAGGTAAGTTCGCTCTTTGCAAATTTTACAAAAAAAATGCACCATCTGTGGGCAACGCTGCACAAAGTCGTAGCGTGATAGGTTAAGAAACCGAATTTTGCGGTCGATTTAAAGAGCCTGGCGTCTCCTTGAATCACTCTGTGGAACCTCTCTGCCGGCACAAACATGGGCTGAGCTGTGGTGTGAGACTCCTTGCTGTTTCAGACATTGTTTCTGCTAACTCGTTCAGAAGGGCAGCATCTTCACTTTTAGAGAACATATGTCCCTCTCCAGCAGCCTCTATGTTTCAATACTTTGACCCCTACATTCATTCTAAGGCTTTCGACGGTAGCGCTGAGTCTCTACCTCCTCGACGGCACGAGCCAGAGTTCCGATGACATTTTGAGGTTCGAACGAAACTGACTCTGGCTATTGTTTCAAGGAAGCTGAGCATATGCACAAATGATCGGAACGACGGTAAGTTCCAAGTTGGTTGCGGTCAGGCAACAGGTATGGTCTACACCTACACAAGTGTCAACTGTACACGTCGGCCATAGTTGGGCCACATTAGTAAGCTCACCTTGTAGCAGGCGGACATTTCTGCGAAGGTCTTTCCACAACGCTTGCACTCGTAGGGTTTGATCCCGTAATGCCGATTGGTGTGCTCATTGAGTGACTGCTGCCTGGTAAAGCTCTTGCCACACAGATCGCAGGCAAAAGGGCGTTCTCCCGTGTGCATCCGGTTGTGCCGCTCCAAATCACCTACAAGGAACAAAACGTCCGACTAAACCCTCTCCAGGCCTTCTGCCACGGGCACTGAGAATTCTGCTGCTGCATCCCTGACATGATGCCTGTTGTGGTGCTGCACCAATAAGCAAGAGGGAGGCTCACCCCTGACACAGCAAACTGAAACTGAGAAGACTGCCTCAATTGGACCCGAAGGTTCCTCTGTCACAACAGATGAGCCCTTATTGTCCTAGTTAATTTTAAAGCCAAGTTCATTCAGAAAACACCCAGTGAATTAATATGGCAATTTGGGCCAGTTTGTACATGATCGTAAACAGGCGCCAAAAAACACAATGACAAGAATAGACATAAACACTGGCGCACTCGCAACTAACATTTATTGAAAAAACAAATTCTTTATACAGGCATGAAAAAACCCCTTGTCATGACTAGGCCCGGTGTAGACCTGTTTTTAGAAAATCAAATTCTTTTGTCAACCAGGGTATCGAAGTGTCACTTGTGCAAATATTGCCTTTTGCAATATGTGCAAATGTTAATTGCGAGTGCACCAGTGTTTGCATCTCTCCTTGTCATTGTGTTTTTCGGTGCCTGCCTACGCACACCCAGTGAAGCCCAAGAGGATATGACATTTTCAATTGTATACTTGCAATTTTTCGTGCTGAAGTGCTATTGTAAAGAAGCCTCATAATTGAATAAGTTGTAGTGTAAATTAGCTAAACAAGTGACAAGACTCCTACAGTCCGATGTGATTTACTCTAAAGAAAAACTCTCAACGACAATGGGTGTGAAGCGGTCTGGAAGTCCTGCGCGACTGTTCCTGCCATCGAAACACCCAAAAAATTAGATTTTCGTCGTCATGAGCAGCCCTTTCTTCCTGTCCTCGGCCCTATGCTGATGTTAGGCTTCGTTTTGATGTATCCAAACTCACAGACTACCCACAGCAGTTTACTATATTCTGTCAGCTCAGCGCTAAGCTGACAGTGTGGTGGAAGCCACATGCTTGTTAAACCAGTCATACATTGATGGTTACGCTCATACCCATGTGTAGAGAGCGGGATCGGGTGATGAAAGGGGCGGCTGATTAATCCGGCGAGCGCGAAACTCCCACTGCCCTGCCAGCTTAAGGCTAACTAGAATGCAGTACTAGGGTAAGAAAGACAGCTCTAAATCACTGATTGCCTAGGGAGATTGCATAGGGCAGCTGCCTAAATGCCCCTAGGCCTAGCTAGAATCTTGAATACGTTACTCACCCTTGGTAAGAAACTTAGAAGGGCATGTGGCGCAGTCATACTTGCGCACCCCTTGATGCCTGAACGTGTGCAAGCGCAGCTGCGAGCGTTGCCTGAAAGCCTTGCCGCAGTGCTCGCACAGGTGAGACTTCTGCCCCAGGTGCATCGCCATGTGGGTCTGCAAAATGCCATTCTGGGCAAAGCGCCGCTGGCAGATCTGGCACCTGGAGAAGGGGACAAGCGGGTCTTTTGTCAGGTGACTGACCCTTTGGATACCATTTATGTGACTGGTCAACGGATAGTATTCGGGACTCGCTTGCCAAGGGGTGCTGTTTTCCATTTATTGCTTTGTAAGATGCCACCACTTGACTACACTGGGGGCAACTTTCTGTGACATTTCAGAAGTGAAGAGTGTGCGTGCATAGTTCTGATCAGCGCTGAAGGTACGTAAGCGCACGGGCACCCATGGCTTCGGCTTTGTTGCTACAGAAAGTTGTCCGAATATTTGCAACTCCAGCGAACTATAGGGGACGCCACTATCGAACAAATATGGCGGTCTAATACAGGTCGTGCCGTGCCTTGTGCCAGCTCAACACTCAATGCTGAGGCATCAGCGAGCAAGCATTAAACTCAAAATGATTTGCCCCGTATCTGATCTTTCCCGTTTCAAACCTGCGGCGATGTGTTGGCGTAAGCAAGCTTCCAGAGGTTTGATTTTTTCGAGGAAGCGGTGAAAGGACTGCCTACTGTCCTTCCACGTTCCTGATGAACATTGATAAATTCAGAATGTCTGGTTCACGTGGTTGCGTACAGAGCAACCTGGGAACAAGCTGATACTACAGTTAAGACAGAGTCACCGGGACAATTGTTCTATCATGCAAACCACTGACAACATGTACGGTAATTATGAAAGCCACAAGAGACGAGCAGATATTGCGAAAAGACCTGTTCTGGCCAGTTCAGTGTTTTTCCGCTAGGTGCCAACCGTTTTGCTGGAGTTGCGAATAGCTTTGGTCCACTTCTGGTTAGCGAACTTCCCCTGATCTTCTCCCACTAGACTTTTAAATTTAGTGTACACAAAAAATTTCGTAGGCAGTGCCAAAATTGAATATTTTCCAAAGAAATATTGTGAATCCAGTTGCAGGAATGTTTCGTAACCAGAGATATAATACGACGAAGCGGGAGTAATCCTGGGCTATCTCCACGTGTATGCATCATGTGGCAAGGTCTGTTATACCTTGTCCGGTCTAGACAGCGGCACTCCTTACTTACAGCCTTAGCTATCGCTTAGAAGCAATGGAATTTTTTCTTGCCACGTCACTCTCAACAACTATTATGACCCCCGTGATTGAAACTTGCGTGCCCATATACCAACAAGGTAGAGGGGCTTAGAGTGATAAACTGGTATTCCGTTCACCAGGCAAAAGTGACCCCCCCCCCTGGCTGCTGCCATGTTGTATGGTTTCGACTACTAGACACACACTACAGTGCAACCCACTTATAACAATACATCATATAAAGATGTACCGCTTAAAACGATCAGTTTCTAAAGTTTCTAGACTGGACATGATAATTTTCTAGTTCAGATACAACGATAATCGGTTATAACGATTGAAATTTTGGGTTTTCTTATTATCGTTATAAGTGGATTGCACTGTAAATCCTGGGGCTTTTACGTAAAAATGAGCCAAGATTGGCATTGCGATTGCTGCAAAAAAACATGATAAACTATTTTTCAATATTGTTAGCCCCAGAGATCAGTGTCTAGCTCCGATAAAAACCCAAAATACAGAACCGCGGCTGACGGCATCTAGCGGAGCCATTGCGAAGCTGCCCGAGTTTTTGCCATAAAAGCACATTTTGAACTTAAACAAAAAATAGCTTATCTTGTCGGTACTGTTAATAAAGATCAATAAGCAATTAACTGTGCATGAAACTTTGTTAAAATCCAGACGTAAAACTATACGGTCACATGTCTAGTGGCCAAAAATGTGCAACATGGTGGCGGCCGGGTGGGGTTCACATTGAGCTGCCAGTTTATCGCTCTAAGCCCCTCTGTCTTGTTCCAATATACTCACGTAAAAACTACAGTGCAACGATTAAAATGTTATCGGCTTACAATAAATAGACGACCGTTTACGAAGCATCGTTTTTAAGAGGGCAAAAAGGAGGTGTTCTGCGTAACTCCCCGCAAGTAGGCGGCCTCAAGGGCCATAGACCTAACTAGTCTGGAAATTCCTCCAATTTGAACTTGGAGCAAAGAGGCCAACTTGGTGAGATTGGGCTGCCTCTTTAGAAGGAGCTAAAGCATCTAGGAGAGGTGAGGCTGCTGCGACCCCTCCAAGCAGCAGTGGGAGGGAAAAACTACTCTAAAAGCGAAGGCCCTAAAAGAGCATGCCTTTTCACTCTAGTCTGGCCATGGTTATACACAGGATCTCACGTTTTTGTTATATATTGATACACCTTGAAAAGAAGACCCCCAGCTAATTTAATCAAAAAAGGGAAAAATAAAAAGACCTTGAAATAGACCCTTTCCGAAATTCAGCGCCATCTGGTGGCTCGTAAAGCAGTTCAGGTTTTGCCATATCAATGGCGGAAATGAACATGTATCGGCATCGTCACTTTCGCAAGTCAACGGCACGCAAGGAATTGCTCAGTGTGAGTTCTTTCTCTATCACTTTCAGTTCAATGGTGACCAAGAACCTGCATTCAGAAAAAAGCTCAAACCCACTCAGATGCCTCGAGAAAATTCCATACACCAAAGTGCTTCAAAGTTGATTGTGTGCCGCCCACAGATTGCTCAGTTATTAGAAATAAACGCTTACGTTGCCCTTGTGTTCCATTCCTACGTCGCGTCGTACTGACCCCCCGAATGTACAGGCCTCGCATCATCCACTTAGGAGCATTTTCAACGTCTTCCTTTATCAGTCACTAGAAGGCCGCCATTGGTATGGCACACATGCCGTTCCACAGATGTTGATAGTGATCAAAGTGGCCAGACTGAATTTCGAAAAGGGTCTATTGAGCTGTCCTCAAACAAGAAAGGAATAAGTTCTGGAACACAGAACGCACTGAACTGTCCGTGAGGCTGCTTTTCTCGTCCGAAACCATAGCCCTCCCCATTTCCTTCTTTTATTGGTACTGGGATGTTTTCCATGTATAGGATGTTTCAAGTGGATATTCCACTGTAAAACGAGCCGGAAAAATCTATGCCTGCACATAGAAAGCTCAAACTTCCACCGAATGTGCACCGAGCAGGTCAGTCTTATCGTGTGGAATTTCAAGGCGCAGTTCTCTTCCTGTAAAAGAAATGAAAGGAAATACCTTGCCAAAGTATACGTTTGACGCGTTTGCAGACGACCAGGTTACCGAAGCTCTTAACTTGTGGCGCCATCTCCTGACAGGCGCAGCAAGCAAATAACAGAGTGCAACATCCGCTTGCTGCACCATTCGGAAGATGGCGCCACAAGTTAAAAGCGCTGGTAACTTGGTCGTCTGCGAACGTGGACTTCGGCAAGCTTCTTGCTTTCATTTTTTACAGGAAGAGAAGTATGCCTTGAAATTTTGCACAGCAAGACTGACCTGCTCAGTGCACATTCGGTGAAAATTTGAACTTTCTATGAGCGGGTGCCGATTTTTTTGGCTCGTTTTACAACAGAAGGTCCACTTGGAACACCCTATATTTGAGACACGTGCATGTTCCCTGGAGGAATTTACGAAGAGAGGTAGGGCGACCTTCTCCAATTCATATACGTCTTCCAGTGGCCGTTCTTGAAGTGCGAGCGCCACTCAAAACACCTTGCACGACTTGCTGCTTTTTCGCCAAGAGCCTGGCAAATCATATAAAAAACCTTTGTTTCAGATTTTCCAAGTTTCACATAGAATTTATATTCGCTCTTCGCTCTAGTTTGCAACTTCATGCTGAAATCAGCCATTTGCTCGTGCATGTGGTCACAGAAACTCGCATAGTGCAGTTTCAAATATTTGCAAACCGACGGCCTTCGGCACGATTCACAAAGGTCCCCTGCCTTCGACGGCTGCGTGCGTACTCAACGTGTATCAAAGTGCTATGCCACGAAACTAGCCTTTAACCTTTCTGATAGCGCCTCGTACACTACGGAGGCATTTTGTTTTCCATTCTTTTTTAGAGCGCAGCTCTTAGGGGCCCATTTCCAGCTTGAGCGGCATCGCCGTCGCCGTAAACGTAACCACGCGGTGCATTATGGGAAATGTCCCATAATGCACCGCGCGAGCCCCCCCCCCCCCCCGGGTCACGTGACTCCCCTCCCCTTCATCCGAGGTCACGTGACTCCCCTGAGGTCACGTGACCCCCAATGACATCACTGTTACTGATGACGTCATCAGTGACGTCACTGGCATCCGCATCGTCACTGATGATGTCATCAGTGACGTCACCGATGACGTTACCGGTATCCGCATCATCATCGTCATCGTCACTGATGACGTCATCGGCATCCGCATCGTCATCATCACTGCTGATATCATCAGTGACATCACTGATGACGCCATCGGCATCCGCATCGTCATCGTCATCATCACTGATGACGCCATCAGTATCCACATCGTCATTGATAAAGTCATCACTGACGTCACTGATGACGTCATCGGCATCGTCACGTGACCTCCCAAGGTCACGTGCCCCCCTCGAGGTCACTTGACCCCCCCCCCCCCCCCCCCCCAGTACCCTACCCTCCTCCTCCTCAAGAGCTACGCTCTAATTCGGCGTTACAAGGAGTTGTAAAAGGCTTTCACTTTTTTTTTTTTTTTTTTCACGAGCTTGCGTAGTTGGTATCAAGTACTATAAAGAATAACATCACCATAAACAGAAAGATATACGGAGCTCAAGTTTGTCTGCTTCTTGCACAGGGGTTGCGATGATGTCAGAACGCCAAGCTCTTATCGGCCAATTAAAAAAACAGTGGGCAGACCTCAATGCAGCTGGCATTGAGGTCTACCCTCTATCTTTTCAATCAAAGCCAATCGGAGCTCCACGTCGTTCTGACGTCACCGCAACTCCTGTGCAAGAAGCGGACGACTTGCTCTCTGCATTAAGGCAACCTAGTGTACCCTCTTCAGCCAGAGAGCGAGGCAGACTCTTACTGGTAAGGCTTCTCGCCCGTGTGCCTGCGCATATGGACCTTGAGCGTCTTCTTCTCAGTGAAGCGCCCGCCGCAGTGGGTGCACTCCCAGGGCTTCACACCGCTGTGGGTCTTGATGTGGCGCTTCAGGTTCCCTCTGGTCGAAAACGAGGCATTGCACTCGTAGCACATGTATGGCTTTTCTCCAGAGTGCCTTCGCTGGTGAACTGAAACACGTCGCCAAAAACCCCGTCCCCACTTCTGGCCAAATGTTGCATTTTCTGTCCGCAGACAATACACGTTTACGAGTCGAAGTTTTACACCATGCGAACCATCTACAGGTACAGACCAGGGAGAGGCCCATGGGAAGAGGCCCCTTCCCCCCCCCCCTCCCCCCCCCCCCCCCCCCCCGAAATTTTCCATTTTGCTGGGACCCTCCTCGCCCCTTTCCCCCTCATACAGCAATTTGTCATGGGCGGGCCCCCCCCGAAACAAAATCCTGGCTACGTGCCTGGTACAGACTATATGAGGATGTCTTTTGTTCTAGATTGTTAATTTTACGACAAGCGGCAAATTTTGAGAATGACAGAGTATGTTGATGATGCTTTATGTATGATACGAGCTTTTCCGTGAGCTAATAAAGCAGTCATACAACAAAGTATGCAGTGCATGAGAATTTTTTATGTACAGACTAGGCACTAGGTCTACACTGAGTGTGGACTATCTAAGGAAAATATTTTTTTTTGTTTTCATCCACACATTGCGGCTGCAGACTACAGTAGGCTCACAATAATTCAAACTTGGATATTTTGTATTTCTGGTAAATTCAAAGAAATTTTAAAATTTTGGTTGTCCAGCTATGTTTCTAATGTATTCATAAGCCGCCTAATTCGAACGACGTTTTCGTGTAATTCATACTTTTTGCTCTTGCAGCCCTGTTGAGTGCACTTCTCACCAGGCACCGGTGCAATGCAGAGAGGCAACACTTGCGGAGCTTGCTTCTGCGGGTGTTGCTTCTCCGCAGTGCACCGGTGCTCGGTGAGAAGCGCACTTAACGGGGCTCAAGCAGGGCACCATGAGCTATGAAAACGGGCACCACGCAGAAATTTACATAGCAACTTGTGCGGACGCTGTGACGTGGCGGCATGGCATAAGTCCACGTCCCAGCGTTCGCGCAAGTTGTTATGAAAACTGCTGCACGGTGCCCATTTTCATTGCTCATATATCCCCTGCTTATGGTTCACATTAGACAGCTTCTTGGTCTGATGAACAAACTTAATTTTGTTTTGAGCTGTAATGTGCTGTCTAAACAGTCCACAATAAAACTTTTTTTTTTTGAGGGATAAATAGTTTGTCATACATTTCAGAAAGTGTTTTGTGCGGCATACCTGCTTATGATCAGTAGGCCTATGTAGAGTAAATCATCAAATATCTGCTTTGTATGTGTAGCGAGTCATATGGCAAATCATAATTTTATCTTGCATCATATTTAGATAAACTTCTGATAATTCAAACGAAATTTGAGTCTTCCTAGAGTCTGAATTACTGAGTCTACTGTATTGTCTGCAGAATACAATCCGGAAAATATGTCAGTAACTGAGGTGCTGGGGATGATTTGAAAGGTGTAAATTAAAGGTGTGCAAAGATAAAACTTTTGACTGTGATTTGAATAGGAATATTAAAATTTGACAGCAAATTGAATGAACATATCTTAAAACATGAATAATTGAACATGGATGCTTCAGGAAATCATGGCTGGAAATCTTTTATAGAAAGCATACCCATGAAAAAGAACAGTTTTATTATATGAAAAACGTTTCACATACTTAGTACATCTAAAAAAGAAAGGCCTGATAAGATATTTAGGTAAAATATAGTCTACTACGCCAACATGTAACATGTCCTTTAAAAGCAGGGGTCCAATCATAATTAGTATAACCACGCAAGGATGACCTACAATAGTGAGCAATATTTCCAAGACAATCGAATGAAGTGAGAGGCTCTGTCACGTCAGCCATTTCTCCTAGCATGTGCCAGTGAAAAGCAGCGAAAGTAAAGCATGCAAGCTCGTGCAGTGCAGTGAAGCTTGACACGGGAAAGCAGAGAATTCTGAACATGTTATTTTTTTAACATTCAAAATCGATTACTTCAAACAATGAAAGTGTGCTGCAAAATAAATAGAATAGTAAATGCTAATAAAAATTATTCGAAAAGCTTAGAAAGTTCACACATCTCTTGCATAAATATACCAAGTTTCAGAGCATACTAAAGATGTTCCAGAGGTCTGAATTGATCCTAAGTCGTTCAATGAAACAACTACAGTAAATTTTATTACGTTGTGATGTGAATGTACAGTTTAGTTTCCTTTTACAAGTCTTAAAAAAATGCAATTTAATTAATATATATATTTTTTTAATTCTAAGCATGTGTAAATAGCAACTTTCGGGACCAAATCATAAATAAATTAGTCCAATAATTTAAAACACAATCAAATGTTTAGATCAAATCAGATAAACAGATCGGAAAACATACACCTTAGCAGACCTTTCCATTCTAATTAGGTTCAAACACAAAAGTCCTTTACTTAATGGTGCACATTTTTTTTTTACTACTATTCCGTTTAATTGGTAAACCAAACACACCAACATTTGATACAACTAATTAAGTGAGTTTTTTTTATATTTTCACATGTTCGGTAAATCCCCATGGACAGCAGTAAAATGCAATTCTCCCTGTGCATGCATACCCAAAGAAAGTAAATGACAAAGCTTTGCAAGAAACAGGTAGACATATAAGAAGCTAATATATATATTTTTTAGATCTAGCAACAGAAGTATTACCAATGAGAAGCAACAGTTTACTCTCCAGTGTACTGTAATGAGTCATAAAAATTTCCGCAAATGGTTTATCAGATGACAGGGAAGCTTGACTGGGCTGCTGAGAAACTTCTGGGAGGTTGACTCACCAACAAGATTACTTTTTGTAGAGAAACGGGCATCACATTCTGTGCAGCTAAAGGGTTTTCGGTGTGTCCACATGTGAGCTGAAAGATAAGGTGTCAAGGGCATATGATTCAGATTGCCCAGGAAGGCAGAAAATTCCAAGCTAGGCAAGCAGTGTACACTGACTTGTAAGGGCAGCGGCAGTGGGAACTTTCTTGAGACATATTTCGCACTCCTTCATTTCCTTCCACTTTTTTGGCTTCTTCTTCGTCTGTATGACTATCACCTCTGTGGTATCCGCACCCTGAAATCAAGAATACTTCTGTTGTCATCAACAAATATTTATAGCGTTGATAATTTATTAGAGAAGAGACTACAAGAGAAGCACACTTGTTTTGCCTAAAGTTAGCATAATCTATTTCATGTGATTGGATGCTGCACAGCAAAGGTAGCACTAAATGACGTGCAATAAACAAGTTTCAAGACTACCTACTGTAAGATCCCGAGAGATAGCACACCTAACATCAAGTGCAAATCGGCTGAAAATATGGAGTGGGCTAACTTTTGGTGTACAATCAAGAAAAGTATTAAAAAATTTATATTTTCGGGTTATGTCCCTTCCAAGCTTGTTATGGTGGCGAGGGGCAACGAAGCAAAGATGACTGTTCTTCCCAATCAGCAACGTTTGCTTATATCCCGCCATAGCGAACTAGCCGCATTTACGCCGAGGCCATCACTGATACCAACACTACTATTACTAAAAGTGGGCTCTTGTACGGTGTTAAAAAAATATAGCAAATCAAGACAAAACTAGGCGTGGGCTACCTTTCACGGGTGAGGCATCTCTCGGGATTTTACGGTAGTTATTATTTTATTTTATTGGTGAAAAAACAAACTAAGCACCAAATTTTGATTTATCATAGAGCATTTAATATTATTTTATTCCTAGTATGAAATATGTATGCAAAAGTCGCAGAATTGGCATGAATGTTGTCTCTTGTTATGGTAACACTGCCTTTAAAGGGCGACTCCGGTCGAAAACGAAACCAAAATAAATGTCTGGCATCGCTTTAGTGTTCCGAAATATGATCACAGCCGAAATATAACGTCAAAGTGAAGCAGCGTACTCCACTAATACCGATTTTAAAAATGCGACCAGCAGTTCTTTACCAGGCGGCAAGCGGATTAGCGTTTAGTGAAGGATCACTGGCGCAGCACCCTTGTGACATCACATTGCGGTGGAGCTGCATTTGATTGGTTGTACTGTGCACTGCAGCACCAGCGTGACGTCAGGTCGTGGCTGTACAGCTGATGAACAGTGTTGCCATCCCTCTGGCAGATAGTTTCGGTTTTGCCATAGACGCCCGAAACCGAACTTTGAGTCGTGATATTTATAAAACTACACACAATATTGAAAAAAAAAAAATAATTATAGTACCTTGCAATTTAGGGACGCTGCCTTAGCTAAAAACAGGAATAATCCCAAATCAAAAACATTTTGACATGCACTTGAGGTTGTTTTTTTTTTTTTGCAAACCGAACAAAAGAGAATAGTACATGTCTTGCATTGTGTTAGCATCTTTGAAGTGTTTGTTAATAATGTGTATCCACTTTGGCTAGCAGAAGGCACGACAAGGCATCTGAGCATTCGAATGCATGGGACTGGGACATGCAAATTCATTCAAGGTGCCGTTACTAGTAGATCCAGACGCTTGTCAGCGGTAGAAGCTGCACCTTCATCACGCACTCATTGTCTTCCACTGGTCTTTGACTGCACGTGCGATGAAGTGCCGTCAAAGGCAGAAAGCTCATGGTGGAGGAAGGGCATCTACTGAATTTTTAACCTGTCACTGACTATGTGGAGCATAAGTTTCTATGATATCAGAGTGCCGAGCTCTTATTGGCTGATTGAAAAAAAATAGTGGTTAGACCTCAAGGCATCTAGCATTGAGCTCTACCCACTATCCTTCCAATCAAAGCCAATGAGAACTCGGCGTCATTCTGACGTCACCGCAACCCCTGCGCAAGAAGCAGACGACTTGCTCTCTGCATAGAGCGAATGCATTTAGATGGTAAATAAACAGACTGGTGGCTTACCTGACTCTTGCCATCTGCTGATCCTTGAACGTCTGGCACTTTTTTTATGAGACTCACCATGCCTTTCTCTGACTCAGTAGTGCAACTCAGCAAGGACACATCTGTGCTCTGGTCCCATTTTTTGCCTGTTTCGTCGGCCTTGTCGTCTGCAGCTCTTGCATTATTTTTTGCCGCGGTCTTCTTTGTCGGTTTTTTGCTCGTGGCTTTCTGTTTGGGAGCTATCGCATGTGTCTCAGGCTCCCAGTTCACATCCTCAGCAGCTTCTTTTTTTAACAATTTCTCATTTCCCGTAACCTGGAAGAGATGCTTCATTAGCTCCTGGCATTCAGAGTTTCAAATTCGGGAAAACAGAGTTGTCATATGAGCAGCAAAATTATCTCTAATGCAACATTGTGAAGTATAATGCCAATCAAAACTCAAAGCCCTGTTTCACTAGCCTCCAAGGCACATTTACATTTAACAAGAGTCTAAAAAACTAAAAAATTATATATAAAAAAAAAACAGCATCTGTCTGTGAAGTGCCATAGCTTATTGACATTACAAAGTATCATGATTATCTCAAATGTTACTGCAGAATGACCTAGATGGGTGAACCACCAAAGGTAGCCCACATTTTGTTACAACTGTCAGACCCTCTCTTTTCAACTACTGCCAATTTCGGCACATCCTGTTTGAGGCAAGGCACCCAAAGCTGATAAAACTCTATCATAGTTCGAAAAAAAAAAAAAAAATCCTCCTGGTAGCCTTAAAGTGCCCGCCAACATTTTTTTCAAAACAAATTTGGCTTCTTCGAGGCAAGTCTCTTAGCTACGCGTCGGCTGGCACTCTGAGGCTACCTGGAGGTTTAGCTTTAAAGTTATTCCCACCAGCTTTGACTAGCTATGCATTTCGCTTATGCATACTGTCAGAACATTGCACTGAGGCAGAATTCTTGAAATTCAATCATGAAACTGTGAGCAAAGCTGACAGTTTCATGGATGAATTGCAAGAATTTTGAAACCAACAATGCAGACGTAATATAACTGTCAGCAAGCAGGCAAGTGGGTGATTAATTATGTGTGACAACACCGAGACTAAAAGAGGAAGGCTGCTTTGCCTTTCCACTTTTCCTAGTAGAGTACTTATAGTTTCACAAGAAGTCTAGCCAAAGTCAAAGCTACGAGAGCTAGCTTTGTGCATCGAGCCCACCTGCCATGCTCGAGGTGACATGCTTGCACTTGTCGCTCCGGCTTTGCTCGCACTTATGGTGAAACAGTTCAGCATCGGGGTTGCCGCGTATAACAAAAATCTACCTTCACGGATGGAGGCAGAATCTCTGGCCCGATGCCACTCCCGGGTATCAAGCTGCTGGGGTTCTGGTCTTGCTGGGGCAGCTCAAAGCATTCCTGAGGACGAGCATTGCACATGGGCATCAAGAGGGCACCGTCAGAGTCTGCTGAGGGCTCCGTGCCGCTCATCCCGTCCAACCTCTGAGGCCCGAGTGGCACACTGTGAAAGGATCCCTGCACAGGCACAGGCTGCGACGGCGCGACAGATTCGAGTTCAACTGGCAGCTCCAAGTATTCCTGTTCATGGCTTGGAGCAGCAGTAGTTTCGCCAACGCTGTACTGCTGAGAAGTTTCTGCAATGGAACGTCACATTCTGTTGTATGAACTGAAATAAAGTGACAACATGGCAATAAGCAAACAATAAATGTATGTATTCGAGTTTAAGACAGAAGAAGAAGCATTGAGTCATCTAGTTATGCGGGGAGCAAGTTGCCTGCTTCATGCGCGGGAATAGCGGTGACGTCAGAACGATGCCAAGCTCTGACCAGGGGCGGATTTAGAGGGGGGGTCCGGATGTCCTGACCTCGCTCTTGATTTCTGCATGTGTAAAATTTAGGGCATGAAACGAGGGAGAGGGGGAGGGGGTTCCTAAACATATGGTACGCTGACCAACAGCTGACCCCCCCCTCAGGAAATTCCTGCATCTGCCCCTGGCTCTGACTGGCTTTGATTGACAGGATTGGGGATAGACCTCAATGCTAGATGCCTTGAGGTCTACCCACTTTTTTTTCAATCAGCCAATAAGAGCTCAATATTTCAACGTTATCGCAAACCCTGTGTAAGGATCAGACAAACTTGCACTCTGCACTGGATGCTCCCAAGGTATCACACCCTATGGCATCCGCCTGGACGTAAGTAATGACCCAATTGAGCTTTCTGGTTGTTTAACATTACCCCCCCCCCCCCCCCCCTTAAAGATAAAGAAAAATGCATATAAAACCCACATGCACGGGACTTTTTTGCAGCTGGTCAGCTACTAACTAACGGAAGGTCATAAGTGCGCTGGTTTTGCAAAGGCTTTTTCTGACAAGAAGCCAGTATTCTAGTATGCGAAAAGGGAATGATAGTCCTTTTTCCGCTCGCGAGCAGGTTGCACAGGGTGAACATATTGTAGCCATTGTTTTGAGTGATGCAACACAGTCCTGATACGAAGCTTGGGACAGTCGGTATTCTGGTAACATGTAGTGGCTCTAGGATAGCCCTTTTATTTGGCCAGTCCATCAGTGCACATACGTAGACAATGAATTCACACTGGCAGTATTTCTACATTGTCAACGAACATATCAACAAAAAAAAATTGCATGTGAAAAAGAAGGTTTATTGTCTTTTTACTGCTGTACCGACAAGGAGAGGGTTACAGTTAACAAATTGAACTACAATCAGCGATTGTTCTCAGGGCCTAAGGATGTTAAAAAAGCATAAGGCCACTTGAGTTTCTAGTGCCACAACCAATGGTCCTCAAGCCCCATAGAATTGAATTAGAAAGTAGGTTTCATTTCTATACATACATTTCATGAGATTATATTGGGCCCTGTAAACACTCCTGCCAATTATCAATGTGATGACTGATCTTGAGAACTGTATGTGGCCATGGCTTCTGCCTATTCAGGAGTCTGGCTCTACGCATTCAATGCTTCAGTCCCAAGTAGCATGTTTCCAGCAGACATCACAGGAAGAGTAGTTGGAAGTCTCCTACCAGCGTAAATGTTCTCAGATCCGTAACTGTGAGATTCCATGTACTGTGGAGCCATCCCAGATGTTTGATCGCCTTGATCGTCCATAGAAGCCTTAAAATATCACACAGTCAGAACCTGTTAATGTGTGCAGGGTGCGAAAATGACAAAACGGAAAGAGGAGCTGTCCACACATACCGTGGCCATGCCATCCTTCTGCATTTTGAGCGCCAGAGCATTGATGTCTGCGGCACTGTCATTGACTATTTCTTGTAGTCTTTCGGACACTACATTCCAGAACTGAACAGCTTTCAATTTCTCCTCTGCCACCATACCTGGAACTAATGCCACAGATTCTTCAATCTGAAAAAAAAAGGACAGATGAAAAAACACAGGACCACATGGAGGTAGGAATAAGAAGAGGCAATATACTGGCTCAAACCAGGCAAACGATAAAATCCCAAGTGAAGCCGGAAGTAGAGGTCGCGGTCGGCGGAAACGCACCTAAGGGTGCCCAAGTTCGTCCAATAGCGTCTTTTTGTTTTGGATGTTGGGGGTGTGTACTTCCAAACCAGAAGTCTCCCTCGGCCTCACCTCTGGTGGCATTGCCTTCAGAAGCTTCATACCTCCATGCAGGACCATGACTTGGGGCTACCCCTCTCGTTTTACATATATGGTTCCTGCTTTTGCTGCTTCATTAGAGCAGTAATGCAGAAAGGAATTTTTTTTTTTTTTTTTTTTTTTTTTTTTGGGGGGGGGGGGGGGGGAGGGTGTTGAGGCGGCTGGGATGTCTATAACTTGGAGTGCGGAGAAGGGGAGTGGGGGGGGAGGTCAAAATGCATGTTTATATAATATGGTCGGCCAGATTTAAAGGGGGGGGGGGGGGGGGGCTGAAGCCCCATAAGCTCCCCCGCCCGGCCAATTCGTCGAAAACCCATTGGTCGATGGACAATTCGTTGAATAGGGCAATTCACTCTAGGCCAATTCGCAAAACGGAGGATTGGGCAAAAGTGCCCGTTCGTTGAACTAGGTCGAACAAATGAAAAGAGTTGCACGGGCGTCTAGATTTACCCGGGGACGTTGGCGGTAAACAATGGGACCCTGTTTGCCAAAAATAAAGAATTACAAATTCAGTTCTTAGAATTTACAAGGGTCCGGTAGTGAATCGTAAATATTCGGGTCGTTCAAAATTATAAAAGCCGGGCTCTCCGTGAAGACATTCACTCGACTCTACCATCATGGAATTCGGGAAGACCGAGCAAAAAGCTAATCTTCTGATCCTGGATGGTTATATGTACACTTGTAATACACGTACAGCCATCACCACCTTGCTGTTGGTACAGCCACCACAGCGTACTGGATTTGTCAGCAAAGAAAAGTCTGCAAGGCTACGTTGGCTAACAACCTCGAAGGCACAGCTATCGCAAGACAATAAAACCTGTTTTCGCAGTTATTCTTCCTACAACTTCGTAAAGACAAAATTTGTACGGCTTGTACGGAACTAGAAAAAGCTCACTTGCAATTATTCTTTTTGACCTACATAATTTCTTCGCAACATCATTTAGTCATGAATTTACAAAAAGGCTACATCGAGGAAGCAGTTTATGTTTGTAAATCATCGCTCTTTTTCTTAATGTCCATATTCATATTTGTATTTGCAAGTCGGCGAGTCGTGGCAAAATTTCCTTCTAGGCTCAAAAGCGCATCACTCCAACTTTGTTACAGTTCTTTCGACGAACATTTTTGCGAACGGGCCGCTTTGACGAATTCACCTAGCGCGAATCGCCCCATTCGACGCATTGTCCGCCGACGAATGAGCTTTCAACGAATTGTCCTAGAACCCCCCCCTCCTTGGGTATGCCCCTGCATTAGAATGGTGAAAAATTATCAAATCATTGCAGTATAACTAGGGTGTGTACTTTCCGGTGTTTATTTGTGAGAAAAATCGGCGGATGTTTTTCGGTGTTTATTTATTTTCGAAACACCGGTGTATTTCGGTGGAACGTCTCACGGCGAGGCTAAAATCGGTGATTATCGGTGGAAAAAAATGTGATTTATCACAGACAAAGAGTTATAATTTTATTAACATATTTCATACACTTCTCGAGAAAGCATATATTTCTCACACTTGGATATTATAGTGGATGCAAGCATACTTCGAGAGGTTTGCATCCATCATGGCAGCACGTTCCTTGCGGTTCACAACCCGCAATTTTGAAAACACACGCTCCACATTTTCGCTGGACACACGAAATCCCAAAATGTCCAGCCAGGCTTGGGACAGCAGACTCCAGTCAGGTAAATGAAGTTTCCAAAATAACACTGGATCAACGGTGCTAGTCACAGCATACTGGCGGTAACAAAGAAACTCTGATTGTAGGTCACTCAGCTAGCTCTCGTCTCGGAGGACCAGCCGATAGATACTTTCATAAGGCACAGATCCCTCTGGCAGCTCCACGTTTATGCACAGATTAACAATTGGCACGCGGAACCAGAACGACGATTCATCCATGAAATCTGTAGCGTAGTCATCCTGAGCTTTCCGCTTACTTCCCATCCTGGTGGCCTTCTACTCCGCGTGACGACGAAGGGAAGCAAGTCTCGCGTTGAGAAAACCCGCAGACACGGGACGGACGCGCCTTCTCAAACACGTCTGCAAATTTTTTTACAGAACGGTTCTTTTATATACAGCGAAAAACTCCACCACCAACAAAACCTTTTTTCCGTTTCCCCAAAAGCCCATAGAAACTAAACAGATAACAAGGAACGCATCTCAGTTCTGAAAGTTCAGTAGCCCTGTACGACACGGACGTTGGCATTCCCTTCCAGGAACCACAGCAACCTCTGAATACATGGCTTGCACCGACATTACTTGGCCAGACACAATGGAGAAAAGGCACGTGAAAGCGTACCCTCCGCTGCGTTAATTTTTCCACAAAAGGGGGCCATGAACGACACAATGGGGGAAAGGCGTGTGAGAGCTTAGCTTTCACTGCGTTAACTATACGCGTTTCACCCCCAGAAAGGAGGGCGGACTGACGCCACGTGCAAGCCATGTATAGACACTGAAAGAATGCAGGATCCACGAGATAACACGTTTGACGAACTTCTACGGGGAAAGGGTTTCGCTAGGTCGGAAACGTGCAACGACCGGTGTTTTTCGGTTTTAACCGGGGCGAAAATATCCAACCACCGGTGTTTTTCGGTTTTAACCGATTTTGTATTTTCGTCACCGACGGATGTTTATCGGTGTTTTTCGGTTAAAACCGGAAAATACACACCCTAAGTATAACCTCAGATGTCTAAATTGGTTTAAAAAAAAATTGTAAAATACAGAGGGAGCGCCTAACCCACTTTGACTGAAAACTGGATTAATCTAAACATGGGCACTTGTCCAGTCAGAATTCTGAAGTTTGGAAAATGTTAATAGTGGGCCCTTGAATTGAACGAGGCGGGTGCTTCTGCGCTAGTTTACGGTGGTATAATTGTCCCCCTTTTTGTACCATAAACAATAGAGCATTTAAAATATTCGATTGCCAGCACAGTATTGACAGTATCACATTCAAATTGGATGCTATGCGAATGATCGAATGCACATTTGTGGATACGTCGCTGGTTCTAAACAACTCGTTTTATTTTATTTTATTATTTTAAATTTTACAATAACTTTGGTTTTAGCGGGAAAGTTTCCAGGGGAAACCGGCGCATATCGAGCGCGCATAACGCTGCCAGCTAAACCAGCGGCGCTTCCCCCAAATAATGGTTGATGGATTAATCACGCATCAGCACCAGGAAAAACTACTCCATTTGCTCGGCGTGCGCGATGCGTGGGGTAGCGTAGGAGGGAACGGCTCTGTAAGCTCGGTTCACTGGTCACCATGACGCCGAAAACCTCCATAAACAGCCCGTAACAACGTGTCGAGAACCATTTAGCGTCGCAGCACCAGCGGATATTGAATTCAACGCTGCGAGAGACGCCTTTGTTCCCGACCGAAGGTGAGCTCCTCCGATGCGCAACGCTCGCCATGTCGCTGAACATTGCTACCGATCATTTGCGGAACATACCTTGGTTTTAAATGCGAGCAGTAGCGACGACGCTCTGGCCACAGCCATGTTTCGTCAACACTGGTGAGGATTATGGTATTTCCGCGTCTCTGTCCCTAAAACTTCATAAATTGTTTTCTGTTCGGTGTTCCGCCATGATTTATTCGTGCAATCCCCCTAGCGGCCTTCGTAATCTTCCCAACCTCCGCATTTTTCGGGGTTCCTCCATTCTTAGACTTGTTCCACTTTACCATTTCTTGGCGGGGTGGTCTCCTCGCAAATATTTTTAATCTCCAGAAATTATAACGCGCAGTTATATGGACGTCTTACCTGCAATACAACCTGCGCTTCTTCGTTTTGCAGTTCAGCTGTTCAGCGACTCGGCAAATCGCACGAGCGCAAGGTGACTTTGCTGACGAATTTGCCACTTCGCCAACTTTGCCACTGGGAATGTCGACCACATCTAAAGTGGTTCTTGCGGGATCTGTCGTGGCGTCCCTCGGAACCATCTTTTACGTGCATTACAAGCAGGAAGTCGAGAGAGCTGAGCTTCACGAAGGAGTCATCAAAGACGTGGAGAGGCAGAGGATGCGACAGATAGAGAACCTCCATGTGCTTCAGAGGCAAAAGGACTTGACGAAGGAACTCACGCAGCAGGCGAAGAGTGTTCACTAGCCAGACAGAAAATGCGGGATAATGTGTAAATAAACGTTTATTCTTCGAGTAGCAGCACTGTCGGGCAGTCGGTGACCAGACGACAAAGTTGTCTCACTTTTATTCAACCGGGAAACCATGACATTCTTTTACAATCCAACCGGGCTCTGTCTATTGCATGAAACACAGTTTTCACTTTGCACATGTCAGACTACATTGGTCAAAATAAAATTTTCAAGGAAATAACTCGGCGGTCGGAATGCGATGCAAAATAACGGCTCTGGGTACTTCACCTAGAGAAAAAGCTTGTAACATTATTACACAAAGACTCCAGTCTGACAAAACAAAAATGAAGCCAAAAAGTATCGCACCGCAACACTCTGCTGCAAGAAATGTACACACATCTATGAAACTATGTACAGAAAGCATTAGAATGCTAAACAAAGTCTGGGCAATGTCTATTTACATGGACTATACTCCCACTAGGAGGTGGCCTGAACCAACACAGCTTCCGGAATGCACCGAAGCTTTGTCTTCGGTGCAGCCGGCATGCAATAACAGTTTCTCTTTGTACTTGTTCACTTTGACGTAGCAAAAATACGTAGAGTCTGCCACGTGAACCATTCCTTGCCAAAACTACCTAAGCTGTTGAACGAGTCCAACCCACGGTCAAAACATCCTCCAGTGTAGCTTAAGCTAATGCTACGGCCCCATGTTGAAACTTGCTATTGTCGCCGACAGTTAGTTAAGAAACTCTGAGCGTGGCGAGTTCTGAGCAGCTTGCTGCTGCTCCGCGTTTGCCGATAAGAACGAGGAAGAATGAATCGCGAAGCATGGAGCGAGAACATAAGGAGCCACGCCCCGCGCTTCTTAAGTTTTCCGCGACTACAAACGTGTCGGTGGGAGCCCGAGTCTGGCAAGCTACCTCTAACCAGAGATCTGTTGCAATGAGGTGGGATATTATTGCATCCATATGTGCGAGTTGCACAAAACTCATTCACGGTTTTCTTATTCAGTACAGGCTCGCTTTTTGACCTACCCAAAGGGATGTCCACTACAAATTGGGCGCACACTCGCACCGAAGCCCAAACATTCCCGACAAGCTGGGGGGAGGGGGTTTACGAGCCCAAACCAATGAAGAGTACCTAGACCCAGCGAGCTTGAACACTTGGAGCAAAATAAAAGGGCTTTGCAGTGTGGGACAACTGCAATTGTGTGTTGTGGAACGAGACAAAAGCATACCAGACAGTCTCTCAGATGTATGTGGCAAAGCAGAAAAATATGTAGCCCTCGTCGCCAGCTAATGTTATGGCATTCCAAACAAGAAGTCAGACCTATTCCATCTCCATCTCAAAGCAGGTGATCAATAATGGGATGCCGAATGGGCTTTATTAAAGGCAATCTAAAAGAAAAAAATATGCTGCTGTTCAATGTCCCCACTGAAAGGAAATTATTAAGAACATCAGATTCTTTCTGATTATTGCCACAAAAGAAGCTAGATTTATACACCAGTTGAGCCAGATGTTTGCTACATAAATATATTGCCCAAATATAGGTGTCTTTATGTATATGACCACTCCCTTTGGAAATATAGTGGACTAGTGCCGTATACCTTGTCCTCGGTTTGACATTCCCGAGTAGAACTTGTGTTCTCTTGCATAACCCGTTTGCAACTAGCAGCAAGCTTGCTGCTGGTTGCAAACGGTGTATGCTAAACGTTTATATAGTCTACGCTTTGGTAATGGAGCAGCATATGTAGTATGGGACAGATATTGCCACAATAAGGTTCAGAGTCCCTTCAATTCTACATGAAACTACCTTAAAAAATTCTGAATTTTAACAGAGGCTTCTATAGCACACCAACACAGATCAGATGATGATGTATAAAATTAAGATTGCATATATAAAAGCTGCACCAACCAGCAATACACCTCAAATTAACACTGCTAACAAGACCACTTCAGGGCTGTCTTGCACAGACACAACAATGATGAAACTGGTTTTTCGGCAAGCGTTTTTCTTCCTATCCGAGTGTCTCGAGCATTTTGTGCATGGTCGATTAAGCAAAACTCGAGATTTATGAAAGCCCAATAAATGAGAAACGGTAGTGCAAAATTAACATTCCTAAACCTTAAACTTTGTGCTTCCTCTCACAACTGTCAGATAAAAAAAAAAAAAAAAAAAAAGTGAGCAAATATGCAAGCACAGACATCTCCAAACTTGTGATATTTTCTCAGGAGGTATATTGCCTCGAAGCCCATGCTAAGTAAACCTCAAGGATAAAGGCATAAGCATGTTGCCCATGCTGCTGCTAAAAACATACTAAATGCTTTGCAAGCTGCAGAGCACAGCAAGCTAGCTTGGTTGCCCTCTGCACCACTTCATTTAATCCTAACAAGTAACAAACAGCGCAGGGACATGGACAGAGTAGAAAACAAACACAAACTCTTCAGTCTTCTGCACTGTCCATGTCTCTGCGCTGTTTGCTACACGTTAAGATGAACTATCAACTATCCCATTCGTCAATGCTACTAGACTGCATTTAATCCTAAACACTCCCCGTAATTTGAAGCATTGAGAAGGTGGATGCCAGTACAGTTATTACCTCTTAGTGTTAAACTTGTGCCTTCAATTGGAAAAAAAAAAGAAGAAAAAAAAGCAATATTAATTTTTTGCTTTTGAAGGGTCCTCCTCAAATAATGCAGTAAATTATCAAACCACTGTGACTTCCTTTCAAAAGGTTAGTAGCTTTATAGAATCGTCACGGCATGAACTGCCGCAACCACACTTCACTGGAAGCAGGCACCAAGCTCCAACTAATTGTGATTACAACCCTATGTGTATCGCTCAGGAACGATTCCATCAATGTTCTCCATCAATGTATCGCTCAGGAACGATTCCACATGTCCATCAATGTTTTCCGTAGCCTAGGCTCATCATAGTAATCTCAGTCAGACTTTCACAAGTACTGGGATTGCAGAACTAAGCATAGTTTTGAGTGATCCTAAAGCAACAATGACTCTTCGACAATCAAGAACTTGTGGCCATGTTCTTGAAAGTAATCTCCTGCTTTCATACCTGCCAAAAATGCAAGGCCTTATAGAGCCCGTCTAGCACAGTTTGACGGGACAAGCTGTGCTATACAAATCAGAAATCGGGCTGCAGTTGGTTTTAGCCGTAAATTTTGACATATGTTATTAAATAATTTGAAGTGACACTGACTGGTTTGAACTATCACCAACAAACCTTTTTCTATAGATGTGTCAAGTACGAACAGTCATAATTTATGCAGGACGTTGAGGCTCCCCGAAACATGATGTTGAAATCAGTGCCCCACACAGACCTCGTCCGAGGTTCACTCAGTTTAGGGCAGCGGAAGTTGGGAACAAGCATTTTATAGCAAGAACAGGCCATAAACCAGCTCTTTCCAAAATGCCCTTAGGACCAAGTGTGACTTATCTCTCGTTTTTTTGAACATTGCTGTTTCAACAAGTCAAGATGGAAGAGTCAATCATACTTGAGCATGGCAATTTGCATGGTGCTCCAAGACCCTCAGAAGCAATGTCTCGAGTAAGTGCTAACACTCCACACTGCAATTTTCTTCAGGACCAACAGATGGCAGGAACTGAGATGTTTTGGCGAGAATGCTTACAAGCTTACTCCTGTAATGGCCCGCGTTGAAGAACAGGCGTGCCCTACAGTTTATTCGTAGGTGTTTGGGTCTCGCAAGCATTGCAGCTCCTGTGGCTTTCACAGACGAGACCTTCCGAGCCACCGCTCCGCATTGTGCACTCTTTCCCATAATCGCTCGGTCTTATGGACCGGGAGCCAAAAGCCAATGCCCTATGCCACGACTCCAGACCCGTACAGGTTACCTCGTGAGAGCGTCGTACACGCGCCCCGCCTGAAAGCTGATGTCCTCGTCCGAGCTAAGCACCAGGGCTCTCGTCCTGGCCCTCAGGTGGTCCGCAGAAGGGGCGCCCCAGAGGGCCGCGTAGAGTGTTTCGGGCGCGGCTGCCCTGTGCTCTTGCGGCAGGGAGAGCAGGCTCGTGTGACCTCTCTTGACGGCGCAGCTCACCACGTTGGCCAGGTAGGTGAGAACTCGCAGAGTCACCTCGCGGTCTGGGCCGTCCAGCAGGGAGTGCAGGTTTTGTGGCGCCTGGGGGAGAAAGGGATACGAGATTTGTACGAGCTGTCGCCGCCATCTGGCAAGTTCCTTCTAAGTGGTGCAGCAATTGAAGTACCATAAAACAACAGGCAGGCACCCGTGTCACGGTGACTGCCCACATGCTACTTTTGAAACATTCAAAAAATAATCAAAAGACCTATCGTGTGCCTACCCTAGATTTCTGAGCAAACCTATAGTCATTGACAGGGTGAGAACCCTGTCAACCCGGCCTCAAGCACGCGCTCACTGCCTTCCACTGTGCCTTGGTTGCACATGCGCTGTCTCTGAAGTGTTGCTGAAGGTAGGAAGCTCATGCTAGAGGTGGGACCACTGCAAGACCTCCCTGCCATTCCCACCCTCTCAGCAACTATAGCCAACTGTGACGCACCCATGCATCAGCTGCTTCTCGGAACATGTCGGTGTAAAACAGCGAAGCTCACTCCACCATGTGCCCTGCATTTTCGCTCTTGGACGTAACACACAAGTACCTCCCAGTTTTTTAAACCTTATTTACATATTTTGGGTGTACACTTGCTCGGCATTTTACAGTAACATGGTCATCAATGTAGCACATGTCCCATATGATGGACACTTCTCTGTAATGGGACAAGCACGCACCACAAGTGCCCGGGTTGGAGTTGTTTCACTATGTACTCTACATCAAAAACGAGAAACAATGCAATAATCCGCTTCGTAAAGTGTACTGGTAAGGTAGGTTCAGATAAAAATAAGAACCACATCTTATGAACTGGGTCCTAACCTTGCATAATTTTATGCCACTTCTTCTAATTCAAGGGGGTCAATATCAGTATTTGTTCAGGGTGCAGGGACAAAACTGTGCTACCAATGCAACATTCTACTAAACTTATTGAAGAGTGCCATCTGTCCAACATATCATATTTCGACTTATACAATGTCAAAATAAAAATTCACTGTTATATACTATTCTGAACTGAAACCTAGAAGGCTTGAAGCAAGAAAAAGCATCAAATGTCTGCTTTATCTGCTTCTTTTTGGAGGGAGGCAACATACACAGTGAGCTCTTACTGAACAAAAAGTATGAACATGGCAAAGGTAAATTGAGATGTTTTATTTATTTATTTATTTATTTTGCTTAATCTGCCCACAAACAGCTCGAGGCCTTATTAGTGAGCACATATTACAAACAATAAAAGAACAGATACAGACCAACAAACAAGCAAGACGTGATATAGAAACAATAAAAGGAAATAAATAAAACTACTGCGAACAATTGGAGAACAACAGAGCACAGATGTTTGTCAAGCGGCCAACAATGCTCTTCTAAAATTTAAAAGGGTGAAAACAATTCTAAATCCCTCCTATCTCGATTATAAAGGAGCTGAAGGCGTGTCATCGGGGACTGGACACAAACTTTCTGCGGGTAGAAAAGAAATGAAAATCTGGTCCGCTTTTGGGGAACACTGAAAGAAATCACACTTAAAAGTAAAGATGCATCAATTGTAGCGTTGACTATCTTATACAAAAAAGTCATGTCTTGCACTAATCTTCTTTTATGCAAGGGTATCAGGTCAAGCATATTAAGTAAGCATTCATATTCAAAATAAATGCGCCTCCCAATCCCCATCGATCGTAAACAATACGCAAGAGACGACGCTGCACTTTTTCTACAATACATGATTGAGTCGATCCAATGGTGTTCCATATAACTGAGCAGAACTCAAGTTTAGACAAAACAACGGCGCAAAATAGATGAATCATGCTAGCGTAAGTACGAAAATTCTGCGTCATTCTGGAAATAACGCCTAGTACCTGGTAAGAATCATTCACAACTTTCGAAACATGCTAAGTAAATGAAAGGCGGGAATCAAACAGCACTCCCAGGTCACGAATAGTATTGGACCACGCGATAGCTGAACCTAACGTGGTATACGGATACTCAATGCAGCATGTCTTACGGGTAAAGGAAACAACCTTGGTCTTACTGGGGTCAAGTACAAAATTATTTTTTAAGCACCAGTTTAGAACTGCCTGAACATCGTCTTGCATCTTCAGACAGTCAGTAGTTGTAGCACTGCCATGGAAATATGAGACACAGACCTAAAAAAAGGTGAGCTAGTGCATAGTGCATTGGACCCTTGGAATGACTTTGTTACAGTCAATTCATTTCACAACAAAGACGTGCCTGTAGTCTGCATTGAAACCTTCACATAGATTTCCAACAACACGGCAACAAGAACCACGACCTCTTCCAACAGAGTTCACTCCAGCTGAGCAAGCCCTTACAAACATAGTAAGCTCTAATAAGAACAGCAAATGCTATGAACATGGTAAAGGTATATGTTGTCGCAATGAGGTACGGACCTAACAAATATCAGCTAGAGGACATTGCATTAGTAACCTCAGCAACGATTTCGTTCCAATAAATTTATCTCATAATGGAGAAGTTCCTGCAGTCTGCGGTACATCCTTCGGGACAACGCAGCAGCGTCCAAACTATGAGAACAGAGCACACAAAAGACTACTATCATAGTTTGAAAGCATGTTCCACAACTTGCCTAAGCTAGAGTCTTAAAGGGCAACTTCAGTCAATATTTTTTTTTAATTTGGGATAACGACTGTTTTCAGCTAAAGCAGTGTCGCTAAATTACAATTTTTTTTTTTTTTTTTTGATATTGTGTGTAGTTTTATAAATATCAAGGCTCAAAGTTTGGTTTCGGGCGTTTACGGCAAAACAAAAACTTTCTGCTAGAGGAATGGCAACAGTGATAATCAGCCGCAAGGCTGCGACATAATGTCAATTGTGGTGCTGCGGTACGCGGTACAAGGTGCGGAATCAACTGCAAAGTGACGTCACAGGAGTGCTGCAGCCAGTATTCCAGACTAAAAGCTAACCTGCTTGCCACCCGCTAAAGATCAGCTGGTCACATCGTTCAAACCGGTTTTAGAGGAGTATGTGGCTTCACTTTGATGCAGTATTACGGCTGTGATCATATTTTGTGCCACTAAAGCGATACCAGTCATTTATTTTGGCTTTGTTTTCGGACGGAGTTGCCCTTTCACAGGAACAACTTCGGCAAGCACTACTCACTTTGGCTGCCAACAGGTAGGGCACCATGCTGGAGTTGCACGACAGGTTCACGAGCAGCTTGAGGGTCTGCAGGCGCACATTGCCCTCTCCGGTCTCCACCAGGATGCAGAGCTGGTGCAGCCTGCCCCGGAAGGCCTCGTGCGCCTCGTCTGAGAGGGCCAGGTTGGTCAAGCACAGCAGCGAGACCGTCTGCAGGTAGCGGCCCCCGTCCCGGGACACTGCCGCCGACAGCAGCAGTGGGATGCAAGGCTGGGTCCACAGAAACATTCGGGCGGGGAAGTCGACACTCGCATCCGTCGGTCTGGCGCAAAACGTACACCTAAGACAGGTGGCCACATGTTTCAAGTCGCATCAAGAGGCGTCGGCAATCCAGAATTGAAACGTAGGCATTGCAAGAATAATCAGACTGGTCATACTAATAAATTATTTTTAACGAGTAATTTCGCGAATGTATTTTACAGCGGAGCTAGTTTCCCCAGGATCGTGTCCATCAGCAAAGAAATAATGACACCGAACTCTGGACAGCTACCGCCATCTATGAGCGATGGCGGCAACCAGACAACTGGTTGCCGCTGTTGCTCATAGATGGCGGCAATTTTTCTTCGGAGCAGGAGCCAAATGAGCGGCGATGTGTGCAGCAGCGTGAATGGTTCCGCAACCACCGCGAGGCCGCTATCGCCTAAAGTTCCATTGCATCGAGCGCTTCAGATTCCCTTGCGAAAAAAGAGCAAATCGCTCACCTGGAAAGCCACCGCCGCTAACAGAAGCTACCAGCTCCGCTGCTCTTCCTTCTTTTTTTTTTAAAAACTTTCAGCAAGTAACAATTTAGTCACAATTTTTACTTTTGGGGGTCTCCCACATCTCGCTTCCCGCCGAGATTGAGGCCCAAAACGGTTCTGCACTTTTAAAGGGACACTGACAGGGTATTTAAGCTCGCTGAGGTTTTTAGCTGTACATGACATATGAGAGCCCAATTACCCAGAACAAAATTTGCGGCTCGAAAGTCAGTTTCTTTCCGCCCGAAAACCGCTGATCGAGAACTGGCCAGTTTGAGTCGTGTTCACTCTCTTTCCGTGGTAATGGGCCGTTTTCTAAGGTTTAGACACAACCACCAAATTTAATCTAGGTTGTGGGTCATCGAAGGCACACAGTCAATATTAAAAATAGAAAAAAATATGAAACCCATTTTTTGTGGCTTCCAAAAAGCTGCAAACATGTTGAACCAGAAGCATTCTGTGCATTCACTGCGTAATTCTCAACGTGGTGTCGTTTCGTGTGTCGTGGGACTCCAAATGGCAGCGGACAACAGGCGTGGGACCTCAACTTCAGAACTGCCGTTCGCGGTACCGGCAAAATCTTACTTCCTTCGAAAGATCAATTTTGGACCGATCTAAAGAATTGGTATTCATCCCGTACAACACGCCCGAACACCAAGCCGATTGCCCGAAGACGCCGCCGAGCCGTTCGCCCGTTCTCGTGACTGAAGACGCCACTCAAGCAAACGTCAAACTCGAAGTGCATACTTCGAGTTGAATATGCACGCATATGATTTCTTTACTAGGTGCGAATGTGGCCAATACGTGGTGCTGCCCAACTTCAGGCCGGGAGTGCCTTTGCCGAAGGGAAATCGGCAGCAAATCTTCCGAACAGTTCCCCCGGTAGCTCAGTGGAAAGATGTCCGCTTCACACGCAGCAGAGTCAGGTTCAATCACCGATGTGGGCGTACCAAATTTTTTTTGTTGTTGTTTTTGTCTAACTTTTTGCAATTTTACATTTCTTTTCTTACAATTTTCACTGAAAAAACAAATGTTGTGGACAGATAGTCGCTGAACTAAACGGTATGGGATTCCCTTTTTGACACCTGTGACCTTAATGTAGTCACTTTCCACAAAATGCAAGGAACATACAAATCGGGTAGCATCCGCTTTCCGAGGTGCCCGTAAATATTCTACAGGAATTGCAGCCAACCCCTGGTCCTGATCCCATTGGTCTTTTGGAAACTCGTGCAGACTCTGCCGCACAATGTCATTTTCGGATGCAGGACATCTGAGGCAGCTCTTCACGCAACATCTTGGGGGCATTCTTTTCGGGGCCGATCACGGAAATTCACCACGGGCACTCACTACTCATTTCCAACTCTTCAATGTACAAAACAACTCACCTTTAAGTGCAGAACAGCGAGCGGAACAAACATAACTGCAAAGGAATCGCACGGCAAACGGTTCCTGCAACAAATGTCGTCTGCTGCGCACGACCAAAAAAAAAAAAAAAAGTGCACAGTTGGGTGTAGCCATGAGTCTTCCGGTACTCACTCTTTCCTCTATACTTCTCCGACAACCACAAGCAGGTTTTGGTTTCGGATTCGAGCGGTTGCATTTTTTTACTTTATTTAAAAAATATGTGACACTGTAACAAAATATTGATCGAGTAGTCTTCTGACACCATAATAAATTGCATGACAAAAAATGTTAAAATTTTTTGGCCAGGCATTTTATTATGGTGTCGGAAGACTACCCTATCAATGTTTTGCTACAGTTTCACCTATATTCACCATAAAGTAAAAAAATGCAACTGCTCGAAATCGAAACTGGACTGGGGAGGAGGAAGAAATATGGAGGAGGAGAAAGATACTGAACGTCACGTGGCTGTGCAACTTTTCTTTTATCCCTCAACATATTTGCAGCTTTTTAGAAGCCACAAAAAATGGGTATTATATTTTTTGTCTATTTCTAGTATTGAGTGTGTGCCTTCGATGAGTCACGACTTTGATTAACTTTGGTGGTTGTCAGAGGACGCGAGCTCAGCCGCTCGGCCGCTGTTCAGAGCGATGAGCAAAGATTATGGAATCGCGGCTGCCGGAGCGGCATCTATCAACAGGAGCACGTCGCGTTGAAGCGAGCAAACGAGCAAGCCTGCAGATAAGAAATTGCTGCAGAGACAACTATTGTTGATCACAGTCAACAGTCAACAATAGTTGTCTAGGACAATGCCCAAGATGGCATCGAGGATGATGTCCTAGAGGACGGCATCAAAGATGACGTCTAGGACAATCTCTAGGGCGATCAAAGGACGTCCTCTAGGACAACCTCAAGGGCAATGTCGGGGATGCATCCTAGATTATGACGTCTAGGACGACATCAAGGTTGTCAGGTTCTCCAAAGAGGGTGCGAATATGAGCTGAAATGGTGTACTGCACATACCTACTGCACATTAAGGGGCCAGAAAGTCCAAGAAATCCGGTGGGGGTATAGCTAAAAAATGCTATTGCATTAAAAGGACACACATATGCACTGCTCGGTTCTCGACAGCAGGCACGGCGTGCCACAAGGGAGCGCTGTGATACAAATCGGTCGGCGCTCCGGTGTTATCTCTATGACCATCCGTAATCAAGTTTTCATGACATCAATCTCCCAACTTTGCACCCCTTTCCAAGCGCGGAAAAAGACGTACGTAAAAAAATATGTTTGTGTTTATACAGCACAAGGTCGGTCTGCCTTTGAAGTGTGGCGACACTGGTTTATGCCATAGACGAGAAATATAGCCAGTGCAGAACCACTGCTAGCCTGGAGCCTACAATGTGCATCATGCAGTAGTGATACACGACCGCACGCCGGTACGATGCTCATCGAGATCGAAACGGGCAGGAGTGGGGATTGAACCTAGGATCCCTCGGTTCAGCAGCGCGAGCTTTCGCTCCACGTGCTCCGAGCTGGTGGGCGCTAGGCCACTTGGCCACCGATTCCCCCGATGCACTAACATGAGCTGGAGTGTACAGTCTCCCAGAATGTGAAAGACCCATTTTCTTGGGCCATTTATGTGACAGTGCTAAGCTCACTTTGGCCAGAGCCACTCTATTGTATTGTATTTTTTTATTGCACTTTTATTGTACCGTGCCGCCTGGTGTGCAGGTATTCAGGGAAAGGCAGTGTGCCCATACACGTTTAGTGCCCCTGACACCGAGAGAATAAGAAGAGAGAAAGAGAGAAGAGAGAATAAGAACAAAGGTCATTTATTTTCTCACCCCAGTCAACATGGGCTTAACTAAAAGCACGTCCAGCACTGCTGCACAAAACTGTCTCGTTGAATAAGTCTTTAATATTGTTGGAGCCTGTAGCTCGGCCCTGGCTTTCAGAGTATCTCATTCTTCTACGGTGGTCGGCGCAGGGACAAGAAAGAGACTTACCTGGAGAAGCCTCTGGTTCCTTTCATTGACAGCCATGTTCGCAATAGCCTGCGTGGCTGCCACTTGGACGGCCATGCACTCGTGGTCCAACAGGTCCTTCAGCAGAGGCAGGCACCCCACATCACATAGGTAGTCCTGCAGAGAGAAGAGGGCAAGATGTGGCACACTGCACGATCTTCACACGTGAAAGTATCTCAGAAGTACAATCCTCAATCATAGCAAAGTATGTGTTTGTGTACTTGACGTTTAAAAGGGACAATGAAACAATATCGTATTTGAGTTTTACTTACTGTTATCGTGCGGTTAGCAACACAAGGGAACTATCACATGAGGATAAGCAGCCACAAACATGATTTCTGCTGTGAAAATTCAGAAAGAAGGGTATATTTTTCCTTTCTTTACTTTGGAAAGATTTCTAAATTTATTGTGATCCAAACAGTTGTAAAATGTGTTGGGCCTGTTGCTGACGAACGCAGCTCACAAACTGGACACGAGTGTTGCGTCATCGATCGGCTTGCGTTAGCTAACAATGTCTATGTCGGCGAATATTAGGGTTTGCATTCGTGGTCAATATAGCACAATGATGAAAATGGCCGAACTCTAAGAAAGTTTGGAGCACAGCTCTCAGCACTCCCAGTCCGGGCGCGTAGTCGCTGCAGACATCAGCAGTGTGAGCAGGCGTAAGAACTCCTGGCACATTATTCTGACTATGAACTGAGGTTACTAAAACACTGCTCCATTTTCTCCCGTATTTTCTGTTATGGTTAGACCATCAAGATAAAGATAAACACACGTCCTAAGGCTGAAACAGATGTGCGAAAAATCCATCCGAAAATCAGATGAAGATCAGAACGTGAGAAAATTCTTTCAGGTTACTTTTTTTAACTGAAATATTTATTTCTTGCAATCCGCAAATATGGTCTTATTAAAGACATATTCACAATTCCTCCACTAAAAATATTGTGTTGTTTGTTTTCAAAAAAGTAATGTGAAACTATTTTTTCAAGTTTCGATTTTCGCGCCTTTTTCAGTTGATTTGTGGCACATGTGTGTTTATACATCATGAAAACGAGGAATTATATAAAAGCAATGGTTAATGAAACCGAGAAAAAATGTTTCATTGTGCCTTTAAGGTGAAGACTGCAACCAAATATGGCTTAGTTGCCAAAATTGCACTTAGCCTCAGAAGTAAAACTAGTTTTGATAGCGTCACAGTCTCCTCACGACCTAGCAAAGCGCAGGAAGGCGAGACGAAGCGTGACTAGCCTGGTTGATGGTGAAGGCGGCACAGTTGGACATGGTGGTGAGCGTCTTGACAAGCACATCCTCATTGCCGGTCCCAAGCAGAGTCACCAGGCACTTAGCCTCGTACAGAGTCATCACCCGGGCCTTGTTGTACAGGCCATGGAGCACCTCTTGCAGCCGCTCGTCAGACTCCTTCACCATCGCCCGGTACAGGCTGCGCTCCTCCGCATGGTTGGCACTCAGGTCGTTGCAGTGCCAGTGGAGGGATGCCCTGCCCGTTGGAACAGAGGGTTCCCGTTTTAACGCACGCTTAGAGGTTCGAGGCTGGTTCAGACACTTCGGTTTGAGTGTAGCCGACTGTGTTACGACTCCTCACCTTCCACTATGACACATTGCACGAACCTTGGTTGCTATGGCAACCATCTCAACATAAGCATGAGTGGTTGTCACGCGGTTGGTCACACTCATGCCGATATCTGAAACACCCACCACAGGAGTACCGGATCATGCTTGCATGTTGCACCATTAGCGCCGCAGTGTTTCGGTGGTGCCAACACCCCCCTCGATAAGAACACCAAACATTACTTTTGGCGCAACTCGGTCGTCCGCACTGGCACCCGTCGATGAAATTCCCAAGGATATTGTTCTCACTTTTCACAGAAGAGGAGCTACGTCTTGAAATGTTTCGAGATATAAGCCGCCACTAAAATACACCTCCAATGAAAGTTTGACTTCGTTACATGCGGGCGCAGGTTATAACCGTGCGCTTTACGACGAGCCCCGCAATTCATGACGCGCTGCAGTTTGACAAGTCCATGCTTTGGCCACTTGAGGCGCGTTCACACTTGCAAGTCCCAGCTGTCGCACGACAACCTTTGTTGCTAAAACGACAGTCGCGAGTTGCAAAAGTGGTTGGTTTAAAGCAGTCACTTCCAGACTGATTTTTCGGACCTGTCGCCGAGTCGCTTGGCATCTGAACCAATCGAAGTGACGTGTGGTGCGCGTCGCATTTGTTTACATCTGGCACGCCACACTTCTGTGGGTGAGGCACCTAACGTCTGTCCAACGCCTCGGTTTGCGGCAGCGGCCATGAATATAAAGCCACGGAGGTCTCTGCGGCAGCTCTGATCAGCGCTATTAAAGAATACCCATTTCTTTATGAAAGCAGCGCCCCGACTTGAACGAGTGCACGAAAACCAACTCGGCCTGGCAGCAAATCTGCGCTGCTTTTGGGTCGATAGGTACGTACAGCGACGCGGAGGTCGCGGAAGCTCGAGTGAATGCAAACCAGTGTAGCGATTGTGCTTTCATCGTACGGTTTTAAAGGACCCGGGCCAACATCGGAAGTCTTTCTCTTGTGGTGACAACGACACATGTGACAACGAAACTGGGAAAGCAGGGAAATGTGAAACCCGAGCTGTGGCGGGTAGGACAGAATCGACGGCAGCTCCCGAGAAGCGACTCACCAATAGCAACTCATTGATCGCCCAAAGAGTGAATGTCGGTGTTTGCGTGTCACTATAGTAAGTTACAGGTTAAGAAGGCAGCGGCAAACGCCCTTCAAAGGGAATCATATATCCCCCCACCACCTTCGCACCCAATAGCGTCTCATCGTTTCCGTGACGTCGCAACCAACGCGCGAGGAGGGTCTTGCCTTTCTGTACATATTTTCTGAAACTTTGACTTTGACTTAGCATTGTGGAAGCCACGAGAGGGAGATATAGAGTTTTCCCCCTCCGATGGAAACAAATACGACTTTCGGGGATTAGCTTTTCTCACCGATGGATACAAAGGCTGCTTTCAGGGACTCGGTTCCCACTCCAATGAATACAAAGGTCGCTTTCCTAAAAAGTGGGGGTCGAAGAGAAGTTGGCACCACTCTGTGGTCATTATCTATTCATTGAAGCAGAACAAGGATCGTTTCCAGTGAACTCTTCTTTCGACTGCAGAGGGATTTGAAACGGACGCATCACGCTTGTGGGAGGAGCTTCTCCTACCTTCTTGACTTGTAACCGACTATAGTTGGTCGCAAGTCGCAAGTGTGAACACGATTCGAGAATGCCATTTTACTCAATGCTATTTTATGCATTTACAGCTTTCATGATAGTCCCATGGCACCACATGTCAGACGTAAACTTTAGGACCAACCCCAAAAAAAACCGACAGGTTTTAAACGGAAGTAATTAAACAACGAACCCCGACATACTAAAACCCGAGATGGAGGCAAAAAAGGGGGACAAACACAATGTCTCAAATCGAGACGTCGTGCTTGTCCCCCTTTTTTTCTTGCCTCCGTCTTGGGTTTCACTACGTCGATTAACAACCAGCTCGCCCGCTTAAAGGGGCAGTGCAACAATTTGCGGACTTTGGCCAAATAACTGAATTAATCTGTGTCACCTATAGAACGAAGATCAGAAAACCATACTTCCTTGCCTATGCTAGTTTTTATTTTAAGAAATTAAACAAATCAAATGTCAAAGTGCCTCTCAACTCTCACGTCGTCTTTCAAGTGACATACTCTGAGGGATCACCTGGTTTCCCGTTAGGTTCTCTCTTCAGAGACTCCAGACGTTTCCTCTGCAATTACTTTTCAGGGATCAGCATTATACAAAACGGCGGCGACGATTGACTGAAAAGATGGTTCGCCAGGCTGACGGCGAGCATAGCAGTGGAGGGGGTCAGGTTTTGTTGACTTCCGCATGTCCCCCCAGAGATGTGTCAGTGTAGTTCCTGTAACCGCCACATAAGGCTGCAGATCGGCAAATAATGTTTTTCTTTCTTTTTTGACTATGCAGCGGGATGGCAGTTTTCTGGGGCAAGGTGACGTGTTTTTTGTCACTTGTGCCTAGATAAACAACATAAAATGTACAAACTTTCCTTCAACATTCAAATCGTTGCACAACCCCTTTGATAGCATTGTCTTCAATAAACCTCACCTAGAAGACCGCCCAGAGTTCTTGCGCTTGAGTGGCGATCCCGGCATCATGTAAATGTTCTCGGCAGACCGACTGATGTGGTTGTTGCTGCTCGAATCTGCGACGGGACTAAGTGCCTTGGGGGAACCCCAGGGGGAGTTCTGCAGACTTCGGGGCCGGAAGATGCGTGCAAAGTACTGCTCGTCGAACATTCGCGCCTTGAGGTTCAACTCTCGCACTTTGTCCCGCACCGACTTGGGGATGAAATGCAGCTCTGCTGGAGACGATGTGGTGTAGTCCGCAGGAACCGTCAGATCCGTCTGACTAGAGCGGTGGTTCTGGTCCCGCTCTGCGGAGGACGTTTACGTGAAATCTTTGGAAACAGCATATGTTCCCTAAAATACAAGAGACACCACTACCCATTCAGTAATCATATGTCTACCCCACTTAAGGCTAGTTCATTCCAACATTTGCGTGCGACTGACTGCATTACGACCCTTTGCGTTCCACTATGGACAGGTTGCACAGACTGTCTCAGCAATTTTCTCATCGTAAGCAGTCATAAGCAGTTTTAACATTAACAGTCACACACAGATGTAAATGTCTGAAGCATGCTTTTATTCAATGCTAGGTAAATATGACTGGTTCACTGAGTTCCCACTGTCTTGTATATTGAGACCACAGATATGCACAAAAAGAGGTCATTGCAGCTAGGTTTTAGGAGTGGTGAGGCCAAGTTGCATTTTAATCTTTCCTATGCAGTACATTGGTTAACCACAATGATTGCGCATGCTGGAATTGTTAAAAATTAATATAGAGCATTTTGTTTGCTGTTTCATACGTGCATTTATGGAGACATCCGAAAATGATCCCCAAAGCGAAGATCACCTACCCGGGACTTCCCCCTTGTGTTTTTTCTTCTTTTTCAACTTGACCAGTTTCCGAGTGCCTGATCAACGGGAGAAGAAACCGGCTTCAGAGCTGTCCCAAGTTTATGCCAAATTGCATGCCACGGGCGAGAACACAGCAGACATGCAGAATTAATTCCCCCTTTCTGGAATTATTAGGGGACGCGCGCTGAATTATATACAATGGTTCAACAACAGTGACGCCGAAGAAAGGTACGCGACCTTAATGATTTCGTGCATTCGCTTTTTGTACTCCTTTTGTGGTCGTCGGGCCCTTCATCGATCTGCCTCGGACAAGGTCAGTGGATTTCTGGGTCGTTCATTATGTCCCTAAATATCTGCGCTCTCTGCTGATTTTGCCCTTAACAACAAGTATAGATGCCTCCAATGCAAAAATTCGCAAAGACACCAGAGAACTTCAAGCAGGAAAGCTAAAGCGACTTGGAAAGCGGCAGCGTGCGCAAATGTCAAAGTGCAGGCAGACATTGCGAACAAGCGAAAACAGACCCCGTTTAGATCGAAGGAACAAGCTAGTACTGCTGAGCCCAGTTTAGACAGGTTAATAAGATATGCCAAGTTGATTTGGCAAACTATTCTAATCGATTTGCGTGGATGACATGCAAACAGTACCGTCGTGCACTGGGGAGAAGTATGACGCACAGACCTTTATCGTCACGGCCGCAGCCTTTGGTGCAAAATGCCGATCTCAGGATTGAGTATCCCACGTAGGCAAACCCAGCGAATACTGCAGAACATAATGCTACCCGCTTCACGGCAACGTCTTCGGGACTAGCCATTTCCACGGTACGACGCGCAACCGATTTCAGCCGAGCAGCAGAGCACAGCTAGCAGCCGGTGCACCGGAAGTAAAAATGTCGTCACTTCCGCACCACGCGGCCATGCTGCGCAGAGAAGCCGAACGCAGAGCTCCGAGGCGAAGCACCATTCAAATGCATGGGCGCTTCATGCAAAGTTGAGCTAAAGTAATATAAAACTTATTTTACGAAGTAAACAGCAAGTATTCCAGTACATAAACTACAGCTGGAAAAAAAAAAAGTTATTGTATTTACAAGGTCCTACTTGGACAACTGTGAAACACACCACAGCCAAGCTGGAAAAAAGACAAGTGGCATGCTTATGTTTTATTGATCACAAAAAAATTAATGACAAAACAAATCAATAAATACACACTTGATTATTTTATTTCTGGCTTTTAATTTTTTTAATTAATATTTTACATCAGGAATTGAAATATTCCTAAAACATGCCCTCCCCCAAACAATGAGGATGCATCGAGAACCAATAATGCTGAAATGGAATTTGAAATGGGCACACGCCGGGAATCACAATTTCGGTTCTAAATCTACAAGCAGAAAGCGTCTGTTCAAAATGATCGAAAAAACAAAAATGTGCATAACAGAAAGGTGATCTGCCTAAATATTGAGGACATCGCACATAAAAAACTTAACCAGAAAAAAAAGAATGATGAGAAGAAACACACCAACCAAGACAGGGACGGAGAGGTTCAATCGTCTCAACACCTATCACAACAGGAGGTCCAGGCAGGATCAACGACTAGGAAGAAAAAAGTCAATTCGTACAACGATAATAACAATCGTGATTGGCTGAGAAGCCCTCAATCATAAGCATCAATCTTCGGCCTCGTCAGCAGAATTGGGCACCAACTTGCAGAAATGGGGAGGCTTTGAGGCCATCTTATAAAGCCACAGCTAAGTAACGCTCGCTGCGCCACCTGCGTAAACACGCTTGTCGTGAGAGAAACCTGCCTCCTGTTGGAGGTCACGTAAATTCTTCCCGTCTTCGGACGTGGAAAGAAAATATGAGGCTGGGGTCCTTTTGGGAGCAGACCTAATGTCGATAGAGTGCCGAGACCCATTCGATGGGTTTGTGAGTCACGGTTGAGGGCAGCAACTTCCAGCATCCCCAGACGGCTAGGGACAGCAGGGACACCTTGATGGTGTGCTTGAGTACCTTCGAAGATAGCGATGGCCCTGGGATTCTGCACGAAACAAATAGTAGAAAGGCCAGAGTCAATGTGAGACGCAAAACTTTCTTGTGCCGGTGCAATACAACTGTCAGCCCGCTGTCTTTAACGTGTATCACACAGTAGTGATACGTGACTGCATGCCGGTACTATGCTCATCTAGATCAAAACGGGCACGCAACACACGTGCACCACACTTCCCTCCATCCTACGAGGGAGGCGAGGCGGTAGCTCCGCGCCTTGGCCATAGGGGGTGCGCCCTGATAAAAAACCGAAACCTAGAAATGCATCCAAATTGAGTATTTTTTTGGAATGCTGAGAGATGTTGCCCCTGCCTTATATCTTTCTAGAATGAGTTGATTTAGTGTTATTCGATGATGCTCAGCAGGTTTTACAGTATAGACCGACACGCTGTTTACAAACAAGCCCGCGTTTGCCCACACCAGGTGTGGGCACTGCGCGTGCGCAGAAACCAGATTCGCGTGAGGCGAAGCAACTGCGCATGTGCTATGCCGACAGCAGCGCCACCGCAGCGGCGTGACGTCAGAGCCGCATGTTGGTCTATAGACCACTTACAACGTAACCGCTTATAGTGCAGGACCGGGTATAACGCGGCTTTTTTAAACCACCGGTTCGCCTCCCATAGAACTCCATGTAATTACATACCGCTTAAAATGCAGGCGAGCGAAGGGAAATACCAGTCATAGTGCGGTTTCTGGAACAGCCCGGCGACCGCGCCGACTGACCGATGCAGCGAGCACGCTTCCCTGTGCGACACTAGATAATGGCGCGAGCCGCAAGCAGCACTCGTGGGGCAAGGAGGTTGCTCGAAGAAGCGAAGAGAGAGGCTTCAGTTGCCACAGCGACGGAGGGACGCACGCATGTGTCGTTCACGGTGCAAGGCGTTGGCAAGCCCAACCGGCCCAACCACAGTAAGCCCAACCAGCCGTTCGCGCGCGTTGCATGCCGGTCGCGGGCCGGCTTCTTCTATCCGCAAACATGGCGTCGGTGGTGATCGTCGACGTCGACGGCGTAGTGGAAGCTCACTGTTCCGCGTAAAAGCGCTATCTTTGACTGTGAATTTTCGTTGTGTGTTGCTATGATAATCCAGCACGTACTAGAAGGAAAGATCCACCTACTCGTGCGGCGACTCGTGCGGCGATGTCGTGGCGGCACTCTCAAGACAGCAGAAACGCCCGTGAGGTTGTGTTTGTTTACTTCGACTACAGTGGTGCTTTCTAAGCATTTGTGTTTTCGAACATCGCCCGGATTTCTTATTTGGAGCATTTCATGCACGCATTTCATGCCTTTTTCGGAGCATTTCATGCGCATACCGTATAAAGGATGCGAATTTTCATGCGTTTTCATCACCAGAGAAAAGTGATTAGGGTTAGCAATCCTGAACGCTCGCAAAGTCCGCCCGCAACCCGCGACGCCGTTAAAAGGCTGCGCCAGGCAAAAGTCGCTCATTTCTTTCAAAATGTGTGACACACTTGAGAAGAAGTGTACTAGTCTGGTGAAATAAAGACTTTCCTCAAACTAAGCTTTATTTTTCATCTAATATTAAATAAATTGTTTTACAAAGGTAAGTTGTCTGATGGCATGTATTTTGGCCTGAAAAATTGATGTTTTGGTTATAGCGCGGTACCGCTTATAGTGCGGATTTTCGAGACACCAGCGACATACGTCATATGCGGTCTACACTGTATATGGAACCATATGTTTAATTTCATTTACCATATTTTCCGGACTATACATGTTTAATATTTGCAATCTTACTTGAAGTAGACTATCTACACGTGCGAACTATACAAGGACTTGTTTTTTTTCTAGATCGTTCACTGTGACAAGACATGAAGAATTTTATGAATAACAGAGTATATTAATGTTGATTTATGTACAGTGTAGACCGCATATAACATATGTCGCGAGAGTCGCGAAAATCCGCACTATAAGCCGTACCGCGCTATAACCAAAACATCAAGTTTTCAGGTCAAAATATATGACATCAGACAACTTACCTTTGTAAAAGAATTTATTTAATGTTAGATGAAAAATAAAGCTCTGTTTGAGGAAAGTCTTTATTTCACCAGACTAGTACACTTCTCTCTCAAGTGTGCCACACATTTTGAAAGAAATGAGCGACTTTTGCCTGGCGCAGCCTTTTAACGGCGTCGCGGGTTGCGGATGGACGTTGCGAGCGTTCAGGATTGCTAACCCTAATCACTTTTCTCCGGCGATGAAAACACGTGAAAATTCGCATCCTTTATACGGTACGCGCCAGTAATACCTTCAACTTGAGCACAAGCATGAAATGCTCCAAATAAGAAATTCGGGCGATGTTCGAAAACACAAATGCTTAGAAAGCACCACTGTGGTCGAAGTAAACAAACACAACGACACGGGCATTTCTGCCGTCTTGAGAGTGCCGCCACAACATCGCCGCACGAGTAGGTGGATCTTCCCTTCTAGTACGTGCTGGGTTATCATAGCGACACACAACGAAAATTCACAGTCAAGGATAGCGCTTTTACGCGGAACGATGAGCTTCCACCACGCCGTCTATGTCGACGATCACAACCGACGCCATGTTCGCGAGTAGAAGCAGCTGGCCCGCGACCGGCATGCAACGCGCGCGAACACTTCTCCTCGACCTGCGATTGGTCTGTCGTTGCGGTTGCGGCGGTTATTTGTTTCCAACGCAGCAGAGGGACGCACGCACGTGAACGACACGTGCGTGCGTCCCTCCGTCGCTATGGCAACTGAAGCCTCTCTCTTCGCTTCTCCCCGCTTCTTCGAGCAACCTCCTTGCCCCGCGAGTGCCGCTTGCGGCTCGCGCCGTTATCTAGTGTCGCACAGGGAAGCATGCTCGCTGCGGCGCGGTCGGCGGGCTGTTCCAAAAACCGCACTATAACCGGTATTCCCCTTCGCGCGCCTGCATTTTAAGCGGTATGTAAATATATGGAGCTCTATGGGAGGCGAACCGGAGGTTTAAAAAAGCCGAGTTATACCCGGTCCTGCACTATAAGCGGTTACGTTGTAAGTGGTCTATACTGTATTACACAAGCTTCTTTGTGAGCTAATGCAGCAGGCATTTGTCAGGGTGTGCTGTGTACGACAGTTTTTACGTTCGGAAAAGGCACTAAGTGTGGACTATCCACGGCGTGCGGATTATGCACCAGGTGGGACTCTCTAGGCAGAAACTTTAATTTTGACCCCAAATTTGCCCTTGCGGACTACGCACCAGGTGCAGACTATAGTCCGGAAAACACGGGATTAGAAAGGTAATTTGAAAATTTTAGTTATACTATGTAGCTAATTAGCACGCTTTTCGCAATCTTCGACATCCACCGAGGCTGGCAGTTCCTTCCCGGCAAGGGTTACTTCCTTCCTTGACCGCCCTGCCTTTAGGGATTTTTGAAAGCCTTCGCTGAAACATCCGATGTAAACCTTTCCGCGTCCCGGGTACGTTGCAAGCGGGTTTGGTTGCACCTCAAATGCAAAGTTTTATAACATCTCCTCTACCCCTGGACGCACAGCTGGAACCAACAGGGAATCAAAAGAAACAGAAGCATTCGAGGCATGTTGCAGCGCCACGACTCACCTCATGATTGGCGGGATGTCCGAATCGGTGACCGTCTCCCAATTCTCAACGATGCCGGGCACGTGCCCGATGCCTACGACGCCCACCACGACCGTTGGCTGCTCCCCTGCAAAAGAATGTTTCACAAACACCCGATCACGAACAGCCGACAAACGTCGATGCGGCTCTCGAGTAGGTGACTGGCATTTGGCAGCAGCCGCAAAGCGCTCTGGGTATTATTCCCCTCTGGTTTGTAGCTAGCAGTTGACGCAGCACCAAGACGGCTACGGCAGCGTGTGTGGGTGTTGAACCCGATCCATTCGGGCCACCTCCCTCTGCTGCCGGGTTATTTACCAATTTCTGAGGATCTGAAGTTACTTATGAGGAAATGTTTAGTAGGAGTCGGTATGCAGAAGCATCGAGAACGGCCACGAAATCACGGAGCGAGTGTGGCGAGCTGCACTGGCGCTGCGCTTTCCGGATCTTCGCATGAAAATTCAAGCTAGGTTGGCTATTTTGTTTTCTTTTGAGCCAGCTTCTTTATTGCCTTTTATTTTTGATGATTAACATTAGATCACATCACTAACTGAAATAGGTGCGAATATATGATATGGGACGCGGCTAGCTGAAATGTCCGATCGGAGCTTTGCCATACTTGAAAAGACACTTCCGTTCGAAAGTTCCTTTCGACGACAATGGATTACGCGAAGGCCCTCGCTTTTAAACACTTGTATGTTTTTTGTACTTCAATTAGGCTGTCCACCGTGTGCCATGTCTCTATCGCCACACTTTTTTTGTTTGTTTATGATGAGTGAGAAGGCACGCATAAACATGCACAGATTTTGATGTGGGTTACGCAGGGTCGCATGAACGCTTTATTATCTGTCAAGATGTGGGCTCTGCCTGCTTGCTTTTGTTTATTTACAATGAGGTGATATCAAGTTTATGTGATTGATATCCATTGGGCGAGTTTCAATGAGTGCTCTTAGGTTATTCCACATAGTGAAAAGCGACCAATCTATAAATCTTCAGAGCCCATACACCGGAATACATTACAGAGCCACTGCTGTTGATGAAACGGTCTGTTGACGAAATGTTGCGCAATGAACCGATTCCCTGCAAAGATCGCAAGCAATTTGATGTCTGCGAGATCGCATCCCGCGTTCTCGTGGATGCCTTGTATGACAAGCTGTGCTCACCCCTTTGAGGGTTAATCAAGAGCTTTTTCTGGGTGTCAAGAGTCTCTGTTCAAAATCGTCAGTTCACACGGCCCCAACCTGAAGAAAGAAAGAACACGTTGTGCTGGCCTCTGACAAAATGGGCCCCGCATAAACGAGCACCGACGCTTGGTTGTTGCAGGTTACTTTGCTCCGTCACTCACTTAACCGCGACGACGCATCACTGCTTCCATTCATTTCACAGAAACCGGAACATCTTGTGCCCTTTATGACACGCATTAGAACAACATACCGTGGAGCAGTGAACCATTTTTACCGCAAACAGAGCACGGCCACCACGCCTAGAAAGGCTCTCAATGCAGCTGGACAAACCGCGACCGGCACCGAACGAACTAGAAGCGTGAATTCACGTGACGCCTCGTCTCAGATGACGAAACTTCCGGCTCAAATGCCGGTAACCTGTTAAAGACGGGGGCAACATCCAGAGCGGTTGATGGGGAAAGTAGACCAATTGTCAGTCTCGCCGCCTTTTTCTACATTTTTCGACCGTAATACCATGCCCCTGCGCAACCCAAAAAGTTTGATTTACCCGCCTTGCACAGCACGTGGGTGTCGGGACACCGAGCTCCGGTCGGAATGATTAGTGAATAGATGCAAAGCTAGCTGCCTTTGTCTCTAGTTGTTGTTCAAACGCCAAACGCTGGCGATTGAGTAGAGACGAAGACGAAGGCAGCTACAAACTAATCATTCTGACCGGAGCTTGGGGCTCCAACGTCCCCGCACGCTCTTGTCTCCTCCTCTTTCTCAGTTTCTGCCCGCATTGAGACGCTCGATATGTGGAAGGAAGAAAAGGTTCAGTAACACCTACTAGGCCACAAGGTCGTAGTGCCGGATTCTGTACGTCACCCACCGGAAGCCGGCACAAGGACGTAGAACGGACACGAGGGCTCTGTCGGTGTTCGGCCAGACCCTGTGTCCAATCTGTATTACTAACATCTGCCGGGCGACGTAAAAAAACTGCAAACGATAACACGAGGTGCGCCGCAATTCACAGTGGCAGCTGTTGCGTTGCTGAAGGGCGTGCTTCAGGAGATCTGCTTTTAGTCTATGACACGGGGGTCTTGATGAATTCGGCATTTACACACTGCCTCTCGCGCGTGACGGTCAGAGTCCTGTGCCCTTTGCTGTTTTCGTGCCGCTTGGTTCTCTCCCCCTCCCCTCCAACATGATCGCGCACCTTGCAGTCATGTGGGTTTTCACATATGGACGCTACCGGATTTTGCCCGGAAGGGGCACTAACTACTACCGCCATAATACAATGAAATGGCCTTGTTACCCAGATGGTGTCGGTTACAGAGAGGGACAGGGAGAGAGAAAGAGACGAGCCCTTGCTCACCAGAGGGCGTAGTCATGGAAGGCATGGGGCTGGCGGCCAGCCGGAGCGAGTAGGCCAGGAAGACGTCCCTCTCCTTGACGAATACCTTGCTCAGGGCGGGGAACTCGCCTGTCATCTCGGCAAGCATCTCCTCCAGCAGGTCCTGCTTCTTGCAGCGCTCCACTTCCTCCTTGCTGCCGCCGCAGGGAAGTAAAAGAGAAGGGTTCCTACGTGTCTCTTCTCGGACCGCAACACTGATGCAGTCGAATTCCGCTATAAACTATTCTACTAGGGAAAGAGGGAAATGAGCCTACATGTTTGGGCAGTTCTGGCGGTAGAGCCCGCCGGAACTGTTCAATCCAAACTATCGGAACAGCCTGTGCCCTTTCCCCCTTTTACCTCGATGATTCCGCTGAAATACCTGGATGTGAGTAGACTCTCATTAATTCCAACTCCAGGAAGCCACATATTTTGTTCGAATATTCTAAAATTCATCTAAATATGATGAAATATAAAATTATAATTTGCAATATGAATGGCTACACATACAAAGCAGATATTTGATGACATCCTCTTCATAGGCCTACTCATCATACGCAGGTATGCCACAGATGAAACAGTAGTAAATGTATGATGTAAGTTTATTTATCCCTCAAAAATATTGTTTATCATGGACTGTTTAGACAGCACATGACAACTCAAAACAAAATTAAGTTTGTTCATCAAGCTAAGAAGTTCTTCAATGTGAACTAGTGAGCAGGGGACATATGAGATATGAAAACTGGCACCGCGCAGCAGTTTTTAAAGCAACTTGCACGAATGCTGTGACGTGGACCTATGCTTTGCACCATTTCATAGCGTCCGCGCAAGTTGCTGTGGAAATTTCCGCGTAGTGCCTGTTCTCATAGCTCACGTGTGCCCTGCTTGAGCCTTGTTGAGTGTGCCTCTCACCGAACACCAATGCACTGCAGAGAAGCAACACCCACAAAAGCAGGCGCCGCGGGTGTTGCCTCTATGCAGTGCATTGGTGCTCGGAAAGATGCGCACTCAATGGGGCCGTTTGCACCTTGTAAATGGCTGTAGAGCAAATGCCGCTTCAACAAAATTTGGAACACGGTTACTGAACCTGACACCTTACTGTGAACAGTGCAGTGCAACCCACTTACAACAACAATACCACGTATAACGATGTACTGCTTATAACGATCAGTTTCTAGTCCAGATACAACGATGGTCGGTTACGATTGAAATTTCGGGTTTTCTCATTATAGTTACAAGTGGGTTGCACTGTACTTTCACAGCATCACGTGAAAGACCTCCAAAAAGAGAACAAATATGAACTTCCTGTTAGTGTGGTGTGCCAATAAGATGAGTATTCACAAATGTCTGCTCGACGATGGAGCATGAAGAAGCTCTTTCGATAAGCGCCTGCCTTCAATTCTTCCACGTGGGATTGAAGGTGGTGCAAGTTCAAATATTTCTCGAACCTGCTCAGTTTATTTCTACTCAAAGCACCACTTTAGTTTTACGCACTCGTTCCCAAATTTGTTCTAACACTTTATATGATCTGTGAGACACTGCAGTGCCCCGTAATGACTGGAGGAGGTTTAAGCACTCCTGATACAGAAAGGACTCCATGTAATAAAATCCAATATACAGCAGAAATATAAATTCAAACGAAAAATTAAGCTGTGGTATGTTACAACACAAAAATGTGAAGTAATAATGAAGAGAAGATGCTACTGTAGTGAGTATCCTTACTTACAAAAAAAAAAAAAAAAAAATGTGACTTCACTGAGAAGTTTAAACATGCGAGCAATCACATCCTTAGCCCCGAGACACAAAAGAGGCAAGCTAGATTTTGCTGTACCTAATAGGCTCTTTAGCCGTGATCATGTGCCATGCCAGGCGCAGCTTCTGCCAGACGCTGAGAGCAGCCAAAGCCCTTTGCAGCGTGATCTGAAGTGGACGGTCTCCCAGATGAATCAGGCAGCCCTTCACTTTCTCTGCCTGCGTAACATTAAAAACATCCGGTGCTATTAAAACTTGTCGTTGGCCTAGTTGGTTCATGATGCAGTCTAGAAGGTTTTTCGAGCAAAACAAGGGACAATCACAAGCGAGTAGACACGGACAGGTGCAAACTTTCAACTAGTTTATTCGTGCTCGATCGACCACGAAACTCCAGAGAGAGCGTGCTGCTCTTTCATGTCCTTTTCCTGTCTTTCTCTTGTGACTTATGTTGTCTTGGACTCTTGGAGGACAGTACCTTTGTTTCACTGTACTCCAACGTCAGCGGTCCTCCAGGCTTGAAGATCATTATCAGTGGCCTGAGATGCTAGTCACAGCTGACCAGTACTGTCCCAAGCCTCGTTGGATGTTTTGGGGCTTCCCGTGTCTAGTGCAAATGTTGAGCTAGCATTCACGAAGTTGCACGTTGTCAACAGGAAGGAGCGGGCGTCAGTGACAGACACGAGACTATACATGCATATACTACAATAATCAAGCGTAAAGAGACTGTGTAAAATATGTAAATAAATTTTGGTCCGTTTTTCGTCTTCAGTGGTAGTTTACATTCACAATTTTTACCCCCGATAATCAGTTTTTAGCGTCTGAACAAGACAATTCACCGAAACGCACCGGTATTGGTGAAATAAATGAACACCGATAAACATCCGCCAATGTTTGCCATAAATAAACACTGGAAAGTATACACCCTAGACATAACTGCCAAAAAATAAAAAGGCCCAAAGCCAGCGTGAATTACATCCAGAGGTCCACGGTAATGCCTTGGTAGCATAGTTGCTTGTACGGTTGTTTTTGCGTTCTTCTCATGTTTCACGCTGTGGGGATCCGTCCGGCCGCCCCACCCTGGAGTCCCGTCTTTCCCTCATTTTCCCCTGCCCCTTCGCCCGGTCTGCCCGCGCCCTGCCAGGGCCAAACATTCCTGTTGACCAGGATCCATGGACGGAGGAGCGTCACCGCAATCCCCGCTCGGGGGTCGTGCAAGGACCGTGGCGGGGGCATGCGTGTACACGTGGACGGGTCGTGGTGGGCACGTGATCGGTGGGGGGCGCGGATATAAAAAGGGGAACGGAGACAAAGGAAGCTCTCTCTGGCTGCCGTCTCTCTTGCTACCGACTTGGGGATCAACGAGTCACGGAGGCGAGCTCGGACGGCGGTGGACGCTGGCGCGGGGTAGTGCGGGCACTACGTCGAGTGGCGGACTCGAAAAACGAACCGGACAGCGACCCTGGACGACGACGTCCCCATGACGTGGTGTGGACGACCACCGCTGGGACTCGGAGAAGCTGCTGTGGCAGCGGACTCTCCCCCGGCCTCGCTGATGACCGTCTTCCGATCCCGAGACCCCCCCAAGGCAATGAGTGAGTGAATAAACCCTTCTGCCGATAGCGAAGTATTGCAGAGTCATATTCATCCGGAGACAGGGTTTGTGGGAATCGGAGCTAGAAGAAGCTTACAACGCGTATCAACCAAACGGGTGAAGATTGTTACCAATGAACATAATACGGATTTCATGAAATAATTCCCAATTTATTCATACTACATATCTAGCAAAGAAGTAATGCAAAGAACTTCGTACTTCAACCGTAATGGACCTCTTGAGCAAGCTTCGGGTCTACTGCAGGAGTATGTCCCTTTTTCTATTTCTAGCTTTATGTGATCCTCGGCAATACTGTAGGTTCCATCTCATTTACACGTCTATTATGACTCGTCTCCGTTATACTCTCTCATTTTAACTATCGAGTGACAATTAAAATGGGTACACATACACCTGCCTCATTTTATGGTGTCAACAAAATTAAAATGTGTTAGGCGTGTGGAGGGGTATGTTAGAGAATCGCCTGGGGTGCAGACGTTCGACTCACCTCTTGAACTGCTCTGCGGAACTCTCCACCTGGTGCCATGCCCAGCTGTCGAGTCAGGTGTGCAGACATGCTCAGCAGCAGGATGTACATGATTCCTTGGACGAGGCCATTCTGCAACAAAAGGTGCCAATGCTACACATGTGCCACTCATTTGAACACTGACTGTGTCCAGGAGCACAGTACACATAAAAGAAGTTTTGTGAGTCAGCTGAGACAAGTGGCAGCGTGGAACTTCCCACAAAGCCAAGGCTCCACGACTGATTTGCCTTCAATGTCGATTTTGCAAAAAACAAATATCGCCCTGCGCAAAGTATGCGCAGAGAGGAGGGGTGTTGGGTTGTGACCCGCAACAATGACTATCAATAAATCACCACGTCTCGTTGAACCGGTGTGTTGTGACATCCTTCAAAACAAGCAACAGCAGCAGAAAAAAAAAGAAAAAGGTTTGAAGCAAAACTTGCTTTTTACCATTGCAGTCTCACGAAAACAATATTTATGTCGTACGTCATACATGGGGTTCTTCACATTTCGGAATATATAATGAACCTACCAGCTAAAATTGCCCGTGTTATGCTTTCCCCTGTGGAATCGGTGAGCTTGTCTGTCAGTTTTTCAATTTTCACGGTTGTATTTTAAGTTGCTTTCGAGGATGTTAAGCGTACACTTCTTTCTGAACTTAATTTGGACAATAATGACTGAAAATTTTGGATCAACAAGTTCACCGTCAAGATGCACCTCTGCACAAAATCTCATGATCCTGTGTTTAGATGCTAACCAATGAGATTTAATTTCTTAACTTATTTACCTAGTAATTTTAATGGCCTGAAAAAGCACCCTGCTCTCAGGGACACAGGGAATGTAAACATGCACCAACTTACAATGAAACTAGTAAGCAATTTACATTTTCATCTTACCTTAAGAGTGAAAAAGAAAACATATGCCTGTTAACGTAATAGAGCAAGACAAACATATCTAATGAAAAAACAGGTGAGCAGGCACTTTTCAGAACCTCAGATTGAAAGTCTGAAACCCGAGCAGCTCACTATATCTTGTCTCACCTTACCTCGGGATGCGGCCCACGCTACGAGCTGGTGGGACCAAACAAACTGTGTCAAAAGTGCAAGTCACTTGACCTCTCTTGAACATGATTGGCTCAGCGATGATAGAGCACATACAGAAACACAACAAACACTATGATGGTGAACTTTTGATGCTGTATGACTGGTCTCATCAGCTTGTAGCCTCGGCTGCATCTGGACTTAAGGTGAAATTAAATAAACCAGCACAGTTCCAAGTAATGTGTTTGGGACCATAGTAATTTTTTTTTTTTTTTTAATATTTGGTGAGAAGTGGTGCAAACCTGCTTGATGGTGCTCATCATCTTTTCCATGTTCATGCTCTGAGACTCCTTCAGGATCAGTTCCTCATCGAAAGAAAGGATGTTCACCCGGCTCTTGCATAACTCTATCAACACCACATCAGGCTGTGTTTCTTGGATTGTCTGCAATTGGAGGAAAAAAAAACCACATCAGTTTAAAAAAGAAACAAGTTTCACACTATCACTCATTGCTGATCTAACCAAAAAGTTGCAACCAAGTAGACTGTCCCCCTTGGCACGTTTTAACGGGCATGAACAATGAAAGATGTTCCACTCCACTTTCAAGGCTGGTGAGATACACCCAGCATGCATTCATGTATCTCAACAACACTTATAAAGCTCAGAAAGTAGAACTATTAGAACGCACAAATGAAAAGAAACTCAAATGTTGCTTCCAGGTATTTCAGGGTTTTTGCTTACTTTTTTTCCACTTGCTCAGGGTCTACCGTAAAATACTGGGCAAGTGCCCACTCAAAATTTTGAGATAATCATGAAAAAATAGGGGATGGGCACTTGTCTGGTCATCAATTCTACATATCTATGTACTGTGCATATTTTCTCAGATTTTACAAATTTGGGAATGGGCACTTAATGTGGTATGGGCGGATGCACGGTATTCTATGGTATGTTCAAAGGATAATAGCATAAGAATAACCCCCCCCCCCCCTCTCCAGTATAAAAGATGCACTTGAACTAAATCAATGTTATTTTCTCAATATAATCAGCATATCCACTAAGAAAGGAAAAATAAGAGAAAGAGAAGAGGAAAACGGCAACTGTCCGCACAAAAAAGTTGCCTTGTCCTGTCCTCTTTGGGTCTTTCCTACATGTTTTGGGATCGGCAGCAGTCGAGAAAAGAGCAAGAGATACATCGCCGCTCAGTAAAATGCCCCACAGAAAACCTGCTTGCATGCACAACCTGGACAAATTCACTCGGCAAAGCCAACAAGAGAGTTTGCAACGTTCCGGTCCATAAAAAGGCAACTTCACTACTTTGTCTGGAGAGCGTCTCCAACTGGTGTGTCTAGCGTCCTATTCCGCCCACGCATCGAAAGGGGTCCCAAAGTGACAACGAATGACGTCGCACAAGCCGATGTGTCCCTTGTCGCGATCCTGGCAATCGGTGCTAGAAGTCCCGACATAAAGCACAACCAAACACGAGTGTCGCCATCGTCCCGGCACTAGAAGTCCTGGCATAAAGCACAACCAAACGCGAGTGTCGCCATCGTCCCAGCGTTCCGACTTTTGGCTGCCGAAGTTTCCGCGAACTGTCAAGCTGGAGAGCGACCTGCAGCAGAACAGGAGTCTGCCAAATCCACCACCATGGCTGCGACATCGCCAGGGCCACGGACGGCGACGGCACAACACTTCTGCGACGACATTGGGCGAAGACTCGTTTCAGGCGCTCTACTGACCCGCCAGCTCAGAGGCCCCGAGCGGGAGATCCCGTAAGCCGGCGCGACGCTTGGGGGAACTCACTTTGGCGACATCTTCCTGGCTCTCCAGGCTGAAATGAGCCGTGCCCACGAGGTACACCACGCAGCCTTCGTCGGTTTTGAGGACGGTGACCGTCTCTGGCAGCTCCGGGTTCGCCTTGCGGTTTCGTTGGATCGTCATGTGCGGCATCCTCGGAACCTCCCCATCGCCGTCACTCAACCCCAGCATTTCGTCGGGGTCCTCGGATTCCAAGTCCGACTGGCCGTCCTCCGCTGGAAAAAAGATGCGAGCGAGCAGTTAGTTTGTCCCGGGAAAACGGGTGGAACGAGCTCTGAACGGTGGTCCTCGCTACTGCAAAGAACCATAAGGTCGTGATGCAATGAGACGGTACAGCTCACTTGCTGGCTTGACGAAGGACAATGTACTTGCGAGTTGAGGGGGAGACTGGGATTAATGCGCCTTACGGGAAGAAATTTCACGTACAACTGCTGCATCATGACCGGAAGCCACGGCATGCGAGAAACATAAACATAAAGTTTGCCAATGCACCTCTTTTTTTTTTCGCTTTTGTATTTTTTTTAAAAATAATTATCTAACTGAATGGTCTTGGGTTCACCTATTAGAAGAGAGAGAGCTCTTTCACCAACTTGCTCCTCTGTAAATTTTCTGGTGGCCTCAAGGGTGGAACCAGGAATGCTTCTTAGGCGGTGCACTATTTCATACATGCTCATTCGGTTCAAAGTGCTAGCAGACAACTTTCTTCTTTTATGTCTATAGCTAAGCACAATGCTACTTTTTTCCCTCCCTCCAGAAATCATAATTGAACAATAATTAGGGAAAAAAAAAAAGCAAGCCCGAGTTAGTTTCACCGAAACAAAAAAATGGCCGTGACGAACGTGACTAGAAGTGAGCTTCTCCAGAAATGAGAACAAAGCTGCGTTAGGTGGCACCATAGGCACACTCTTTTTCAAAAGCTGCACATAGCCTTGTAAGGGCTAGTCAGCAGATGCAAAGGTAAGCCCACAAGTTATTTTGATCAATCGGTAGTAATTGCTGCACTGAACATTTCAAGGAGGGTATAACCGGTGTTCACAAGCATGACAAAAGACCTTGCACACAGCAAGATCACGGCGCCACATCCATGAAAGGTCTCAGGCAAGCAGCGAGAAACGAACCAGAACTTGCGGCTACCAGTCCTGCTCATACAGAGTGCAACATGGTTAGCACAAATAAGCGATCACTGTTTTTTACCGCTTATTAGTCACAAATGAATGGCCCTCATCTAAACTATTTGTGCGGCGAAATGTGCTCACCCGGTGCCCCGACGTAGGCAACAAAAGTTTAACACTTGTCATCACTTTGCGCAAGTACAAAGCAAGAAAAGCCCCAACATCGGGTTTATACATAGCTCTCACGCAAGGGCGGACGCAGGTATTTCTTGAGGGGGGGGTCAGGTGTTGGTCAGGGTATCATATGTTTAAGACCCCCCCACCTTTCCCGTTTCCACGCCCTAAATTTTTACACATACAGAATTCAAGAGGGGGGTCAGGACATCCGGACCCCCCTCTGAATCCTCCCCTGCTCTCACGTGATGTCACTTCCTCTATTCCCGCCTGCCTGCCGCCATTGCCAGGTAGTGAGAAGCAGATGTAAATGCTCCGCCGCCGCCGCACGTGTGTCGCTCGATTGCTAATTTGTTACGGAATTTGTATCGCCCGTACAACGCGACGGTGAAAGCCATTCGCCACGAGTTCTGCCCTTCCTATTTCTTAAAGCTTGTGGGCCCCACACGGGCTTGGTACAAGTCTAAAGTGAAGCTGTGCGACGGCGTCAATCTGTACACGCTACGTGTCGGTGCGGACACCACTCCAGATGCGGACGTGCAGCCAGCCACAACGCACTAGGTCATAATTAACTATCTGGTTTTGTCAACAAACTATATGTTGAACATGATTAAAAACAGCCTCAGCCTCATCATGTTCAACTCTTACCAACTGGCCAAAATCACCACCCTACTTCAGTTTATTTAAACTATGTGTCGCTGCAACAGATGAAGGCCTTCAAGGCCCGGATGCCATTAACTATTCCACGAGTGGATGGGTGAAGAGCCTGACATTGATGCGTTTCCCAACGAAGTGTATCGTCGTGCTGAGCGAGGCAAGTTGACAGGAAATGATTACAAGCGTCCTAATGAGAGCCAAAGAGCCGAAGCTTTGCATGCAAACGAATAGATGCGCCCATACTTGCTGCTTGAAAATCCGCAGCATCTAGCTGGGTAAAATCGGCGCCGCTGCCTCAACATTAACGACACAAGTGTGCTACAAACACTTCACAATTACAGAAAAGCTGCGAGAAAAGTAAAACCACATCCCTGCAGCGTGACGCTACCAGACACCAAACACTGCCTCGGCCGCTATGGCAATGCGAACAGGGTGCGAACATAAGCATCCAGCAATCGACGTACAGTTGAGCAACGCATTTCTTACTGGTAATGAAGTGACACAGACACGGACATTTCCTATGTATGCGAGCAAGCCAGAGGCTTCGGCGTTTGTCGGACACCAGCTTTGTACGCTCTCACTGTTGCGTTATCACCTTTTGGAAACGGTTCAGCCCTACATTTGGCTCTGTGTTACTCTGCTGTGCAGAGGACTTGCTTCTGCTTCAGCAGCTGAACATCGCACACATCTGCAGGACTGCACCACTGAGACCGCACACCAGAAGAAAAAACGTGCACTGTGTGCACCACAAACGCCATAGCGACGCAGCAGCGGCCAACGTTGCCGGCGCCAATCCTGAAACCGAAACTATGTCAGTACCTGGTAATGGCGCTGACATATCCCATAAGCCCCGGCTGCGACGTCCGTAAGAACTATGTATACTAACTGTGTCGTGCTGTGTAACCGGTGAAATGGAATGCAGAGAAACGTGCTAAAGAGAATGATAACCGCCAAGAAAAAAAAAAAAGCAAACAAAGAAGAGCGATAGGGAATGCCAACCTGTCTCCCTAGAAAGAAAGCTGTCCTCGTCCGATTCGTCGTCGCCTCCGTCGTCTCCACCCTCGCCCTCATCTGCCGTTGAGAAGTGCTCGGGCGAGGCTTTGGAGTGGTCCCCTTCTCCGTTGGTAGCACCAAGCAGGGAAGCGTTTTTCTCAGAGTCCGACATGTTGTGTTTCTTCGATGGACTTTCGCTGTCCAGCGAGCTGGCGCCGTCCAAGGGGTTCCCATTGCGGTCCTTGCTGGGCGAGCTCGGCTTGTTGTTGGTCGTTCTCGCGGCGGCGTTCGTGTTGTTCGGACCGTTCGTTAGTGTGCCCCCCGTCGCCTTGTCCTGGGCAGTTATCACCCCCGACTCTGAAATAGAAAAGAGGCCACCAATGAATCGATTGACAGTTACGGAAACGCGATTGGTGTATTGCCAACATGGAACATCTCAAATGGTGCTAAAGAATTGATAGACAGTTAGGAAAACAACACGATTGGTGTAACATCTCCATGTGACAGGGATGTGCACCTCCTTGTGCATGCTCCCATTCAACCGCAAGGCTAACACCAAGTGCAGAAGCCCCGACAAATGACGTCAGCAAGCTACGGTGAAGTTTAATAAACTACCGCGAACTTTAGTGTCTGGGGTGCTGTCTGGCAACTGTTGAGAGAAGGCTGAATCTACAATGTTTGCTAAACAGCGTCGTTTCAATGTTGCGTGACTGTAACATGTTTTGTTTTCTTCATTTTTTTTAATGACATGCAATTATTGAATTCTGCTTTTCAAGGTTTGGTCAGCGTTCCAATGCACCTCGATAAGCATTGTTAGGACCACCTGTCTAATCAGAGCTTTAAAATAGGAAGGTTGAAGAAACGCGTCCATAGTGCGAGTTTTTTGCTGGTTCTTTCGATCAAATCGCTTCGATTTCCGGGAAGTTACGGTCAGACGAGTAGGCGTGTCTCGACCACGTCGTGTTCATTGTTGCTGTTGACAAAATACGTTGCATTGTCCCAGTTTAAACATGCCAATGCCTTCGCACAGCTGGTACGCAAAAAGCTAAAAGATTAAAAACAGAACAAATAAAGTACACCGGATATTTAAACATTGCGATGTGTATTAAAAATGTAGAAAGAAAGAAACCTGAGCAAACCACCATTGCAAGTTTCCTTCGGTGACGTGAAATGAAAATGACACGGTTATATTAAGAACCATATCAGAACATATGGCGTTTTCGGCATGATCAAAACAAAAGTGAACTGGGGACAGCATTTCGACGACGCAATCCATTGCTCAAAACTGTGCTTCCGTTTTAAATTTTACATTGTTTTCCTGCCCCAAAAAAACAAAACAACTTCTTTTACAATTTTGGTTTTACACTGTAAGCGAAGATAGGAAGAAATTGTTATGACGTGTGCCAAAGCCCGAAAATATGATTAGGTATTTCCGAGGATGTACACCTTTAGAGACTGCCCAACTTTTCCGTTGAACACCACCGTGATAAGCTCCAATGGCATTTTCAGATGGCGTTGCATACGCTGCAACGTGCATCTAAGAAAATACCCGAACTCTGGCTTTGTAGTATCACTTTAAAATTAGGTAGAAATTTGAGAAAAACGGTGATCTCACCTCCCGCTATCGAGTCTCCCATATTTCTTCTTTCAGTTACGTCCACTGTTTCGTCATTTAGCAGCGTGCTGATGAGCCAGCCGACATTCGTTTAGCCGCAACGCTCCACACGCTCGTAAGCTAAACCTCTTTCAATATTTTTAAGTCACACAATTTATAATTCATATAGTAGTTAAAATTTGAAAAAATTTTGAGAAGCATTAAAATTAAGAAGTTAAAAAAGTCAGCGCGATACATAAAATTAGAACACGGAACACCGATGATACAGATCCACAGATAAGCACAACTCCACGAGACAACATCCAATTCAATCCAGTTTTCTGTGGCGCCTTTCTTTTGTCTGCGATTCTTTAGTTCGTTGTTGTCTGGCGGGTGAAGACGTTGCAGAGATACGGAACGGCCAGAGGCACCGCAGCTTTTTTTTCCCCGAGAGACAAAACGCATTTTTTCGGTCATGTATAATAGCGTGTCGACCTACACGCCGGACATGTATACACGGTCGATGTGGTCGTCTCTAGTACCTGCAGCGTTTCCAGATGTCGAGAATTTCTGCTACCCGCATTCGAGTTATCGCCCCGACTTGGACCTATCGTCGTCGTCCGAAGAGGAGGAACCGGATGAGAACGACATCGCCGTGCGGGTGAAACGGGCCCGGCAGGCCTACATGCAAGAGGTGCTGGACAACTGGTCGAAGCGTCCAAGCTGCCAGCCCGAAGCAAGAGCAGCTCGAAACGCCAAACTGCGTGAGGCCGGCCGGGCCTGCAAGGCAGCCGAGTGCCCGAGAGACAGGTATGCATTTTGTCAGTTGGTGGTTGCTGCCAGCTTGTCTCGCGTCCGCCTGTCTCGGGAGGGGACCGTTTTACGTCCGATGTTGTTCCAAACTCCAGTTTTCTGAAAAAAAAAAAAAAAAAAAAAAAAATCAATACAGGACAAGGCCCCGATGGGTCTGTGGAAGCCTAACGCGGCATGGCAACAAGGGAGCCTCAAACATCGTACGATTTCGATTTTTTTTATTGTAGGAGTGTTTAAGTTATTGCTGAGAGTAATCTTGCCGACTCAAGCAAGTATGTATGTAAGAAAGAGTTTTATTTATTTTTCTTCATTATCTTTTTGTTATGGGCAAAACGTGGATATGAATTCTGATGGCCTATATGCGTGACTCGGAGGCCGCAAGTGACGCATCCGTAGTGTCCACCCACAATTTATTTTGGCGGTGTTGCATCTGATAACGCCTGTCGAGGGAGGGCTTCACTCGATCCTGTTTGCTGATGAATATACGAGGACTCAGTGATAGGAACGGAGATAATAACCAAAGTGGTGCCTGGAAACCTGTTAAGTCTAGAATTTTTGGAGGACAAGATACAAGAGTATGTGTAAAGCAGTCCAGCAAAAAAGAACTTGGCAGCTTTTTGTTCTTTTACTTGTCTTTGAAACACAGTCTCGGTGTATGACTGAAACCTTGTTTGTGTAGACAGCATGGAGTTGGTCTGCACCAGTGGGTGTCTGGCACCTGCTCTGTAGACTAGATATTTAGACAGTGCAGTACTACGGCTGGTCTGGTGTGTCTAACGTGCATGATGCGGTAGTTACCCACGACCGCTTGCCAGTACAATGCTTGTCTAAATCTAAACTGGCAAATTCAGCCCAGGATCCCCAGGTTCTGCAGTGCAAGTTTTCGACCACTGGAATTTCTGTACTAAAGTTTCCAATAAACTCAGTCTCCCTTCTTGTCAAGGTTAGCACAGTACGTAGCAGTCGACCGCCTTCAGAACTTGCGCCGAGAGCAAATGCCATGTCAACTTGTTTTCCAGGTGTTACGGGCTTGCCGTGAGGATAGTGATGGACTTCCACATATGCAGAGCAATGGGCGACAAGAATGCCAGCAATTCGGAGTGCATCGACGACAACTACGATGAGCTGCTCAGTATAGAGCAGGGTAAGCAGCTGTACTCGGACCGTCCATCTTACGCAAAGCCCGAATACTTGGCCGTCAAACGCCAGGTCGAGCTGGTGCGGCTGGATCTGTGGGAAACCGAACAGACCCTTCTGGATCGCCAAAGGTTGTATGAGCATAGAATACGAGAAGCCGAGGGCCACCTTCGAGACCACAGGATGATGCAGGAAGGGTGGCGTCGTAACAAGAAGTCGGAGCGAAAGGTAAGACTCCGCAGTCGCATATTTTTCTTGTGTTTGCTACCAAACGTTCGCTCTGATCGATCTTTGTGAGGCCGTCGTTCGCACCACGTGAGCTAAGTTGGTGCAAAAGTCCAAACATATCACAGTTCGCAAGAGGCTCGTCTGTAAGCTACGTCTATGTGGCCTGCATTATTGTTGCGTCGGCCACCATCGCTCCTTACCAGGCTCCCGTGCCTTCTGCAGTGTACGTTCGGTGCCGTCAAATTTGAATTTAGCGGTGCCGAATGTATGCTACACAAGGTACAGGGCAATGGTGGACAGTACACTGCCATGACATTGTGTGCAAGGAATGTACATGTATTAGTAGTAGAGGGTAGTCTCCAAGTTTTGGTTTTGTAGTTTCCACTTGGGCTAGCGACCGGTCCAAATTCCACAAGATTTGTACAAAGGTGCCACATTTTGAATGAGCTTGTCGCAAAGTGGGCAATGAATTGAAATTTGTGCAGAAGTCACCTAAACAGCAGGGTAACGTGTGACCACCTTGTGGCAACTATAAGCATTTTCCATTTCGTTCCTTTGCTACATTTAATTAAACAAAGCAAGTGAATAGGCAAAAAGAAAAAAAAAAGGCCAAGGTTTTAGGGTCATCCCTTTGGAACAGCTTGCGCAGTCAAAACCACAGTTGCAGCCGTCACTCGGCAGGAGAACGGCCGAGTCTTCAGAATATTTTAGTCGACACACCCGCTGGCAAGAAGTTACTGCAAGACTAGTGAAGTGTGTCTTAGGCTTCGATAAGCGTAAAAGCACACTATAGTCGCTGACGAGCGTTGTCGAAGCTAGGAAGTTTGCGCAGGTGTTCCGGTCCTGTTGGTTCTCATCCTGTCAGACACTAGAGTAGTGTTCTGCCCATAAATGATTACTGGTACAACGCAGTGTCTGTGGTAGCTACACTGTGCATTTCTTTTGTGAGAGTAGTGAAGGAACATCTCACCTTAGTCAAAAGGAAATTTTCTTAAGAGTTTGGTCGGGGTGAAGGAAAGGTCCAGGCAGGTCTTTGGAGCATTCAACAAACCTGTGATATTGAGCAATGTTGGAATTATTGCCCAGATGACCCATAGTGACATTCTGCTTTCAAAGCGCTTAGTTTTCCTGTTGGTCTGTGGCAAACTCTCGTCTTATGTTCAACTTTTCGTCGCAACAAGTCTGTTTTGGCATGTTTACAGCACCACCAGCTGCTAGTTTTACCTTTCTTGCATATTGGCATCTTCGAAAGCCCAGTTTTTGGTGTTTATTTTGGGCGGGCTCCATCTGTTGGGCCTGTGCTCTACAACGTCTGTAGCTTCCTTTGCTTAGTTTGGCTCTGTAGTTCTGTACTTATGGGGTTTTCTTCTCACTCAGGACGGTGACCCCGACACTCGGGCAATGGACCTTGAAGCCACAATCCTGCTCAACCGGAACAAACTGGCAGCGATCAAGGAGACCATATTGCTAAGGAATGCAGACCACTTTGCCAGGATCCGTGGAGAAAAGCCAATCTTCACCTTCCCGGGCATAACTGTTGATGGGATCGGACTGGACGTGATTTGCCACGAACCTTGACGTTCATATTCTATGAGAGGTGCACTTCTGCAACATTTTGTATCCTGGGTATCTGTGTCCACCTCTTTCGTAAACTACCTCAGTATTTAATACTTTTCCTTCCTCAGATATCTTTGATTGATAATGCATTAAAGAACCTGCCTGCTTGAAACAGCCTGGTTTTGTGGACTCATTATTTTGTGCATCTAACCTAAACTGGCCCTCCAGAATATTTTAGAGGCTTCAAATTCTGAGCAGAGCTTGAGAACAAAAGCAGTTCCATAGGTTTTTGTTTTCTTGATTGGATTCTTTCGGAAAACTTAGTTGTTTGCATGATGAGACTAAAATTCTGTTCTGTTGGACAGGTTTTCACTATTCATGTACCATCTCTGTATCCACGTTTGTTTGGGAAGTATCAACAAAATACCTCTTTATTCTTTCTCAGGTACATGGAGGCAAGTACGACGACTGTTAAAGGTGCACTAAAGAGGTTTTTGAGCATCTGCATGAAAGCTACTGCAATTGTATGCTCTAAACGTCCTAAAATACAAAGGACCTGTCGTGCGTAGCCTATTTTTAAATGACATTTACACAATGTGATAGCCAAGGGCCCGTTCACACACTTGTAACAGAGCGGGACCGAGAGAAGACCGGTTTTTAGGCCTCTTGCGATCTCTTGGGACCAGATACACTGCTGCGGAGCTAGTTCTAAGGCGTCGCAAGAGGCTTAAAACCGGTCTTACTCGGTTGCAAGTACCTGTTGGCCAATAGATCACATTGTCATAAAAAATCTCCAAAACCTCTTTAGTATGCCTTTAATACACACTGTACAGACTTGTCAGCCCTTGTTGGCTGTGTTCATTTCTGCACAACTCTACAAGCTATGGCCCCCCTGAGTCAATGATAGTGCCCGAGCTACTTCGTCGCCTCAAGAAGAGAAAAGCAACTTTTGCGCGTTGTTCATATGCCGTGCAAAGTAGTTCTTACAAACTGATTGTCCTAGATGCCTATAATTGGTGGCATCTCCACTGCGATAAGGGCACTGGTGTACAGGGTGCAGCAGTATGGACTGGCCCAGCAGCACAGACCGGGGTGGCACAGAAGCCACGCAAGGAGCCCCGGGAGGTTGGAATGGACGCGCATTCCCTGTTGTCACGTTGTGGTAGTCTTTCATAACCTAGGATGTTGGAGGCAGAGTTGTTTGGCCATACATTGGGAAGGATAGGAGGCAAATGAGGAGACGCCATTGGTTGAAAGCGGGCTGGGCGTGTTCCAAGGCGTCTCTACAAGTTTGAATGTGGCTAGCCAGAAACTGCGAATAATACCCTGGCGGTGGTCGCAAGAAACAAAATTAATAAGTGTGTTGGAGTAACCCACTGGGGACTAAAAATATTGTACACGTGATTTTTCGATCACGGCCATGCCAAATAAGAAATCTAGCAGAACGATCTACATAATCCGTACGCCAGGTGCCGAGGGCCGTGAATCTACCATCCAAGCGATCAAACTCTGTTCAAGCAAAAGAGAGTGAGCGGCACATTCGATTTTTGCATCTTTTTGCATGATCATAATCGAAACATCGTGCGCAGCATGTCAAGCCCTCCTTCTGCATCTGGTGCACGTCCTGGCTCTGCCCACTTCTCCCATTGACCGAACTCTCCCTATATACGGCTCGGGCCGGAGACGCCCCTTTCGGTTAGCACTAATCTGGACCAGCTCATATTGCTGCTGAGTGTACGCAGATGTATCCTAGCAAGGCACCTAGCCAGGATTTTGATTCGGGAGGGGGGGGGGGGGGCTTGCCCATTACAAAATGCTGTATGAGGGGGAGGGGGAGAGGAGGCCCCAGCAAAATGGAAGATTTCGGGAAGGGGAGGGGGCTATGGGGCCCCTCCCCTGGCTACATGCCTGATCCTAGCCAAGGCTATAGCTTTACCTTCAAGTTCACATTCAAACTGTTCCCAAATAAAAAAAAATAAAAAAAAGCGAGCACGAAAAGTATTTGAATTGCTCATTCATCTCGGCCACTATGGCACAAACTACCATAAAATACCATGGAAGCGTTCACTTCGTTCAAGCGCCCGCTATTAACATTTCCTAAACTTGGGAATTCTGCAAATTATACGCTAAGTGCCCGATTTAACCGGAAAAGCATCCATGCCTAGATTAACCCAGTTTTCAGTGAAAGTAGAGTGGGCACTCCCCGGTATTTTACGGTAGGTATTTTGGTGTATACATGCATGGGACACCTCCGAAACTAGTGATCATGTCGAACAGGGGGATCATAGCTTCTCTAGTATCTTAAGTTTAAGAAGGATTATCACTCGATGCCTCTTGCGACACTAGCCGTAGAGTACCTCAGAAAGAACTGTAGTCGCCGTTCGTAATAATTTCTTAAAAATTATGCAATCCTCTTCTTTGGTCCCAGCATGTCGTTCAACTCTTGAGTCACAAGAAGCTCGATCAGGGGTGGCACTTGGTTCCATCATCTTTTTTCCTGGCTGAACTTTATCACGGTAGAATGACAACATTTTGTTTCATCTGCACTTGACAAGTGCTACATTAATCTCAAGCACATTCAGAAAACTTTTGCAGCATCCTTTGACTAGTTCAACACTGAATAACTTACTAAGAAAAGCTATGAAGAAGTAGATGAGATTGCATTAATTCTGTTGCCCTCAAAAGCACAGAGGATATTTAAAAAGGGTACACGAGATCGCTGCTTGTAGAGGAATGTAAAAGCTAAGTTTCAATCTCTTGTATATGTGGCACAAGAACTTTTAGGTATACGTGCAAATGATTCAACAATATATTGAGAAAGGTGCAGGTAAGGAAATATTTTCTCGCAAGGCAAAAGTTAGAGTAATAAATAAGGAACATCGGACAGCAAACACTGAAGGTGCACGAGCAGACAATCTACAATGAAGTCGTCGACGGCTGAAGGTGCACGAGCAGACAATCTACAATGAAGTCGTCGACGGCTGGAAAATAATACTGAAAGGGCAGGGCCTGTTACAACATGCTGAACACACCCTAAGAGAGCAAGAAAAAGTTATCTCGCGGCTAATTCCATAAAACTTGCCACTTAAAACTAGAGGCACAGTTTTGCAACTTCAAGGCAGACCCAACTGCAATTATCTTCTTGACACAAAACTAGAGATGCAGAGGTCCCCATTGGCAAAGCACTTGGCACAGTGCTTGCGGCGAATGACCCAGCATAAAAAGTGCCTTCAGCACCAACTGGAAATGGTGCTCCTTTCGAAGGTAGAAAAATACTTTTTCCCGACTTCTGAGAAAGGAGTGGGTTCCCTGCGAGACAATGTTGGGCTGCAGTTTCAACAACGTCAGCAAACGGCTCTGATGAGGTTGCAGTCGTCGAAGTAGACTTTTTCGAGCTTGCTGACGGTCTTGGGGTCCAGGTCTACGACAGCGACAGAGAAGAGGTAGGTTTGCCCGTTGCTGTCTTGCACGACCGAGTCCTTGGGGTACACCCTGGTCCTGCATGTTTCACACCATATTTTCACCGAAAGAGCGCTTCAAAAGCACTGAGGCAACTACATATATGATGATTACCAAAACATCCCTGATGTAGGATGATGCGCATTTGCTACGACGGTGGTTGTGAAAACGGTTGGAATGGTCGGTGTATTTTCTTTTGTGAGTGGTATCCGAGACCTGCGTTTAATACCCAGTCTGCAGAGCTTGCTTTGTCATGACACATAGATGTGAACTATTGAGGAGCAAAACCATGTAAAGGCCCGTTCACACACTTGCGACCTCTGAAAACTAGGGATGCCGCAAACTTTTTTCGAATCAAAGTTTAGATGATCGAATCAAGCGGTTCGAAAGGTTCAAAATATTTCGAATTTTCCATATCGAGAAATTTGACGGAAGTCGAATTTTCGAACTTGTTAAACTATGAAGTTCGATGCTTTTCGAACTTATTACGCTGCAAAATTCGATGCTTGTCGAACTTTCGAACTTGATAGACTAAAAAATTCGATGATTTTCGAACTTTTGGATTTCCTTTTCGATGATTTTCGAACTTCCGACGCTGCTGGTATGGTAGAACGCTCCTCGACCTCAAGTTGTGTCGGCTTCTGTGCTTTTTGCTCCGCGTTTCTTCCGTCTCCGAAAATAAACCTCCAAAACAATTACAAACTAAAAAATTGTCAAGGTGCAGGCGAGCTAGTGTATGTTGATCATGATGCAAAATCCCGAGACTGGGAATGAAATTCGAAAGAAATAGTGTAAGAAGAAAGAAAAAAGGGGACAGGACGAAGTCTCAAACTCAGTTGAGTTGAGTTTGAGACGTTATTCCTGAGCTGAGTTTTCAGCTGAGTTGAGTTTGAGACGTTGTCCTGTCCCCTTTTTTCTGTCTTCTTACACTTTTTCTTTCAAATTTCATTCCCAGTCTCAGGATTTTGCATCATGTACAAACTAAACTTACTATATGCCAGCGTCACTCGGGCGGCGTTCGAGCAGATTACTACCAGCGTGCAAGGGGGCGGGGAGGCAGTTTGCCAGATCGCTTCAAGGTTTTTCTGAGCCTCAAGTGACCCTCAACCACCTGCCTGCCCCTGGCCGTTTCGGACTGGACGAGTATCGTTAAACAGTGCGTTCGTGTGATCACTACTGCGTGATGCACGTTAAAGACCCACCCCCCCCCCGGGCTGGCGGCCACAATTACTGATCTGCACACGTCACTCTGCACTGGCAAATAATCCAGAACATCCGGGACGCTCGTCGTCTCATTTAATTGCTTGACCAACTTCGCGCAATCTGAATATCACACCCGAACATTTCTAAACCTGATTTTGTGGAAACCAGTCAGTCGTGAAAACATTATTTGAAACTGAAACTGTGGCGGAACATGAAAACCGGACTTCCAACTTTGCGCACTTGGAAAGAAATTCGAAACTTAAGTTTCTTTCTCGAATTTAGCGCTAAAAGAGAATCGAAACCTTCGAACTTTTCAAACTTTATGTAGAAAAAAATTCGAAATCTTCGAATTTATCGAACTTCATGTCTATAAGAATTCGAAACGTCCGAAATTTTCGAATTTCAGATCCAAAGAAATTCAAAACATTCGAATCTCTCGAATTTTAAGTTAGGAAAGTTCGAAATCTTCGAATTTCTCGAACCTCAAGTAAAAAAATATTCAAAATAATCGAACCCAAACTTTTAGAAACCGTGATAGCTTCGAACTTTTCGAATTCGAAACTCCACGATTTTTGAAAGTTGCAAATTTTTCGAATTCGAATCTCCGCATGGTCGAAAATATCGAAACCTTTCGAATTCGAACACCGGTTCGGTTAGAAAATATCGAAATCGAACCTAGGGTGGTTCGCGGCATTCCTACTTAGAACCGGGTGCCTTGGAACCTCTTAATATCTCTTACAACAAGGGGACACACTGGCGCCATCTATTGGTAGCAGTGTAAGCTTGGCGGTTCGGCATATTTTCTATTTCTCTCGTGCATTATCCTTTTTTTTTTCTTTCTTTTTGGCTCGAAGAACTTTTGTCAACATTATAAACGAGCCTATCTTATAGGTAATATGCACATTTGACCTCTGAAATCCCACAAAACCTTCGCTCTTGTGAAATGCAGTTCCAGGGTCACCGCATTGATGGCGCCAGAGTGCCAGCGTGTTCTCTTGTCCTAAGAAATTTTAAGAGGTTTCAACATGTCTCGTCTCTCTTGGTCGTACTCAGTTGCAAGAGTGTGAACGGCCTTAATGAAAAAAAGAAAAGCCTTGTCACAAGCTAAACTGGAGAACTTTGCTTTCAGGTAAGCAGGCTCTTTTAAAACTCGGGTGCCTACAACATTTTGCAGGCACCCTCAACAAGAAAACTACTACTATTGTGTCTTAATTAATCTTATCCCTTAGTACTACACAGTAAATGGCCTTTGCAATATACTTAGTGTTGCGAGCTGCAGCCATTGCAATATGCCGGACTAGAACCGGCAGTTGCAGTCCGACATTTTACAATGGCCGCTAATCAGTACGCTAAATCTATCCAAAACAACTAAAGCCTCGAAAAAGGTGACACCCACTGCTGGTAGACTAGATATACATAGAATGTCCCATGGAAGTGGAATTTTCCTTTGCAGTTTTTGGTGACTGATTCGCATTTACCAGCTGTATCCACCTTTTTACAAATGAGGTGCTGCCACCTGGATGCATGGCTGGGTTCGAGATTGAGTGGCAAGCAAACAAGTGTGTTCGTAAGCTTCTCCAATCCGCTGACCCGTGCTAGCATTTGGGTACATACCTAAAAATGTCAGATGCATCCTGTTGGCTCATTGAGACCGCTGTGACCTAGATACGTCTCCCCCAAAAGTCGTTTTTGTCCCCACTGTGGATTATCTTCGGCCCCGAAGTTAGGGCAAAAAATGCCACCTTCCCTCTATACTTGGCCAGCAGAAAGAGAGGGAGGGTACCAAACACACTTACTCTTGAACCCGTATTTCTAAGAAAAAGAAGATAAATTAATCTAGTGCAATTGCAGGCTCTTTCCCAGTCTACAGTCCCCACCCTCCACCAGCAACAGGTGTGCAAAGAACCAGAATTAAGTCGATAAAGTAGCGTATACTGGCGACTTACGCTGGTGACAGCTTTTGAAGGGAGAGCATGATGGAGCAGTCCCGGGCGGTTAGTGCCACCAGGAATTCCCATATCTGGAAAAGAAGCTTTCCCATCAAATTGATCGTCCACATCAGGTCCTGTATTCGGGCATGAGCTGACAGACCAGCCAGAGAAGGGCATGGGGACCCCAATGTAAAGGTTGAAAGAAAACGTCCCTGCAACCACTTCCGACTTCTGAACTGTAATGAGTGATAGGTCAAGAAGAATTCAGGAAAAGCTCTGGCCACAAGTGTTATGTGCCATCTTCGAGTGCCTAGGCTGTTGAGAAAATAGCGTGCCATCTGCTCCGCAACATCGGCTTCATGCAAGCGTAGGGACAATATTATCGTGTAGCAGCAAAAGGGACCCGTGTGACATCGTACAATGCAGAGAAGGGTGACTTCGGTGCAGGACGATTTCACGCAAAATAAAAAAAGCAATTTTTGTTTTTTGTTTTTTTGTGGCTTATATCATGCGACTGATTGCAACTTCAAGACTTAACGAAGATGATATGCTTCAAAAATGAATAAATATTGCTTTAAAGGCATCATTTTCGTAGGCGGGCTTTCTTTATGATTTTTTTAAGAAGCCGACGGAGTCTAATAAAGCGGCTTGGCTGTGGCGGCGTCGCTCGAGCACATCTCGCACAGCATATAACTTTGATGATGATGACTGGAGGACTTTTCTCGTCGCCGTACAGAAACCACCGAAAAAGAAAGCTGCATAACTCAATTCTTGAATTGTCACTGACTATAGTACTATAACACCAGATTTGGCATTCTAAATGAATGTCACATACTAAATAAGGCCTGAAAAGAAGGGAACATGTAGTACAAAGAAGCACCTGAATGTTCTGCATATTACTTCCTAATGTCCGGCCTGTGCACACCTTGCTTATTATATCGTATGATTTAGAAACTATGTAGTATATCTTTTCCCAATCTTCCATTCATTGCCCAGATGTGAAAGTGCTTGCCTTGCGACAGGTGAATTCAAGGTCAGTCTCGTAGACCTGCTGGTTGGGGAAGCCCAGGGCCTTGGGTAAAGATGGGGAAGGGTGGCCATCCTCCAGGTACTCTAACCTGTCACAAGCAGTGTCAGCTTAAAGGCATACCGCGCATATATTTTACTTCCCACGAATAAGGCCTTCCATTCTGGCCAGTGGTGACTGAAAAAAAAAGTTCCGGCGATGACCCCCTTTTAATTTTTGCTTTCGATCTTGACCAATGTTCGATCTAGTATGAGAAATATTTATTCCTTAGATCAACTAAAACTGTTGTCCAGAGAATGCAGAGTCGAAAGGAAGACAGTGACAAACATGGTTAACCAGAGTGGGTTCCCAAAGACACACAATGAGGGGGATAGAAAGACAGCGACTTGGGCGATGCACCACTAGAAACAAAAATGGTGACAGGAGACGCAATCGCCTTGTTTACACTGTCTTTGGCAGCTGCTGCTGGCCGCCTCAGGGCATTTTAAAGATGCCGATCAAAAACTGCCCTTACCAGGCTGCCAACTAGCAAGAGGCAGCAATGACAGCCCAAAACAAATAGTACAAACTCTATAACCATGCAGATTTGGTCATCCGCTCCAAAGTATGCGACACAATAATGTTGCCTGCTACAACATACTCATCAGCGTCAATCGTGTGCTATCGAGGTCTGTTGTAGCAGAGACCAAACATCGGCAGTTTGCCGGCTGCTTCGGACGACGTATCTCAATTAAACCGAAGACTGCACTCAAATGTCACTGTAAATTTGCACTCCAACATGTTGTACTGTTCTTTCTTTCTAGTGAAAGTTGGCTCTCCCGACTATCTAAAAGTGGTGCCCAGAGTGCACAAGGTGAAAATGCTCACGCGGAAAGGCTCTCGTTGGGGCACTGAAGGGCCTCCTTGAGACTAAGGTAGTGGGGGTAGACGGCCGTCACGTCCATCGAGCCCAGCCGCTGGATCTGTAGGATCCGGTCCAGAACACAGCCTCGCGGGAGCTTGTGCTGACCTCGGACGCCTGGATGGGAACAACAACCACTGCTTGCAACAACTGACAGTGTGAAAAAATGGGCTACAGTTGGTACTTATCAACAGAGCCGAGAGCACCGGTAAGACAAGAACACGAAGAGACACCACTACGCACTGAATGGTAAAACAAGCCGCGATGTTCAATATCAGAAATCAAAATTATTTATATATTTATTTACGGTGCCCATCAACAGCCAGAGGTCTAGAACGGTGCACCACGACAGTTGACAAACCAAATGACGGAACACAGCCCTCTACCAACACAGTACTAAAAGCGATTGCATAAGTGCCCCTTCAGTGCATCCTTCTGAAAACACAATTAAATTCCGATCGCTTCACCCTTCTGAAATGTGGGCCTCAACAGTTAGCACATTTCAAGAAATAGCAGTGCAATGTGGTATGCTTCTTTTGTCCTTGCATTCCTAGTTCCTTTAGATGTGTGGATCTGCAACATGCAGCAACAAAGCTTATACATGGAATTGTCATTTACAGTGGTAGTGGCTACAAGTTAACATTCTTGTGTTTTTTTGCTCAACGAGAGTCCCTGCGCTGAACTGAAGGCATCCTTACGGTTGGGGCATGTGCAGGCGGATGAAGAAGGGCATGACTGAGGGCCATGGTCACTGTGGCTTGCTGGCTCGTAGGTCAGGCTGCGGTCAGTCGTAGGGAAACAGTGGACCAGTATTTGTGTCACCAGCTGACACAGGATCTCCTCCCGGCTGCAAGGTTGACAGCGGTGGCCCGTTCTCAGATCACAAGCCAATGAAAGGGCACAAGACCATTCCTTATTTCTGTCAGTATGGAACTCCCCGTGGTTAGAATTTTCTTTCCGGTCAACTTTGCAGAATCTCTTTGGAAAACTCCCAAATGAAGAGGAAGTTTTGCAAGCACGGTAGATGAGTTGCTCGGTTAAAAGCGCAGGTTTTCTAAGCAGGCCTTTACGACAAAGGATAGAGTGTTAACAGAGAGCAAAATGTACTAACGCAATAAAATGAAAGGCAATATATATATATATTTTTTAAGCTGTGTTCTTTGGTGCAAACTTAGGAATAAGTCTAGTTTTGAAGCCAACAGAAATATGAAGGGAAAAAGAAGATAATTTCTGTTTTGAGAGTTGTAAAAACAAAGGATGTATTTACTATATGCCGTCTTGAAGGTCGACATACAGCCCCAATGTTCTGTAAGGCAGAATACCTTCTTACTTCCCTTCGTTGCCAAATTCTACTTTTTGATGGTGCTGGGCACAAGTGACGTTAAAAGGTTACTTTTGTGCCAGATGAATACTGCAAACAGAAATGACAGCAGTCGCTGTCAATTTGAATGGGTACTGAGAATATGGCATACCTTACTATGCCAGGCTTGTCAAAAAAGTCCTTTAGAGTAATGTCTAAACTGCTTCTGTTCTCCTCACTGAAAATAAGTTCCTTGTCCTAGGGAGAAAGAAGAGGTAAATTTTTGAGCATACCTTTGGAATGCTTTGCACTCGATTCTCCTAAACACCATTTATTATTTACATTTTTCTTCCTCTCCTCTTTTGTACTAATGTAGTACAACAAAATCGCTTCTGTCTGAAACTTAAAACTTTCTTTCGAGTCAAGCACGGTTTTAGAGTTGTAGCAGGCACTAAATTTCATGAAAGCAAAGCAGGCACATAGAGCAGATAGGTGCTCTAATTTGTGACAGTAGCAAAATGCAACTATCTTTCTACTTTGATTTTTTTTATTTGGTTTGTGTACTTGCATCAGGTACTAAGTACTGGAGGCATATGGAAAAAGCTGTCAGAAGGACAGCTTGACGAAGCAGCATTGACATTCGTGCAGCACAAGCAGAAGAACAAAACCTACATGCAGTTCAATTCCCAGCATTAAAAACAGAACTTAGAAATAGCATGAACGATAAAATAGCAAGAACACTGAAGTACAATTCAATTTCCATCATTGAAAAAAAAATATATAGACACAAACAGATTGGCATTACAACCACACGAATCGAAAGGATTGACTAGAGCTCAGAATAAAGTCTTAACTTTGCAAAGCGTAAAATAGGTATCAGTCATACTTGACACAAGCTTGTTTAAAAGCAAAAAAAAAAAAAAAAAAATAATGCGGTTCAAATTTTTAAAAATTTTTAACTGCTTTTTTTTTTCTGCAAACTAACCATCAGATGAACATGACACAAATGCCACTGAAAAAATATTTATGTAACAAATAAACGGGTTATTTCTTTCCTATGAATAATGTTGTAAGTTGGGTTTGCTGCAGAAGATACACTACAGCAGGCCAGGCATAAAGCCTTTAAAAAAAGAAAAACTTGCAGATAAGAATCATTTATGGCACTGGTTGTTTTAATTAGAAAGTTGACTTGATGTCACACATTTGTAATCTCGTGAGCAAGAGAAGGAACCAGCAGAAGCTGGGCGGTAAACTGTGGTCTGTATACTAGAGGTGAACTGAAAAACCATCTTAGATTTTTGGGGGGTCACGGTGGATACAACTTCCAGCACATCTGAACTAAACTCCAGAGTAAATGTAGAATATTCAAAACTTCTTATATTGCATACTGAACTAGACCTTTCAAATGAATAGTTGCATTAGAAAACTTACAATTTTGGATGTTTTTAAAAACATGTCATGACGAAGTATTTTCGCTCCATTGACTGCGCTTCCCCTAGGCTTAGATGCATTGTGGCGAAGCAAGCTTTGCGGTGTCGTGGGTGACGCTTTCCCACTGCGCGCAAACAAAACCTTGCCTCTTCTGAAGGGCTTGTGCACTCTGAGGTAAGTTTATATTTTGAATATAAATAGCAACATTGCTTATATTGAATATATTACTAAGAAGCACCATAAAATATTGTTTAACCTGATTAAAAATTAATCAATTTAATAACAAAATTATTTTGATTGTGATTATTCAAGTGGAATTACTTTATCACTGATATTCAAACCAGCCCCAAAATCACTATCTGCCCATGACTACTCCAGAATTATTTCATGAGCATCTTTAAACAATGTATGCAGTTTCTTAGCTCAAGTTAAAATGTGAACCAGTCATTTCTTGTCGATATCTTGCTGACACCGATTGGAATAAATTCAACTGTAGTTGTTAGCTCTACCTCCTAACCAGCTGAAATCCCACAACTTTTTTTCACCAAATGACCTAACCATCCGAGAAGGAAATATCCACTTGAAACATTTCATCATAAAATTTGAGGTGTGATAACCAGATGCTACAGGGAACATACACAATTTAAAGTGCAGCAAAATTTATCCTCCTAAGGCCAGACATCAAAGTGTAATGTACAATACACACTATAGCGATCTATGGAAAGTATTTTCCTTAAACTGCCTGACCACTAAGGTACAACCACTATACCTAAACACGAAGTGATCCCTAAAGATATAATTCTCCCATTCTCTCATAGTCATGATGAAGAGTCCTTGTGAGGACTAACAGTAAGTGAAATAAATAAATGAAGAATACGTAAAGTGCAGTCATTTACCTTGAACACCCTTAAGTTATTCTGTGGATGATACAACAGCTCATGGAGTGCATTGTTCATTCTTCTTGGACAGCTGTAAAAGCACGGAAAGAAAAGAATGAGTGTGGAAGAACAGCAGCTGCATTTTGAACCAGAAACAGGGACCCTCTTCAAGCTGTGAAGGGAAAGCAGGGTTTCAATTGCTTTCAAAGGGGAGGCACAAGTCATGAGACAGGTTTTATGCATGCTACTATTTTTCATAATGGTGATTCCAAGTTTGCAGCATGCATTAAATAAATGTCCTAAAAGAAAAAGAAACGTTAACCACGGCTATTTTTCAAGGGTGATTACAAGGATTTCTCATAGAAACGGCAATCCCGTCAAAATGCAAAACTTCGGCTGAACCAGCCAACTTCCTTAATCCAACTGGAACTGCTTGCCAAGCCACAATATTCGCAACAGAAAAAATATTAATTTATGATAGCACAAGATTACGTGCAATTTCTACCCGCTGTAAATACCGAGCATGTGCCCATATTGCAACGAGCACCCACTCCCTACTTTTGAAGCATTCGAAATATAAGCAAACGACATATCAAGAGCCCACCCCCGCAAATTTACGAGTCCACCGAGCTAACAGAGGTGCTCCTCTCAGTCAGCCGCTTCTCCGAGCACGCCGGTGCAAGGTGGCGAAGCTTTACGTACGTGCACCGATCCAAAGCGGTGAAGCTCGATGCGAGAGCACCAGCACGAAGCAGGCTTGGCGATTGCGGCGCAGCTGGTTTAGAAATTAGGGTTTTTGCCAGACCCTCATACTGCTTTCATCCCTTCTACCAGATCAGGCAAAGGCCTACCCTACCATGTGCCTTTTCTGTTTTTCTGCTCTTGAGCATAACAAGCACACAACCCCATTTTTCGTGATTCTCTCCAACTTTAGGGTGGGTGCTTATTGCTCGGTATTTTAGGTAACGGCCAAAGGGCAGACATTGATAAAATAAAAAAAGCTTTATGCAAATATATTCATACAGATTTTATCACTCACTCGATGCAAGACAAAGCTTGCTTCTTCAAATAACAAATAAGAGCTCAGATAAGCCCAGAAAGTCCCAACGTGACCCTTTCAATGTGACCTGCCAGTGCACTGATTGCAGGCTAAAGTGCGTATTTTGCACCCATAGCTTATATCGGTAATGCCAGAAATGACGTCAAAAGGTGTCCTCTAGATTATCTTTAGATAATCTAGAGTGCTTTAGAAAAAGCACAGCAGTAGTGATAAGCACAATATCTGAGGCAACATTAAATGCTGCATCAAAACGGCAATGTTTAAGACCTTCCAGAAAAGTGTTTCGTGGCATCAGAGGTTGCTGTGAGCCTCTTCGTGTGTTTTCCCCTCCCCTATTTCTTGTTTGTGAGCATGTGCAATGCTTTCCTCACCCACCAAAGCGGGAAGAGTGAGAGACGCAAAAAAGTCATTTTACAACTACTGAACATAGCATTTTTTTGGACAGTGACAAAAAAAAAAAAAAAAAGTGATTAGCAGGATCACATATTTTAGATGATGGCTTCAGAGCATAACCTTGAGATTAGGTTTCTGCCCTGTATGTTCCAAGATTTATGCAAGCTCCCTAATGGTGTTGAAACCATCAAATTAGTTAAAGTGCTCTTTAAGGCCACTGAACATCAAAAGGTCTCTCCCCCCTTTCCCGACTTGTTTTTGGGTGGTACGCAATGCAAGTACAGAGACCATGTCACCAGAGTATTACAGCAAAAAAATATAGATAGAAGTTGCAACCAAGATTAAACCACTCACCCACTGAAGAGATCCAGAGGACAGTACATGCTCATTGATAATATTTCTCCTTTGCTTTTCTAGAAAAAAAAAAAAGAAATAAAGATGAAATTGAATGGAACTGTTAAATTAAATTTAAAAATTGCAAACGACCACACAAAGTGTTCTGCAATTGACAGCAGTAGCTGCTGCATTATGGAAAGGCGTGCTGAAGGAGATTGGCCTTCAGCCAGTGTGTTGTACAATGTTTGCACGGAACGGACGGGTCCTTTGCAACAGGGCGGCCTACATGGGGAAAGAGGGGGGGGGGGAGGCGAGAGAGCGCCTTTCCGTGTGTGAGGAACGACAGGGAGAGGGAGAGCACTGCCTCTGCTATTTGCAACTTCAAAGCCCTATAGACGGCGGGGCGGCAGCCGCAAGATGGTGGTTGAGACGGAGATAGAATCTCCAGAATTTCCGGCGCGCCTGCTCGCCGACGCTGGTGCTAAAATTAATTCATTTGGCTACAAGTATGAAGTGGTCAGGGCAGGAGCGTGTCACGGGTGACAGAGATGTTGACGTGCATTAAGAAAATAAACATGTTTATTTTCAGAAGTCGCGGAGCGGGACAAGGCAATGATACTTTTTTAACACACTCGCTTTTTCCGTTAAAACTGCACAATGCAAGAGCAGGCCAACCAGAAACAAGGTGTAACACCAGCAGCAAGGCCAACAATCCTTGCCACTGCCTCTGAAGCCTTCCTTACTCCTCCGGTTCTTCGTTCGTCTATGAGAGGGGAAGCGACGGGCTGGAGTTGCGAATGAAGTGGAGTTTTGCGTTTGTGCACAAGCATTTTTTGCCATAAGGGCAACTAACAGCTACCGCTGTAAAACAGACTCAATGGCAGTTACCAATCCTCAGCCGCAGCATATTCTATGGCTGAGGGGTTTTATTAAATTAAGCTGATACAATACTGATTTTGTTTGCATATTGCAGTATCCACATCAGGCACGTATATAGGCATGTATCCCCCCCAAAACAAAATCCTGGCTATGTGTCTGATACACGTATATGAACGAGACTGTATAGCCAGAAAACAGCCATACGAGTTTAATCATGCTGATAAAGACTAAAAGGTAAATGTTGTTTTATTTCATGACTTAGTTTTAGCAGCAGATTTACAGTACATTTATGCAGCTCAGTTATGATTATGAAGTGGGAACAACAACACACCTTGTAAGTCTGTGCCAAGTGAAACCTACACACAGATGCCCTGAGCTTGTGATCGTGTGGGAGGTGATAAGATTCTGGCAAGAAACCTTGCTTGGGCTGCAAACAAAAAAAGATGAACAAGCCATTACTCTTGCAAGGCATGTATGTAACATTATTTTGTTTTTATCGGAAGACTTTTTTTGTGTCGATACAAACTGCTCACTTAAATATAAAAATCGGTAGAAAGCAACAGCTCAGTGCAAAAGGTGTTCCATGCAAGAACATGTTTTTGAAAATCTCCACAAGTAAGAATTATAACAGAAAAAAACAGTGTTGTATAGACGTGAGGCTTTTGATGAATGGTGTGCTTTTACAGATGAAAACATAGAAAGACATGAGAGATGGTACATGTATCTGTAAGGTAGCTCTGGCGGAAGATGCAAAAATCAGCAGGAATATAACAGTTGGTGCATCTAAGAAAATACTTCCAGGTTTGATTGCGCTGCATAAAATAAAAAATACTAAGTATACATCGAAATGAAGCATGAAGGTAAGGCAAGCAGCAATGATAAAGAGCAGAAGTTTTAACAACAGAAAGCTGCATAAATACAAAAAACTGCAACATCTTCAACCAGGTTATAGAGAAGACTGCACCCTTCGTTAGGAGAAGCTGCTGTCAGCTTCGCCTTTAGAAGGTTCTATGGGACGCCACTCCCGCACAAGAATTTATTTTTATTTTTAGGGATTGCTTGCAACTTACTTTTTTAAATGTTAACATTACATCCAGGCAGAATGCTAGCTTTCTGCAATATACAGCTTTTTATTTATTTTTTTTTTTTTTTTGTGCTAAAGGAGCTGCTAAAGTGAGACAAAGAATACTCCATCATCTACATAACTCGTGCTCAAACCAGAGATACTCCTCCATATCTGTAGCTCGCATTGAAACCAGCAATACTTCTCCACAAGTATAACTTGTCTTAGAACCAAGAATACTTTTCCATGTGTATAACTCGTGTTAAGACCAGGAATACCCCTCCATCTGTATAACTTCCATTGGAATGCTGACCTTGATCTCGACCGAAAGCACGGGCCCCTCTCCGTACTTGCGAAGATGACTCGGCAGGGTACAGTGGTCGGGAAGTAGAAGGCCCAACGTCGAAACTTCTCTCACATTTTTCTTCAACCTGTGAACTAATTGAGAGTCTCCGCATCATAATTTTTCCTTTTGGGAAGCAATCCGATAATCTAAAAAGGAACATATTATGGCATGCTGTGACAGGGTGCTGTCTGCACAACTTAAGCACAATTTTGAAACTGTGCGTGCACACACGAATTCCCAAGGAACTGCCCATACAAACCTAAAATTCAGCTCCCACTATAGAACAGATCTTCAGTAATGGAGTAGAAAAGATTATTAAATAATAAATACAAGATATTTTTTTTATTGAATAAATCTTGCAGTTAAACAGATCGAGAGATTTAGTTTTTGATTTTGAGGTCTTGAGTCTTAAAATGCAGCTTTAGACAACATTGTAAATTAAATATGCTAATGCTACGGCAAAACAGTGGAAGTAACATATAATTAAAACAAAAAGTTCACAAGAAAACAATTTTTTGTGTTACTGAAGTGTCTTAGTGCACAACTTTGTGCCTATAGGTATATATTTTGAACACTACAGAGTCAATAGATAGGTTTCCAGAGTACCAAAGCCCCTTTTCTTGACCAGCGCATTGCTATCTTCGGGACGTTTGCTGGCAAAATTTGTGTTTGGTCATTCCACTCCGAGTGAGCCAATTCAAATTTGCAGTTACAGGTTGTTTTATACAAACAATTTATTGCACACAATTATTTTATTATGACTGCAATTGATCACTGTATCCAAGCAGCAATCATTCTTGACTGATCTCTAACAACAGAATATACCAATAAGCCCTTAACTTTCATTTTAAAACAAAATGATGCTTTCTTAGACAAAAAGTACCAGAAAACTGCATGTGCACGAGTTTGTGCACTGCATCCACTAGATGCCACCACTTGCACTGATGCAGGGGGGGGGGGGGGGTAGGGGAGGGAGCCGCGAGCCGCACTTTAACACGCGAAGAGCCGCATGCAGCTCGCGAGCAACAGCTTGGCCACCCCTGGGCTAGGTGGTGCCAGCTACTTCCCTTTACAAAGGGTATAGCCAGTAACATCCATCGAAGATCTATCCAGTCATCCTTCCCTGTGTACGTCACCGGCGGGCAGGCGGACAAGCGACCCAGGCAGCTGCAAAGCAACTTTTTGGATGCCAGTGATCTAGATTATTTTTTCACAGCTTCAGGGTTGAAACTTTCTCTGCAATGGGTAGTGATCTGTGCTCTGCAGTAGATTGTCGGAACAGTGCCAGGAAAAGCTTCTCTGTTACCCTTGTTTTCATAGAAAAAAAACAAAATAAAACACACCTGGGCAGCATTGGAGGCCAGCAACGTCAAGGTGTTTCTCTGCGAGCTGTGTGCCGAAAGAACTAGTGACGCATAAAGCATTCTCGCTTGTGCTCGAAATAGTTTACAGAGTTACGGGCTTGTGAATGCAGCTACATAATTTATAGCCGCGTGCTGCGAGTTGAATATCCTTCTGCAGCCGGAACAGCTTTAAGAGCAGCAAGGGCTGACTCAAACCGGCTGTGACCACTACAACATCTGTTCAAAAAGGGCTATAATATAGAAGAAAAATAGTGCACATTCTAGCACTACAGTTGACATTTGGTGCAGTCACATTTGTTGTTCACAATTGCTTCAGTAATTTTTTTTTTTTTTTTTTCCAATAGACATTATATTTGTTTTGGGCATTGAAACTAGCTCAGGCTACTCTCGGAGCTCCACTCAAGTGGCCGATCTGTTGAGGACGAGAAGTGAAATGTCTAAACAAAGTTGAGATCTGCGTTTAGACATGACTTTTCACACACAGTTATTCATGTCTGGTATTACAGAAGTTTGGGGAGCAGGTGTTAAGTTCTATTAATATACGATAGATGCATTACCTGGTTTGTCAAATGGTTGGCCATGCATTGTTTTCTCACAAAAGATGTGGTGAAAACGTCTTTAATTTATTTGATTGAGGAGAAATGTTATATAGGGCCGAACAGTTATTAAAACCATGAAGATAGTCATGTCGCTGAAGAGAGGTAAGCAAATTTACAGCTGTTAAAGGATTTGCAAAGCCAAAACTGAATTAAAAAAAAAAAATCTCGTATAGAATTACATTCTTCCTCGTGTGCACTCATGGATGTGTGTGTGTGATGAGCATGTTGCATGCCACTCCAACAGTAAAAAAAAGAAAGAAATATAGGTAAATATTTTTCTAGAAACTTTTGTTCATTTAGTTTTAATTAAAAATTTTATGGTATATTTGTGTACTTTACGCTATATTTCAAGCAAATATTCTTTATTTAAAGGTGAATAGTGTATTTACATATTTTAAAAGCCTTTCATTGCACCTTGATGTTTGGCTTGGTGGTCGCGGAGTTTTTTTCATTTTTATTTTAGTGTGATCTTTATGAACAGAAACCTGCCATCTGGCCTACACGAATGCAGTTAATTCCATTCTATACATTTCAATATTTACAAGAATCACAGCCTACATATGTTAAATCACAGTTCAGCACGCGCATGCTCATCGCTTTGGAAGGCGAGCAAAGTATGCATCACAAGCACGAACACTGAAAATGGCACAGACCAGAAGCGCTTTCCTGGGATGGTCTACAGATATCTTGCTAAATTACTTAAAGGCCGACAAACAACCTCGGTTTTCTGCAGGGAAGGTAATCTTTTTTAGTGCTCCCCCTCTCCCAAGCTGCAAGGGGCGCCAAGGTGAGGAAAAGCAAAAAAGTGGAGAGGGTATAGAAAAAGACGATGCCGACAAAAGTGGAAAGCGCAAAGTGTACATCAGCCTTAAGCACCAAGAAGCATATGCATGCTACAAATGTAGTTACACGTGCTGGCATCTGCAACAGCAACCTTTCCGAAGAGATTCTAAAACAAATGGCACATTCCTTCAAATAAGACGAGCGTGTGGGGACCTGTATCCACATTTCGAGCATTCTTTGTGGTGCTTGGGTAATTTGTCAAAAAATGTATTGCTTAACTTGTCGACATTTCTTCGCCAGCATAACTGCTAGCTTCTGGTAAAATAAAAACGGATTTGCTAGCGATTTCACGGAACTAGCAAGCCGCAGCTTGAGCATACCGAGTTGCAAAAACGGTTTTCTCAAAATCGCAATTGCTTCAGTTTTTTTACTTACTCATAGTTCAGCACATGGGCCAAGGTCACATTTTGTGCAAATAGAGATTATTATCAACTTCAGATAGCACGAATGACCATGTTTTCTCGCTGTGGAATGCAAGAAAAGCGACCCGATTGTAGGCCACGCGCCTTGCTGCCCGCCAATGACGTCACGTTTGGGTGGCGGGGAAAATTAGGGAAAAACTAGGGAGAACAATGTTTCGGTTTCGGCAGCGAACAAAATATTACTTTTTTTGACTAACTAGAGTGAATCTGGGGTTACGAGATAGCATTTCGGAATCTGGAAGCCATCCGCATTCAGATGATGCCTTTGGATTAGGTCGAAAAATCGCCGGAGCTCCCCTTTAAAGAACAATGCCTTCCTGCGATGCTTGTTTGCTAGTTACAGCTGTGCAACCTTCAACATTCTGCAAGTGACTCAATCACAATGAAAGGAATGGACAAACAATGTTTTTCTGTAATTACACATATGCTAGCAGCCCAGCAGAAAAGTTCTACAAGGAAAACATTGCTCTTTGTCATCCTGATCAGATAATCCATGCCTCTCCCGTCCCTTTTCCGAGTTTTAAAATGTGAAATTCCTTTCGATACGGTTCATTAATGTTAGAACTGTTTTTTTCCTAGCACTCAGTAGGTGACACAGGATTAAACTAGCATACTTGGCCTTTTGAAGTGAACGGCTTCGTTGATCAGCCTCACATTTTCAGCCGTCAACTCGATAAGGATCTGGGAAGCAAAAGGAAGGGTCGCCCAATTAGCGGGCCGCGTTACCGACTCATTCACACTCCTTAGTCCATGATATATTAAGGATGTATAAAAGTAATGCCACTGTTTAGCATAATGCTCCATGTTTTCACATAAAACTTTAAGAAATCTAGAAAACGGTAGTCATCAACATTTTTCTTAATTCAGATATTTATCCCCCAAAGCTCCACAATTAAAAATCACACCCCAAAACTCCACAATTAAAAATCACACTGCAAAAAAGAAAAAAACATAAAAAAAAACAAAAAAAAAACGCTCAATTAAATATGGTAGAGGATCAAATCAGCGATCATGAGGAGAGGCCACCCCAGCCTCCTTTCTAAACTTGGACGATTAGCCAAGGCGACCTTACTATTAACATTTGTTCAGAGACTGTGTGGTATACCATAACTAAAACTGAACTAGAAAAAAAAAAGAAGAAAAAAAAGAAGAGACAAGGGCTAGAGACCAAGCAACAGATGTCTCTAATTAGGTTATTTTGCATTTATATTTATTCTTGTTTACAACATACTGTTTTTAAGATTTTAGTTGTCAAATATTATGCCACTTCGAGGATATATGTGATCAGAAAGACTCAACCAACTGAACACGTGGTGTACACCCACTCATGATACTGCTGCTAAAACATAAAGGTGGTATGCATTTGTGCATTGTTTTTTTAAGGTTTTCTTTTATTCATTCCTCTTGGTGGAGTCATTCCCAAGTTCAGTGGACACCAATACGTGCAGATTTATTACATCGAATTTTGTCATAAATAAATGCTTAACACCATGAGTTCTACCTTTAAGTTTCTATAGACCTCTAACGAGAACATCTGCTGCCACACGAGATGCATGCCATCACAGAGGTACAAGACGATGGTCGTCTTATGCGACTGAAGCTTCATGAAATGAATTAGGAACATTTTATAGATGACTAAGAGAACTTCATATAATGTTAGTTTGACGACATGAAATGTAGGAGGTGTGTGTAAGCAACTTCGAAACTTTACAATTTCTTTTCAGGTGATCTGAGTTACCAAAGTTTCATTCTCTAGCAGTTTGATGTAATTGTGTTGTAAATTGACTGTAGCCATTTATACATAGCTTTTGTGGCAGCCTACTCTAAGGTTACCCTGAATCAAAATTTGTGCACGCAGTACAAATAAGATACATATTACGAAATAAAACCTGTTAATTCTGCAGAAGGTGTTATTGACATTATTATTACATTATTGACTGAAAAAAAAAGAACTGCATTATTTAGACAGAAGGTACATTCAACAGTAGGTGGGTATGATCCACTGGTTTCTTTTGTTTTTCTGAGATTATTTTTTGTAATTAATTTTTGTAACTCACGGACTATTTGTACCAAGAGCTTATTCTACCATGGGCCAGCATAGCACCAATGTTTGTAATTATTTTTGTAACTCTTAAACTCGGCAGTTTTATTCTTCTTCTTCTTTCCTTTCTTTTTCTTTTTTAATTCTATTTTCCTTTTTTTAGTCTTCTCTCCTTTTACTTTGTCCTTTACTTTTCCTCCCTTTGCCTTGTATTACAGGTTTTTGAGAAACTGTCTACCTGTGCGCTGGTTCGCAACTATTACGAAGTTTAATTTCGGTTGCACTTACTGGTGATTGAACAAACCGGTAGCCCAGAAGATTCTTCATGACATGACTGATGAAATCGGCTTCCAGTTGAAACTTTTGCAACGTTTCTCCGGTGAGTGAGATCGTGCCCTGTTTAAACAAACTGTATTGAAAATTTTCCCCCCAAAATGTACAAGTTTCAAATGAAAACACATATAGAGACACACACGAAAAAGACGGTTGTGCAGTACCTCCGTATACACTTGGCTTTTTCTGAGACGCAGAACTCTGTCTTCCTGAAGAGCGAAAGAGAAGTAACAATCACAAATAGTGCCCATTTGATTGACTCAGCCTTGAGATACCAAGGTCGCCCAAAAACGCCGCAAACATGACGATCCGGAAAAAAAAAAAAAAAGAAGAAAAGAGACTTACCACGCTTACAAAATGTACAAAAAGAGAAATTCCTTCACGTACAGAAAGGGTTACGATTCGAATTGTTGCCGCCTAATTAACTGAACTTGACTGCAAGTGAAAACTAAATAAGTGGTTATTGACGATAAGCCGAAATCCGCCATCAGAGACACAGAAAATTGCAAACATTTGGGGGTTTTAGCTGCTGCTATACTGGCGATACGGCTCCACTAATATTTCGCCGGGTTGGAAAGTAAAGGCGAGAAAAGCATGCTTGCTACGAGAAAAAAATGCCAAGACTTACCTTCTTCAAGGCTACTACAATGTTGGAATTGCCCTCTCCTCTGAAGGCGCAGTTTTCGGGAGAAATCACTAAAATAGCATTGAGCTCCTCGGTCGACCATCCGGCCTCCGTGAGGTTCGCCATATCTCTGAGCAGCTTTGGACAGATGGCGGATTGATTTCGCCGTCTGAATTTCGTATCTCGCTTTTATCATTAAAGCGGCACACAAGAACGCACACAAAAGTAAAGAGAAAAATAATTTGTCCGTCATTTGAAACCTGTTTGTATATTTTGTGAGCTTATCATGATTGTTCTATGGCATGGAAAGGTAAATGATACGCTGCGCAGGTGTGTCGTCTGCTACATGTCTGCTACATACAGTCGTCGGTGAGGGTGTTCGGATATTTTGTGCAAAAATGTATGCACATTTATAAAGAAGAAAAGTGTATATTTAAGTTGATTCCATTGTTTATTTTAAGTCTTATTATATTAGATAACACTGCGGATTTACGTAACACTGAACACGTTGCCTGCACCCGCTGCACCAGCGCTGTGCGGCACAGCAAAATCGCTGCGGTTAGCTGCGGCCGATTCACCAGAGCAACAAAAAAGGTTCAGCCAAGCACGAACTGCTTCTGGAACTGCTGATCGACAGAATGCCATTTGTACTAATTGTTAGACCCTTTGCATCAATAAATGAAGCCCCAAAGATGAGTTGTTTCTGTCATAGTAACCACCCTTAGCAACAGAATGTTTACAATCTGACGTCACACGCACTATCCCTTACGCAACATCCGGCCAACGGTATCCGGCAACACAGTTTCCGGCGAGTCCGGCTTGGATTTGGCTTGCACTCGTTTCCGGCCTTTCGGCTTTCGATTACTTTTGGCGACGCGTGTTTCATTGCATTCATTCATAGAGGATCCACGTTGTCGCGCCCGTGGGCACAACTTTCTTGTTTTGGCCCACAAAAACAGGTATGTGGATTTCTTGGAACCTTATCTTGGTTGTGTGCTGCTGATGGGCGATTACTGTCGAGTGCCGAACACTGACCGAGTTGGACGTGGCGACTTATCAAGCGTCCTTGCTCGGCACTTTACCTCAGAGTAGGCACCGACGGTTTCCAGCTTGTTTCTTGGGCAATTTCGGTCATTCTATGAATCTAATAGCGAACTTATGTCTTCAGAATTCTCCGGAAAATGTCTAGACTATGTGTTTGTCCGTATACAGGACGGTTTCTGGTGCAGTGACCCGTAGTCCTCTTGATAGCCAGACCCGAGTGGCAAAAAATAACGAGGGAAAAATCGCAAAAGAAGTATAGGGTGTTTTCACTGACGTAATTTCGTCCACCATTTTGTTGTTGCGAACTGTCTGGTGTGTGCCAAACTCAAGCCTTTCAAGGATTTACATGCCTTCTCAAATGCGTAGAGCACCGCTGACATTATTTCAACCGGTCGCGATGTAATCCTTCAATGTAGTAAATTTGTTTGAAAAAACAAACTAACAACAAAATGGCGGATTGACGTCATGTGCAAACAACCTATTGCGTGAGCTCTCCAATACGGCGAAAAAATTGTTCTGAATAACTACCCGGTACGTTGGGTGCTGTTGTGCTGCGTCTTATCTAATCGTTTCTCCTTTTATAGGTTGTCAAAAAACCTATCTGTTAAGAGTTTTCTGGTCTTATTTCCCTTTTTTCTGGTCTTATTTCCCTTATTTCCGCGCGCTGATGCAACTTCGCGACATCTTACCTTTTTTTTTTTTTTTTTTGTGGTTGACGTCTTTTCCGTTGCTTTTTTATTGTGTAGGAATCCCGGAATGCAGCAGGTACCGGAAAACATAAATTTCCCCCAGGAGGAGGAGAAAATTCTTCAGCTGTGGAAGGAGATCGATGCGTTTCAGACGAGTCTGAAGCTGTCAAAGTCGCGACCAAGGTACGCAGGTTTCCTCTTCGTAGCGGCTTAAATTTCGACCTAGCTTTCTTTTGCTTAGAAACAAAAGTTAAACCGATTGATACATTTTCTGTTGGGTAAATTTGGTGTTTTCTAATCATGTATGTCAACCTTCAATGTTCTCCATTCATTTATATTTATTTTATTATATATTTTGCCATCGTAGGTGTTCTTGATTCATTCATTCGTTTACTCCGAACCAGCTGCCTTTTAATTGATGTCTTCTGCATTTTATCATTGTGGCACATATTACCCTTTCTTCTTGCAAACATGTCTTATCAGTGAATGAACTGATAAAATATTAGATCAGTAATAAGTGTTTAGCAGGGTATCTTATAGTCATGCTACAGTTGAATGCATAATAGCTATGCGCCTGAAACAGATATGAGGATCATAAAGCTAACAGATTTTTGTTTAGTTTTGATTAATCATGCATGTTCCTTTTTATTTAATCGGAATATATTATGTCAAGCTGACAGCTAGGCTAACACACCCTGGTCAGAACTTGTGTCACTAGGAATAGCGGATGCACTCCCAATCACCGAGTCTAAAAGATATGCAAGAGGCTTTGCATCATCGTGCCTTCTAGAGTAAAGAGTCCATGGAATTTTAGGATGTGGTCTTGCTGAATAAATGTATCAGACAAACTTAAGAATCCTAACCCTTGTAAGTAATGGATTGATTGTGATTCATTACTTTTTCGAGTATATTTGCATAAGTTCCGCATTACGTTTTGTGACAATAATTTATAAAGTACCGTAGTTCATTTGCAAAAGGCATGTAGCAAATTCCTTTAATTAAAAATTCTCATTACGTTCGAATATAAATTTTCCCATTGGTACCAGTTAGTTTTAGTTTTTCAGCAGCCAATTGGTCACTTCCAATGGGAACCAACAGGTACCGTTTGGAACCCATTCAGGTTCCAACTAGAGAAATAGTTTCAATTGGTGAGATCCATTGGCCAGTGTGCTTCCAGTTGGAACCCACAAAAACCAATTGGTTCCAATTAAACCCAGTTGGGATTCCAACTGGATCTAATGAGAATTTTTAGCTGGGTTATTTGCAAGAAACAAAAACATCATGTGATATATGTAGAGTACTATTATTAGTTGCATGCCTGATTGGTGCGTAGGAAGGCCTAATTCTTCTGACGGTTGCTCTCAGCTCCCGAAGGTTCCTGTTGTATCTGCACAAAGTGGCAGAAGGCTGAGGCAGTAAGTAAGTGGAGTGACAGATAGGCAGAAGTTCACATCAGGAGCAAGAATGAAGAAAGGTTGAACTTGAGGACAGGTGTGTCTTGCAGCTGGAGAATGTGCAACATGTGCCATTGCCCTATGTGTGTATGCTACTAGACCATATCCATAAAACAATGTTGGAGATAGGAGAGCACCGTTTTCAAGCTATTTTGTGTCTAGGAGGCTAGGACCTCATTCTTCAATTGATTTCTTACAACGGGAATGGTAAGATGGTTTGGATGGTTTTTGAACTTGCATCGCTTTTGAAGTGAATTGTGTTATTTGCAGGGGTATAATGGTGCAACTTTTATTCTTTGTGAAGAGGCAAACTGATGCCCCAAATGCATTTGGGTGTGCATTTGGTTTAATACAAAAACAATGATGTCATTTTTAATTTCTGGTAGTGTGCATTCAATGTGTATTCAGTGCTGGTAATACCAGCATTGAATGCACACAAAGATTTTATTCTAGATGCATACACATACAGGCACCACAAGTGTGTTCTACAGTGGCTAGATGGTGCAACTTCCCTTTTCAGTAGAGTAGTGAGCGAGTCTATGCCTATATTCGTCCAAACTTTTGGCACTGATGGTCACTTCTCTCTCTTGCACTTTTCCCGTTCACCATTGGCAGGTACTCCTTCTACGACGGGCCACCCTTTGCGACTGGGCTGCCGCACTATGGTCACATCCTGGCAGGCACCATCAAGGACATTGTGACCCGATTTGCCCACCAGTCTGGCTTTCATGTGGAACGCCGATTTGGTTGGGACTGCCACGGGCTCCCTGTGGTGAGTTCTGCTCCACGTGATGTAAAAACGGAAGAAAGAATTAAACCTAGAAGGATGGAGCACGGACAGCACATTTTCCGCATTTCATTTTTTCGCAGGTTTTTGCACTATACCAACATGTTCACTTCAAATAGTGTCCAGGGGATGGTTGTTCGTATTTTTGTGCCCCGTTTATCTCGGTCAGTGTTGTACAATATAAGACCATGTATCCTTTTACATCAACTGTGCACCCTGCACATTCAATCTAAAGGCTGGTTTCTCACATTTTTGTTTGAGTGTGCTCACGTGTGTTGACACCGTCACAAACACTTACGGCGGAAGAGCACTCTAGTGCCGTCAATCGGGTAGCCCTGGAACTGCATGTAATTAGACAGAAGGTTTTGCTCTGAGTGCTTTGCAACTTTTGTGAAATCAAATCAATGCCCTGTCTACAGGAAATGGTTGCTTATAACATTATCAGCATTATTTGAAGCCTGCAGACAAAGTATTATATGTAAAAAATAATTAAGTAATATTTGCAACTTTCACGACCTATAGGGGGCGCGCTTCTTCCCATCAAAATGGCTGTCATCTGGATGATCGTCCTAGAATAACAGTACGTTGCTGGGTCTGCGACGCTTAGGTAATTATAGTTTTGCTATATACGAGCTGTATTAGAGACTTACTTTAATTTTTCACTTCAGGAGGTGTGGGCAGGCACATTTATTGTGTAGTCAATCATCCAGGAGCTAGGGAGCGTAATTCTAACACTGCGGTGCCACCATTGCTGAAAGTTGCGAATATTTGCACATTGAAAGCGTTCCAGGGCTACATGGCGCCGGTTTGCCAGCACATTCTCTCGTCTTGGGTGGTTACAAGGGAACAGGATGCTTTCGAGCACACTTGGATGGAAATGTGTGACCCAGCCTTTATTAATTGTTCAAGGAAATTGGAAGGTTGGTGCAAACCGACCACAACAAAGGTCTCTAGTTCGAATCTCTCAATTTAGGAATTTATAAAGTTTAAAGTTGTTTGAAGGTGCCAGACCTTTAGAACGTTTCTATTTGGTTAACGGTGTTTGAAAGTGCTTAGGGACTCAAAATGATCTCTTATAACTTTTTTTTTTATCTCTAGGAATATGAAATTGACAAGACTCTCGGAATCAAGGGTCCTGACGACGTCAAGAAGCTGGGCATTGAGAACTACAATGCGGAGTGCAGGAAGATTGTGATGCGGTACTCGAGCGAGTGGGAGGTGAGGAAGGGTAGTTTCTGACGACTGAATGGCGTGGATATATGGTCCTGGAAAAAACTTAACTTTTTAAATTGAGTTATCGCGCTTGGTAGCTAGGAAAATTCCGATAAACTGTCGGATGGTATAGCTTCGGTGATTCAGTATTAAGATACAAGCACAGAAAGAAATTTATTTGGTCTTCTCAACGAGTGTTTTTTTCCTGCTTCTTTCATATAATTTGTGTTCACTTCAGCTAACATGCTTGTTGTAATACATTGTTTCTCTTTGTAGAGGTGCAAATAATGGCCAGGTTACTGCATAGCGCTAATTCTTGTCGTTTTGGTGACCAATTAAAAAATATAATCATCTGGGATATGCGACTTAATTAGTTATTTCCTTGTGTTTGTTTCTCACTTTAAAGGCAAGGGCTAAGATGATAAAGTCTTGAATGTTAGTTGATGCTTAAGCGTATGTGACGTAAGAAACAAAAAGCCAATTCTTTGCCCCTTTTTGTTTGAACCTTGTAGACGATTGTGACGAGAATGGGCCGGTGGATTGACTTTCGGAACGACTACAAGACCATGTATCCCTGGTTCATGGAGACCGTCTGGTACATCTTTAAGCAGCTGTACAACAAGGGGCTCGTCTACAAAGGAGTTAAGGTGTGGTGCAGCAGTTGGCTTCGTAATTGTTTTTAATGAATTATTATGGATTGCTTTTTAGGCTTGCTGATTTGCTAGAAACTTGATTAAAAATGACTAGTTAACACTGATCCTTTGAATGGAATTTTTCTTTACGTGGATCTGTGCACGTCGAGATGCTTGCTGGTAAAGGTAACACGCAACGAAGTTGAGAAGACCATTTCCTGTCTTGCAGGTGATGCCTTACTCAACCGCCTGCAACACTCCCCTCTCCAACTTTGAGTCCGGTCAGAATTACAAGGAAGTCGTTGACCCTGCCGGTATGCCTCCTAAGCCCTTCCTTCATAGTCGTTGCTGTTTTCAGATAGTGTTGCGCTTCAGTTGCATTGAAACCATAATGTTTTTCCTAAAAAAAAATATTTTGAAAAAAAAAAAAAATTTGGTGATTGAAAAGGTATTTTATGAGATGAGCCAACACATGTTTGGTTTAAAGTTAGTTGTTGGTGGGCTGCACTTCGTGTAATAGTGAGGCACAGCCCAGCCGCGTGCGAGTCACCTGACTTTTAAGACATTTTCTCCGCTGTTATAAAACCTTGGTTAAATGTTTATATTTCGCTCTCGCATGTGCGTTTTTCTCGTGTCTCTCGTCGTGCTTCTGACATTAAACTTGATAAAATTTATAATTGATATATATATTATAGATCAATTTATAATTGATATATCTCAATTTATTATTTATATATAATTGATAAACTTGATGAAAGCTTGATAAAATTTGTAAATAGGGTTCCAAATATTCCATATATTATGAATAAAACCCCTCAAGCTAGCTCCTGAGCCAGTTTTATTAAAATAGGAAAAACCGGAACACCCCAAATTAAAACTGTCCTTAAAAAAAAAAAATTGTTTTGAAAGAAGAAATTTTTATCTACAGCTTTATTTTGTGTTGAGCCTGAACAGGCCCGCGCATGAACGACCTGCAAGGCTGCTGCTTTTTGGAAACCACATCCCTTTTCTCATTTCCTTCTCTTACCGGCATCGAGATGTTTCCGAAGTGTTCGGGTCACGTGCTCTGGAGGTTTGGGAATCTTGTGCCCTCATTTTCTTCTTTTTAATATGAGCCTCAATTAACGCAGATATTTTAGCCCTGCACGAAAATTGACTTTAATCCTTGAATTCGAAGAAAACTATAAAGCAAAAGAAACAGTACCCCAGTTGTAAATTATTGCCAGTTAAACTTCTGGAATTTAAACCGATTTCCTTTTGCACCGTAGTTGTGGTGAGCTTTCCCCTAGACGACGAGCCGGAGGTCTCCATGATTGCGTGGACAACAACGCCCTGGACCCTTCCCAGCAACCTGGCTTTGTGCGTCAACCCCGACCTCACTTACGTCAAGGTCAAAGGTGCGTGTGTTTTCTCTTCCCTTTGTCCTTTTTACTTGGATGGGGGAAGCTTTCATAGAAGAAATGCTCTGATGCTTTCCCACAATTACTTTTTTTTGAATCTGCCAGTCTGCGGTGCTTTTTAAGCATATATTTATTTGACATACTTACTGCAAGACTGAAGTACAGCGGGAGAAGGATGAAGAAAACAAAAATGGAATAATCATGGAACGTGGGGACAAGGAAAACGTTGCGAGCCATTTGATTAGTATGTGGCGAAAGAGTTTGACTCAATGTATTTCAAGGTATAGATAATGATATACTGAAGAGCAACTTTAATGGGTTGGAGATTAAGGGTAAGGTTTGTATCAATGTAACATTGATGAGACCAGTAATGAAGAAATTATTGTTTATTCCTTCTTCGAAGCATTTCTGCTTCGGACTAGCAGCTGACAAGTACGTTCAACCAGTACGTCAATCCTTATCGCACAAATCTGTCGCAAATGGGAGCTTTATTTTTCTGGGGATATCTTGCTTCTCATAGTGGCATTTTAACGTAACTAACTTCTTCTCATAGTGGCATTTTGGAGCAGTGCAACCTTCATCCCTGCCATCTTGCTCCTCCCCTCCAGACAATGCCACTGGCAAGCTGTACATCATGATGGAGTCTCGACTGGAGGCCCTGTTCAAGAAACCGGAGGAGTACACTGTCCTTGCCAGGTGAGCCATCTGTTGGCAGTGTAGTAGTTTAGACACTCCAGACATGCACTATATAGCATTTGCTACATGTTTACACCTGGGCAATTACTGTATAGTCTGATCTTATGGTTTTGAGTTGCAAGAGATTAGGAATTAAAAATGAGTCGTTCCTTAAAATGACTCTTAGCACCCTAGAAATTTCTTTTAAAGTGCTTGAATAGGACGCAATATGTGCATACATAATCCCCCCCCCCCCCCCTCCCCCCCCCCCTATAAAAAAAAGAAGCTTGTTGGGCAATATTTATGCTGCAAGATTCATTTTGAGTTTCATGACCTTCTTCTACTACTTGCCCACGTGCCAAAATAGAAATATATTTTGAAAAAGCTTGTCCATCAAAACAACAACAAAGAAAGTCAAACATAATTAAGGATGCACATTCGTATAACACAGTCCATTGACTGAAGTGAGGGTAGACTGCTGCAACGCCGCAGACACGAGCACCAAAAAACTAGGACGATGGTGTGACCGGACGTCTGCAGATATGCCACTCATGCAGCTGGCCAACCTTGAATGCGACTGTTCTTTCAAATCCCCGATATGTGGCACGCGAGCAGTCCAAAGCCACTACTCCTGTGGCCTCATTGGTTTTGCAAATGACAAACATAGTCCTACTACTCTCAAATTGCTCTCCTGCCTTCCAGCTTCAAGGGGCGCACCTTGTCCGGGAAGAAGTATGAGCCAATCTTTCCTTATTTTGCGAAGGTAAGCGAGTCTTCTTTGCATTTTTAGCCTCCAAGTTTTTGTGCGGCTCACCTCTTTGTGCTTGTTCTTTCAGTTGGAAATTATGACAATGCCGGGGATAGCTTTATATGCAGTATTGTAGTGGTTCTTTGAGCACTTTAGTATAGAATTCTGTTGGTGAACTGTGTTAGAGCTCATAATCAGGATAGCACTCTGCTTAAAATTTTATGTAATCGCCAGTTTCTAGCATTTTTCTGCTGGTTCCTGCCATAAAGCATTAGTGTTTGAACGTATATACCAGGGTTGGCCAGGCTGACCCATCCTCAGAGCCGCAAACAATACCACGAAACTTCTAAGAGCCGCGTGGGGGGGGGGGGGGGGGGGGGGGGGGGGGGGGGCAAACTTTTGTCTAGAGCAATAAACGGAACTCAAACTACTTTCAATATATCCGAGTCAAAAGCAGTCCAACTGTACGAAGGGTAGCATTTGCACGAGACTACCAAACCGCAACCTGTCTTTCGATTTAAAACACGTTCCATTTCTCTTTTTGGGGAAGTGGTCGGGTGACTAAGAGGGAGACTGGAGAGTGTGTGTGTGTGGGGGGGACCGGTCTAGGCAAAAGATCTGCGAGCCGCACTTTAACACGCAAAGAGCCGCCTGCGGCTCGCGAACCGCAGCTTGGCCACCCCTGGTATATACGGACAGTCAAAACTTGCACAATATTTGGCATCGGGGCTGAGCTGAATTAGTTAAGTGTGAGCAGGCACTGATTTTAGTCGTTTATTGCATTACATGATATAAGGTGTGAACCCTTTTCATTGTACAGCTCAAGGAGAAAGGAGCATTTCGAGTCCTCTGCGATGGCTACGTCACCGAAGAAAGTGGTACGGGGGTTGTCCATCAAGCGCCATACTTTGGAGAGGCAAGTTCCTCGTGACTGGTCATTCACTTTGTGATTGCTCCAGTGTTTTGTTAGTTGCAACTTGAGATGTTGCAAATCACCCGAGGTTCGAGTTTGAAATTTTAAACCTCGCCGAGGTTCGGATTTACAAAGTTTGCTACTTAAGAACACTGCCGAGGTTCGAACTCCAAAAGTTAGAACCTTTCAAGCTTTCTAAAATTTTGCATTCCGCTGTGTATAATTTTTTTCATAGTCTAAATTAAAAAATCTAAATTTCAAATTTTTTTTTTTTTTTTTTTTATTTTGGCAAGCTGGAAGGGCTTTGTATCTCGTGGAGGTCCCATTTCCACTGTTTGCAGTTATAGAAGTGCTCTGCCATTTGCAGAGCACTTCTATCACGAAAGTCTGCTATATCTTGCGCCAAAATGGCATTTTTGGCACAAGACACATTTTTGGCCCAACTAACGGATAAAAGGATTCAGGTTCTTTGATCTTCATTCAACGGTGACATTGTAAGGTTATTGCTGAAAAAGGCATCTGGATTGGACATATTCATAGTGACTTCTTGAAGTTACTTGGAAAGGCACAAAACTGATTTAGATGTCCTTGGGGTTAAAAAATCGCTTGCTTCCCTTGCTGCCTCCCAAAATACCAGATGTTCATTCTGCAGTCAATTTGATTCGAGCTTAATTCAGGCTTCAACGTGCAGTGATTACTCGCTTGCTGATTTAAGAACAAAATCTTGTATTCTAGACCATGCTTCTTTTTTATTCTTCGTATGCACTAAGGAGTCTACCAAACATCAAAAACATTGTTTTTATTACAATGTACTTCAGTGTCTGTATTTCAGCCCCACCAAAATGTATTTCTGTATTTGTAGTTACAAATACTTTTCTATCTTTCAAAAGTATTTCTAATATGTATCACAATACATTTTTATAATTGTATTTCAGTGTCAATATTTTAGCAGTTTTTTCCATGCATCCTAGTGTTTGTACTATTTTGAAGTACTTTTGAGAGTATTTCTGCCCAACCCTGCCATATAGTTTGTTTCATCTTAGGTCGGAGCAGAGTTGAAGGCTCATACACATACAGCCACAAACGCACATACTAAAAGCGCAAGTCATGGGACATTCACTGCACTTGATTTGTTTAGCCGATGAAAGGACACATACAAGGAGGTGACGAATGCCATGATGTCATGCTTTGATGCTGCGAATCAACCAGCCCGAGCCGTTGATGTTGGGCATCAATTGCTCATGCCGGTTAATGCGTTAGCTGCTTCCGCTCACGTCAACCCCCGCCTCTCACCAGCGTGCACACGTCGAGCTTCACCGCTTTGCAACGGAGTGCTAGCAGCAGCGACTGACTTAGCGGAATAAGCACGTAAATTGTACTCAGGATTATTAAGGCGAAAAAGCCTTACATGTTTTAAGGTTCAGTTGACCTTCAGAAAACACGTCAATTGCACGAAAGGTACCAATGAAACGGCGCCAAAAGTGCGTCGTCATAGAGCGCGCTGTCTTTGGAGGTTTGCTATCATGCTTACGTAACCACTCAGGCGAATTAGAGGCAATGAAATGAAGGACTATAGAGCGAATTAAGAGGAATCAAAGTGAATTAAGTAAATGATGTGTTTGCCTTTAATGCGTTGGCGCTTGGGCTTTCGCCTTCAAGTTGTTTTAGGGATAACATAAGAGACCCTGTGAATTTTACGGCAGGTCAACCTTCTTTGTCCTAATTGTAAGTTAATTTCTAATTTTAAAAAATGAGCGAGAGAGAGAGAGAGAGAAGAAAACACGAGTCTATATACAGGGTGTTTCAGAGAACACAGGCCAAATTGCTCCTGCGAAAACTACTTATCGTAATGAAAAAAGGCTTGTGGCGTTGTGGTCCTGGGCCGGGGGCCCATTTAAGAAAATGACTAAAGTCCGGGATAATTAACTTTTTAATTATTTTTGCCTAATTAACTTTTTTAATATTGTGTTTAAGGGCATGGTTTAAATTAGAAAATTGCTCAGCATTATCAAAAACCACTAAACCAACAAATTGCAGAATGATAGAAGGCACGCGAAGCATTTTACAGCTTTCTGAAACACCGCACAAATTCAACGGGTTTTTAAGTTTCGGTTTGATATCGGTGCGCATCTCGGCCCCGGCAGCACCGCGCCCCGTGGAGAGGTGCAACCAGGCTCTGCTGCGTCGCGCGATGACAGCGCAGCAGACGTTGGTTGCACTACCTCTTCGCGGTGCGCGGTGCCGTCGGGGCGGAGATGCACTCCAATAACAAACCGAAACTTAAACACCCGTCGAATTTGTGCGGTTTTTCAGAAAGCTGTAAAATGCTTCGCGTGCCTTCTATCGCTTTGCAATTTGTTGGTTTAGTGGTTTTCGATAATGCTGAGCAATTTTCTAATTTAAACCATGCCTTTAAACACAATATTAAAAAAGTTCATGAGGCAAAAATAATTAACAAGTTAATTATCCGGGACTTTAATAATTTTTTTAAATGGGCCCCTGGCCCAGGACCAAAGTGCCAGAAGCCTTTTTTCGTTGTGATAAGTAGTTTCTGCAGGAGCGATTTGGCCTGCGTTCTCTAAAACACCCTGTATATTTGAATACATATGGTAGTCACGAGAGTTCCTGTGCAGCTGTTAATTGAAAGAGCAGCAAATTTTAAGGTAACTCTGGTCCCTATGCCGCTAAATAGCAGTGTCACCTTGATGTGCTGTCAAGTGTGCCTCAGGGATCAGTCCTGGGGCCTCTCCTGTTCTTGATTTAAGTTAATGATATAGCCAACGACCTTGATGCGGCTGTGACGGTAAAAACGTTTGCCGACGATCGTGTTATTTGTACAACTGTCCGTAACCCTTTGGATCAATACTCGCTGAACGAAAATTTGTGCAAAATTGCTGACTGGTGTGAGAGATGTCGAAATGGTTATAAGTTACACAAAAACTTGCACTCTGACGATAACACGTAAGAAATCTCCTCTTGAATTTAAATACGACGTCCCAGAAAAGTGTATTAAAATCGTGAGTAAAGTGAAATACTTGGGTCTAACTATTATCTTGAAACTTAACTGAGAAAAACACTTGATAACACATGTGCCAAATTCTACAAAAAATTATGCTTTTTAAGAAGGAAGCTAGGAGCATGTAATTGTAAGGTAAAGCTTGTAGCTTATAAAACCCTCACTCGTCCCATCCTCGAAAACGCGTCAATTGTCTGGGATCCATATCTAAGAAAAAGATATAGAAAAAGTTGAAAAAACTCAACAATTGAGTGCACATTTTTTTTTGGCACTTTTTTTTATAGTTTGTGAAATGTTACAAAGATGTAGACTGGAATCGCTCGAGACCAGATGAAAAATTGCTAGATTGGGATTCTTTTATGAGATCTACAATGATGAATCTTGTTTAAACAAAGACATACATTTTGTCATCTCCCCAGCACTCAGAAAGGTTAAATCACTAAAAAAATTGTTAGATCATATATGCCTAAAAATAACACATTTAAGTACTAATTTTTCGTACAATCTGTAGACGATTGGGATTCACTGCTGTCCGACTGTGTGTACATGCGCAAACTTTTGATAGTTTTGACTCTTTTTTGAGAAATATGATGCAATCCTCTCCTGCTAGGATGGTGAAAACCATTTGCAATATTTTTTAAATAAAATATATTTAAAAACACACAAGTGTATGCTTTTAAAAAGTTTAGATGGCTTTCGCAGTTTGATATTAGAGTTTTGAATTTGGTTGGTTCATTAAACTTACGGGATACATTTTTTTTGGTAGACGTGTTAGAGGATATGCTGGTTCTAGCCGTCATTTTACAGAAAGTATATTTACTGGCTAAGCAAACTACCGAGTGCAAAATGGAGAAGGGAGAGAGGATTTCTCCCAACAAAGTCTTGCACTATGATTCACTTTTTAACCATTTTTAATACCCATTGTAAATGAAACCTACTCTGTCTAGAGCCTTGCCCATTTAAGAAGACTGTGTTTCTTTTATGCCTTATCTATTCTTATCACAAACGGTAATAAGTAATATGCTCGAGTATCAAAGAGGAACCCTTGATCACTATTAATAATTAACTCATTTAGAGATGCAATCTCTTTTTCATTCTCAAGTGATGTGCTAACAAATGTTATCATCTGATCCAAAAGCATCAGTGGTGGCTCCAAACCAATATTTTGCCTGCTACAGCACCTGCTACAGAAGGTCAAATGCCGCTTCCATCACTGAGTTTGCCGCCTCATTTCAGATTTATATAGAGCTGTACTATTCTAATTAATTTTAAAGCCAACACATAAAACCTCAGTTCGACACCCTAGTTCGAGCCTGAAGGCAAAGCTTTCTTTTCGGACACAGAATGCATTATATGGCCGACTCCAAGCAGTTTCCGGTTTCGCACTCCCGTTACGAAAGACAGTCGCACGAGTGCTGAACGTAGTTCACCAATTGGACACGAGTCCCAGTCGAGCGCTGATGAAATGCTGGTGCCTAGTCCGTTCCCTGCACTGCCCTCCAGAGGCAAAATTAAGCCCTATGGCCTATATAAGGCCCATTCAGGCAATGTTGTTTTGGCGACGCTATGCTGGGCTGTGTTGCGACTCAGTATTTTTAATATTTCAGTGGCTGTCGGAGTAGCAGAGTTTGGGAAGCACTGGTCTGGGAAATGTTCGCACAACTTGCTTACATGGCAAAAAAAATGCTTCCAGTCACCACAAAGATAGATTGAAGCTTGCTTGGCCTTGTTTAACCAATCTCTTGAACAGCACTGCATTCTTTTCTTCGCAAACGGTTTCTCTTTTCTCTTTTGAGTAGGACGACTTCCGAGTGTGCCTGGCCAACAAAGTCGTCACAAAGGACCAGGAGATGATCTGCCCCATCGACCCGAGCGGGAAGTTTGTCGAGCCCGTATCGGACTTCGTCGGACTTTACGTCAAGGTGCAAACGCGTCTTCGCCTGAATTGTGCCATAGCCCCTCTGTTGAAGGGGGTCTTGTCGAAAGTATGGTGCCCAGAACGCATCCCTGACCGGTTGTTTAGTAATTTATTTTGCCCACGCATCGAAAGTGTTCCTGAAGTGGCACCGCAACATGACGCTTCTGTAACGTTATCGGGCGGAAATTGAGAAACCACTTTTTAGGATGTGGTACACACACCAGCCGGAGATGCGTTTCAGGCACCATACCAAAAGTGCATGCTGACGCCATGTTTTTGTTTGTTGTAACCAGGATGCAGACAAGGAGATAATGAAGAACCTGAAGACGAGGGGACGCTTGGTGAACCAGAGCACCGCCAAGCACAGCTACCCGTTTTGCTGGCGCTCCGAGACGCCGCTGGTCTACCGGGCTGTGCCCTCTTGGTTCGTGCGTGTGGAGCACATGACGGAGCTGCTTCTTCAGACCAACGCACAGACATACTGGTGAGAGAGCAGCGAAGGCTTGCCCTTCGAAGCCAATTACGTTGTCGAGGGGTCACGTTTGTACGCCGAGTTGATGTAAGGATTAAATGGATGGACGAGAAAGAAGCCGATAAAGTGGCATTTATATTTTGTACTGCGGGTTCAATTTATCGAGCCATGATCGTAATTTCGGAGCTGACCCAGTGGTCAACACCCATGCCTACTTTTGTGGTGCTCGTTCTGATCTCTTCCGAACTGGCTCATAATATTTGGATCGGGGTCTATTTGTCAGGTCACTTTGCTCAATATTTGACAAGAAATAAAGGTATTAACATTAGAGGAGCGTACATAATTGTCCATTGTTTGTCTAAGTGTAGTTTATGTGCAAAAATTAAGGAAAGAGCATAACTAAACACCCAAAATGACCTTTATTTCTTTTTTTTTTCTTTTTTTTTTTTGTTGTCAGTGCATGAGGGAAATGTGAGAGCGGTCCAAGCTAATCCTTGCGTTTCCCACACCTTTTTGTGGAATTTGACGCTCTCAGGGTGCCGGATTTTGTGAAAGAGAAGCGGTTTGGCAACTGGCTCCGGGATGCTCGTGACTGGGCCATCTCAAGGAACCGTTACTGGGGCACCCCCATCCCCATCTGGGTCAGCGACGACGGCGAGGAGGTGATTAATCATTATTTGATCCGTATGATTAATTATTAATTGATCTGGAGTTGTTTTGCACGCATTCAAAACCTTCTGGCTCCTCTGAGCTTAGCAATGGGACCATGCAAGAATTTTGAGGTCTGGCATTATGAGCCATACATTGTGTAGTGGCAAGTGTATGTAATATGAGCTTATAGGTGTCGGATACTGTGTAAGTATGGTCAGCACTAAAAATCGTTCAGCCTTTCCACTCTCGTGAAGAAGGAAGACCAGCGGAGCTGTACTTGATACACTGTGTGCTTCTTCGTCATCGTCGTCTGTTTTTCGCCCTGTTTTCTACGATGAATTCCGACCAACGCGCCCAACTATCCATTCTTCTATTGTAGCTGGAGAGGTTGCCACCATCTACGAGCGACGGCGGAAACCATACTGGTTGTGTGCTTGCTGCCGTCGCTTATAGATGGCGGTAGCTGTCCAGGTAGGTTTGTGTCGACATACACGGACAGGATCCTGGGGAACCTAGCCCTCAACAGCTCCGCCATAAAAAGATCAGCCCAAGCGAGCGATTGCCGGGCATGCGAAAAGGGGACATGTGGTGCTGCAACCTCGCCAACACAGCAGGATCAGGATTGCCTGGTATGTGCTATATTTGTAACACAGGGAAGGCAGACAGGCAGAAATCGTTCCTGAAGCATGCTTTCAGAATGCCGCTGCTCCGTCTCTAGCTTTTGCCGGCCATATACGAATGTTCACCTTTTGCTTGCTCGTTGAGAGCGGCGATATAATCTTTTTTATTCACTGCTTTACCGTTATTAGACGTTTTGAAAACACTGAACTGGCAGTGATCATCAGTGACAGTATCCATGTAGCAAAAAACAAAGAAAATCTTTGAAAAAGATTGCCAAAGCACCCCTGAGATTGAAAAGTAAGAACGGCCCAAGCACACTCGACCTTGGTGCACTTTGACTTTCCGGTCGTCAATCGCTTGGGGTGATTTTTTTTAGTGCCGACTGTACATGACGTGCAATTTGAAAAGTAAGACTCGCCTTTTTCGCAATGAAACGCCACGTGACTCCTTCGGATTCATGCACGGCATTGAAGTTGGTGCTGTTTTGCTTGTATGTTCAGCTTTCCTGTTAAAGCATTACAAGATGTGACTTTCAGTCATGTCTTGGACTTCAGCACTCAGCATTTAATTTTTTGCTTGCATTTAACAAATGCCTCGACAGACTCTCGTGTTTGCAGCCAGTCGTGGCTGTGGTGTCAATTGGTTGTGCTGTGTTTGTATTTTCGACAGCATGTAAAAAAAGTAAAGAGAGGTTAGTATTTGAGTGTCACAAGTATTGTTAATTTATCGTATGAAGGTGGTTTGCGTGGGTTCCATCAAAGAGCTGGAGGAGCTGACGGGCGTGCCAGTCACCGACCTCCACAGGGATACGTGAGTTGCTTCTTTGCTGCACTTTCTGCGACTTGAATAACTAGCTTTATAATGCCGCAAACTCCAGGACGAAAAGGCCACCCTACATAAAGAGATAAACAGTGAAAATGATGAGATGGGGAATCTTTGAGGGTGCAACAGCAAGATTATTTATATAAAATGAGCAGTTAAAACTCGGGTGCTCAAAGCAAACTCTCTCGACACGGGAGCCAGTGGACCTTTAGCTAAATTATACAAGCACCAAAGAGAATGCTGAAAACATAGGTAAATGCGCTACACGCGCTCGCCTTCCCCATATAAATTATTCTAAGTAAATAACCAAAATAAGAAAATAAGGCGAAGAGCAACGCTTGTGCAAAGTGTCATTTGTTTTAGCTTTTTGCTTTTGAATAGTTAAAACTGTTGCAGATGCCAGCACGTGACACGCGTGTACCAGGGTGTCTAGCGACCGGGAAAACCGGGAATTGTCAGGGAATTTTAAGACCTGGAAAAGTCAGGGAATTGTCAGGGAAATTTCCAAAAAGATTGCCGAGTCGGGGAATTTATCCCATACTCGCCCGCTTACGCTAGAAGCGGCAGGCACGGGCAGGCATAGCCACGAGCGCAGTCAAGCGCGGTGTCGCGACCCCCTAGGCGCGATGCGACCCGCCCAATTTTCTATGCGCTATGCTTCACACGAGAGCATGTGCGAAACTGGCGACTCGTCGTTGTTTTAGTGCACTCTAAAGCCACTAAATAAGCTACAATTTAGGGTAGCAACGCTAAAGTATGGCGGCTAAAGAGTTACTCACAGTTACTAGTGAAGCAGAGTAGCAGCGGCAATTTTGTTTAGTTTGTGACCCTAGTCATGTGGTGTTGCTCTAGTACGAGGAGAGACAGTTGCTCTAGCCGATACTAGGTGGTGCGAGTCACCACTCACTCGAAAAAGAACAGCCGTCGTTCATTCATCTACCCTCTGAGAGGCGCGCGCCTAGCGATCCATTCGTTTGTCAGATATGGTGCTTTCGCGCTTCCCCATAAACTCAACCTGGATGCCTGTACTCTACGAGCTCTGCCACGTGCGTTTGTGGCTGTGGGTTGTGCTTTCTATTGTGTTATTTTCCGAAAGTGGAGGCATGTGAATGGTACTATGTTGCTGTCGAGAAAGTGCTCCTTCAATCTCAACTGGACAAACCCAGACATGTGCACGAATGCGAGTTGGATTCGGCCCATTCCAAATGATCTAAATAGTGCTCACTGCGCAATGTGCTGCAAGAAGTTCTCCCTGAGCAACACGGGGAATAGGGCGATTGCTACTCGTCTTGAGGGTAAGAAACATCAAACTGCTATGAAATATCTGCAAAGCGTTTCCCAGAGCCCTGTCGTATTTTTCAAAACTGCGACAAATGCGGACTTGCCTTCCGCGACAGCAACGAGTGTTTTTTGTCCGGTGGTAACAATAGTGCTTGTAGAGCTCCGGCAATGCGTCTAACCACCGCCACGGAAGCTCTTAGCCCCTCTGTGAAGACGTGGGTGGTGGCTTTTTATTGAAGAAGGAAGTTACAAAGGCCGGGGATTCATGCGGTGCTTGAACACTATAGCAACTCATGGGTCTTTCCGTTCAGCGGCAGCGTCTGCCTCGCTGTTTCCGTTGATGTTCCCGATGTGTGAGACCGCCAGAAAAATTCAGCTTGGAAAAGACAAAGTGGGATATACAATATGTCGTGTTATCGCCCCCTACTTTCAAGACAAGTTACTAGCAAGCCTCTCTAACGTGCCATATCTGGTGGTTGCTTTTGATAATTCATTGAACGAAGTAACTCGGAGAACAAATTGATGTACTGATCAGGTGTTGGGACCAAAGTCCCTGAAACAGTAAACCCGGGTCAATGCCGTATTGTAAACATCTTCTAAAGTTTGCTTTATCTAACTTAAAGAAAATATTTTACGTTGTGAATAGTGTCTATCTATCATATATTGTGTTTTGGTGTCGGTAGTTGTGGGTCAGGGAATTCAATTAAATTAGTCAGGGAAAACCTGGAAAAGTCAGCGAATTTAAAAAAAACAATTTGGTAGACACCCTGGTGTGCCTACGTTCCCACAGTATCTTTGATGCTTGGGCAATTCGGCAAAAGATCTGTCAAAAATAGCAGGCATGGCAAACTCATTCACGGTGCTGTTTTTATTTAATTATCATCAGGAATTTTCTCAATAGGTGGCGACATCAATGTTTACCGTGTCTAGCAATTGCGACCTGTTTGCGGGTGGCCTGTGCAGCAGTGACAATTGGGTCAGCTGCCCGCATGGTTGCATCGTGCGGCACTGAGTGTCTGAAGTCTGGCTCTCAGCGCCGACAGTGCTGTCACCGTCGGCGCTGCGAGGCAATAGTGACAGCACTGAATGGCATGGAGACCACACGCCTTCGCATCTGTTGGCTAGATAGAGCAGACTGCTTTCGCAACTGAACGTATATGCTTCTGCCACCCTTTTGTTTTTGCTAGTTCAATTTTCTTATGTAGTAAGCACAATGAATGCACAATATATGAATCGAAAAATTATAGATCATTGTATCTCGTTTGTTTTTAGCGGTTCCTTTTATAACATACGCTTTTTGTTATTGCTATCCTGCAGTCACAATACAATAATCTGCACTTCATCCCATTTGAGGCATGGCCCGGCATTTTCTAATCTGCCCAGCTTATAAGCCCTCCACATTCTCTTTTGACCATGAACATGGCAGCTAGGCGAGTCCTGCTGGACATTGCATGTATTATGTGGGGTGGGTGATCTGTTTGCGTCTTCTACCAAAAGACATCAGTGGGGAAAAACACACTGGGCCATTTTTTTTTTTATTATTTTATTTAAGAATACTGTTAGCCTTCACTTGAAGGCTATTACAGGAGAGGTAACAACAATATATATACAGTCATATCAAAAATTTGAACTCTATACATATGTAAGTAATAGAAGAAGACTGTTATACAATTTTTAATTGAAGACAACGTGAACCATATCGCCACACTTTGTAAAAAGAAGTGAAATAGAAAAAAAGGAAAAACACCCTTTTTATTTATTGCTGGGTAAATATCTTTTTTAAAGAAGACTCGAATTGGGACATATTTGCAGAATTAATGACATAATCTGGAAGTTGGTTCCGGTCTTCAATTGTTTGCACAAAGAATGAATATTTAAAAACGTCTATCCTACTATTATACGGTTGGATTGTTTTATTGTGATTTAATCTGCGCGATCGTTTATGTGTTTCATTTAAATATAGTTCAGGTTCAATGTTTAAGTGATTGTTATACAACGCAAATAAGAACTTTAGCCGCGCTATTCTCCGTCTAGTTTCTAATGATTGAAGTCCACACTGGCTAAGCATTTCAGTCACAGAGTCTGTTCGTTTGTATTTATTAAGAATGAAACGTGCAGCCTGCCTTTGAATTTTTTCTAATCTATTGATGTCTACTTTTTTGTTTGGACTCCATACAATGCTGGCGTACTCTAAAATAGGACGGATCATTGTCTTATAAGCTGCGATTTTGGCATTACTAGTTGCATGTTTTAACTTTCGTTTAAGAAAGCACAAACTTCGATAGGCAGAGGAGTAGACATTATCTATATGGGTGCGCCATTGCAAATCGTGTGAGATCACCACACCAAGGTACTTAAAACTGTTTACAACACTCAAATTAACATTGCCTATATTATAACAAAATTTCAAAACGCTTTTTTTGTTCGTTATATGGATATATGTCGACTTACGAAAATTTATTTGCATTTGCCAGTCCTCAGTGCGGTGAATTCGAGCGTTCCTCCGGGATGTTACATAGGTAGGTCATAGTCACTGACAGAGTGAGAACGGTAGCGCTTGTCTTTCAGGCGCCCAGGCTCCACTATGCGCTCTTTGCCTTCTGCCATGCTTTTGCTGCTCGAGGTGTACGAGACATTGAAGCGTTGTCGAAGGAAAGGAGTTTGCGATGGAGACAGAATGAACGAAACTCCTCCCTGCCGTTTTCACTTTGTCAGTGACTATGATAAAGAAAATCAAATGTAACTGACCGTGAGAATTAAACTGATAAGCCTAATGGAATTCGGTGCCGACATTCTAATCTGCTGCACTTCTCTCGATGCAGGGTGGACCGCCTGGAGATCCCATCGTCGAGGGGAAAGGGCACCCTGAAGCGCATCTCTGAAGTGTTCGACTGCTGGTTCGAGAGCGGCAGCATGCCCTACGCCCAGGCCCACTACCCCTTCGAGAACAAGAAGGAGTTTGAGGCCTGCTTCCCAGCAGACTTCATCGCAGAGGGAGTGGACCAGACCAGGGGCTGGTGAGTGCTCTCTTTTTGCATTTGTGGGCATTTGCTCCCGGGCTCATGTGGATAGTGGTAAGAATAATTGCTTATCCTACATGTAAGTCTGTACACACAGGGGTATCGATGACCCACGTAAGTGCACGAGCACCTTAGGGAATGACCTTGGCTATCTATCAGCATGCTCTAAAGCAATGTCTATGCAGTGGTTGACGATAGTTTCAATGTTGCAGTAATGTAATCTCCTTCCTATCACTCGTCTTGAATTCAGCACATTACATAGCTCTTGTCCATCAGGCAGTGAGTTTGGGATAAAAGCGTGTTCGTATAGGTGTAGTAGTGTGCCTTTGTTTAAAAAAAAAAGAACAACTTAAATTGGACTTGTTTGCGTGCACCCGTGAATGTACTTGATATTTTCGATACACCTGAGTCTTTGTGGGATCATATCAAACATCTTTCTCAGTTTTTGTGACTTCAGTGGTAGGGATGTGCCCACCCTACTCCCAGCACTTAAAGTTTTGTACCCCCAGCCCTTAAAGTTTTGTACTTATGGAAAATGTCTGATCAACGGTATTGAAAACTGGGGTTCTCTCAGGCTATAAAAGAAACTTTTGCCTGTACTATCTCTATTTGGATAAATTGTGGTCAGTTATTTTCAACTAGTGGCTCGTTTTGGGTGTCCTTCGAATGTCTTTGTAATACCTAAAGTATCGCTCCCATTCAGCATTTTGGTATTTTTTTTTAATGGTGTTCCCTTTGCTTCTCAGGTTTTACACCATGCTCGTACTTTCCACTGCTCTGTTTGGGAAGCCACCATTCAAGAATCTCATAGCCAATGGTCTCGTTCTGGCAAGGTAATGAAGTAGTTGCAACAATTCATAGGTTTCTTGGCTTGTTTGAAGCATTATTCTCATCCGGCTGTTCCTGCTTGTCGTTTCTAAAGTGACGGCCAGAAAATGAGCAAGCGGAAGAAGAACTACCCCGACCCTACGGAGGTTGTCCACAAGTATGGTGCTGACGCCCTGAGGTAAAATATTCTAACTTTTCCTGCATGTGCTTTGAAGGTTTAAAAGAATCTAGACAGCAATGGTTTGGCTTCTTTTCCAGGTTGTACCTGATTAACTCTCCAGTGGTGAGGGCTGAGAACCTAAGGTTCCGCGAGGAAGGGGTGCGGGACATCCTGAAGGATGTCTTTCTGCCCTGGTACAATGCTTACCGGTTCCTTGTGCAGAACATTGTCCTCTTTGAGAAGGTATGTCAGGGTTGCTTTCTTCTGCAGACTTCCACTTTGTCCCAGGTGTGACAAGGATGGATGAATGGATGATATTGGCTGTGCCCTTTGTAACGGGCGGTAGCTTGCACCACCTAGCCTGAGAAAATGCTTCCCTCCTCCACTTAAATACCCAAATTCTGTCCCTCTACATCCCTGCAACTATCACTGGGCTGGGGGAATGAACCACCAGGCTGACCTTAGGGGGATCGGGCAAATACAAAATAAAAAGAAAAAGGACACACCCCGCCTTTTCCCCCCGTCCAGGGGGTCGCCAATTTTCCTCTGGTCAACCTTGTTGGTTTTCTTTTTCCAAGACCCAGACCCACTGAGAGACAGGACTAGTAGATATCCAGGGTGATGCAATGTTGGCGATTTTCCATCTCATGCCACTTGAGAATATTGATACTTTGAGGTAGGGGCACTTATTTGATCTGATCATTCTTGCTGTTGCTGTTATTGTAAGCCAAGTAATCTTGACATTTGAATCTTGGATGCTACACACCTTTAAATAGCGAGTGTCCATACTCCGTTTTTAGTAAGCTTGAGTGCCGACCGAGGGATTTGAAGGATGCATACATTTAACTCAAGAATTTGCTTGGTTGCTCTTTCAGCATTTTACGATTGAATCGCCTGACTTTAATGTTCATATGAATGTAGTTTCAAATTGTTTGTACTGATCAAAAATGTACTATTGGAATCTAATTGCAGTTTTTTCTAGTACATCTAGCTTTTGGAATGGGGATGTCTTTTTTCATTCATGCTTGCTTTTTTTATTGCCCCCAGGAACATGGAGAGAAGTTTCTGTGTGCTGCATCCATCAAGGGCGCATCATCGAACTTCATGGATCGATGGATTCTCTCTTATACCCAGAGCCTGGTGCTTTTCGTCAAGAAGGAGATGAAAGGTGAAGGAGTAGAGCATGTGTTAAGTTGAAGAATTCACAACTTGTCTCTCTTTTATGGCTTCTCAGAGTACCGGCTGTACACTGTTGTGCCACGACTCGTCAAGTTTGTGGACCACCTGACGAACTGGTACGTCAGGATGAACCGCAGAAGGCTGAAGGTTTGTGCATTATCCTTCCAAGTTGTGCATCACTGTATTGAAAAAAAAAAAAAAAATAGTGATTTAATAATTCCTATGTTTTGATTTTTTGATTTATTGCACCAGAGCATATTGGAGAATGGCTGGCAAAATGGATAGAATAAAAATGTCTCCAAAAAGCTGGCAAGCTGAAACCCTGTCATAGTGTGACATGATTATGAATTGAACATATTTTTGAAAAGTAAAAAATATTAGGGGCTCTCAAGGATAACATTGTTTCCGGTAGTCTCTTCAGCAATTAATTTATGATTTTGTAGACAACAGATCTCTTTGATGTTTAGAATATGTTACTTTCTTTGTATGCACAAAAGACATCTGAAGAACTGTGTTCTCTGCAGCAAATGATTTGGATAATTTTATAGACCACATGTTCATGTTATGTTTGCAATGTGTTACTTTTCTATTTACTTTATGTGCAGACGAGTTCTGAAGAACATAGTCCAGCCACTCTTTGCTTGCATTTGGAAATTATATTCTGTTTTTTATTGTTTGTTTCAGGGAGAAAATGGCAAGGAGGACTGCCAGCGTTCGCTTGAGACCCTTTGCAGCATCCTGTACATTATGATCAGGCTTATGGTAAGCTGTGTTTTTGTTTTAGTGATTTGTTTTTTAATTGTTTGCTGACTCAAGAGTTGCCGAGTTTCTGAAACAAAGGCATTTCCAGTAACCCTGCCAGCTGTTGTTTTGCAGGCACCATTCACACCATTCCTGACGGAGTTGATGTACCAGACCCTAAGGCACCTGTTCCCAGAGCTGTCTTCCAAAGAGGATTCACGCAGCATCCACTACCTGCTGCTTCCAGAGCCCAGGCAAGTCATAGGTAGTTTTCTTTGTCTTGCGAAGGAACATGGAGAGCTAGAAGTGGACAGGTTTTGAATATGGAGTCTACTATGTTACACATTGCAGCAAAGAAATTTACATGTAGCAGCAGACATAGTGAGACGTTTTAGGTAGACATATATCTCCGTAAGGCTGGCGTCTCTTGGTTTTGAAATGGGGTATATGTTATTTGGGGTACTTGCTTTGTAAATTTCAAGCAGTTTTGGAGCACTCTTTTGTTTGTATCGTGTGCCTGGAAGCAAGTGCAAGCATCTACCGTTCTAAAGGCGTGGGCCTGGAGTACTTTTGGATATCTCCAAATCCTCCGAGGGAATCGCCCATCAGTACTGTACAAAGCCCGCATGTCGGCTTTGCCACAAGATGTGCAGAAAGCCAAACATGTGTTTTACATGACAGATTTTGGTTGTGGGTCAGTAGATCTAGATATTATCTCAACTAGTAGCCCTCACTACCTATTTTGCTGATGCATGCTGATACCCTTTGTAGGTTTTGCACATAAGCCCTAAAAAATTGTTGTTTATTTATTCTTCTACAAAGAAAACACAAATGATCTGGCACTATCAATGTTGGTGCTGTGAAATACTACAACCTGTGTTGGGACTTTCGGCGAATGAGCTTCATACCTCATATGGGTCCCTGAAAAGGAACAATGTTTTTTTTTTAAACAGTCTGGTTGGGATGCGAGGTGCGATTTTGGTTGGTAGTCACCTTCTTTCCACTTTTTTTCTCTCTTGGCATTTCGGGCGCGTGGAGGCGAGAAGGTTGGCTTGGCCATCACAATGAGGTGGAGAGAGTGTATGACCATCTTGTTGAAGTGGAAAGAGTGTACATACGCACGCCCATTCCGTGATATGATGGACTTTGCGCGCAGAAGTTAAAATAAATCTCGCGCCATAATATTGCTCTAAAAAAAATTATTTTTCCCATTAAATTAATTTTTTGATACGCATGTCCCAACCAAACTGTTTAAAAAAATATTTATTTTTAGGGCTTTTTTAATGTTTTAGTGTAGGCTGCTCTTTTGGATGCAAATGTTTTTGGTGTCATGATTTGCTGGGCTCATTCTCTAAACCGCTATGACTGACCTTCATGGGCCCTGCATAGTTCCTGCAGTTCACCGTTTGGTGGGTCCAACTTAGTTGGCTGAATGCCGACTGTCTGACAGGCTTATTTCAGTCTAGGCGCCATAGAATTGAGATTACTGTCACACATTAAAAATATTAAATGTAATCTAAAGTGATTGTCTGTATTTGGCTGGGGTGTGTCAGATGCCTTTTGTTGGTATAGCAGGTTGACCTCCCAGAAATATGCTTTTGGTTTTCATAGTGAAGCTTGCAAAGAGAACAGATGAAGAGCCTGATTTAGGGAGGTTTGGCTATGCAAATTGGATTACACCTTCCAAGGCTCGATACTTTGTGTTTTATGTATGCAAAGAAAGCAATATAATGGAATTTTTACAGATTCCTTGTTCTACAATTGCAAATGCCCATAAGTTTGTTGTCTATTGAGACAAGCAGCTGTTTCTTTTCAACAAAAATTTTTATTAATTTAGATTTCAGTGCAGGTTTAATAATGTGATGTTTCCCCTCAGGAACGAACTCATTGAAGAGGTGGTGGAACGCAGTGTGAGCCGCATGCAGACAGTGATCGAGTTGGGCCGCATCGTCAGAGATCGCAGGACACTTCCTCTCAAGGTGAGGCTATCCGACATACTGTTGGCCTTTATTGTGGCATTCTTTTTTGTATACCACAATTAAAGCCCGATGCTAAACCCCTTTCACATCTACCGTCTTTCTTTTCTTTCTTTTTCAGTACCCACTGCGAGAACTGGTGGTCATACACAAAGACCAGCAGTACCTGGATGATGTTGCATCACTAAGGCAATATGTCCTTGAGGTGTGTGCATTTTACTTTTGTCTCTCTGTGTACATCCACTGATGTGCTGTGGAGGTTGTAGAGTTAAAGGGAGATCCTGGTCTTGGACATTTTCTAGTCATTTATGATGTCATTTATAATAAAGTATTACATCTATTATAAGTTCTTGTGCTGAGCACAAACCTAAGCTCAATTTTTCCTATCATAGTTTTAAAAAAAAAAAACTTTTTCACAAATGTTTCTGCCCAACCTTTTTACAATGCCCCCTTCAAAAATTATGGTACAAAGTATTTCTGCATGTTCTACAAACATTAGGAAGTGCAACAAAGGCATTGTTATAATTTTAGCTTAATTCTAAAAAAAAGTTATCTCGAGTTGAAATTTTTTCACTCATAATTAGAAATGAGTCATTAAAATCTTTGCCAATTAGGAAGTTTTGTAGTTGACCTTTTTTTAAAAACAGTAGTCTTGTTGCACTCTCCAATTTATATGGTATTAAAACCTGAAAAAAGTATTCAAGTCCAAGGTGTCGCCGTCAGGCTTTTCAGGGGATTCGGCATGAAGCATGTCAATCTGACTGAAATGTCGACATGTTCACCTGAAAAACGAACAAGCAACTGCTTTTTCATTTGCGCTGCATTCTACATTGAAAGTCTGTAGTCAATGTCCCAATGCAGGTTGCTCTTTTAGTTTATGGTACCATTTCGCTTCTTTTATGGGAGCATGTTTTCACATGTTGTAACGATTGGCTCATGTAGACGCGGGGGCTGTCTCCGTGAAGAGGTTTTCATACTTCCGAGCATTTATGACACTCGCTCTTTAACGAACTTGTTAGTTGATGTTTCCCTGAGAAATGAGACCAGTTCTGCACAATTTTACGGAGCATGTTTTCATGCCCTTGAAAATGTGAACCTGTCAGTCGTGTTCTTTACCCGAGGTCCCCATCTGTTCTATCAAAGTTACTATGTTGATAATGTCACAAGCAACTGCCGTTTCTATCTCGACAGGAGCTGAACGTGAAGCAGCTTACGGTGACGTCGGAGAAGGAAAAGTATGGTGTGCTAATGAAGGCAGAACCCGACATCAAGGCACTGGGATTGCGCCTGCGTGGGGAGAGCAAGGCCGTCTCCCAGGGGATCAGGGTGAGCGCTCAGGCTTCAGGACACAAAATTGTTATGTTTGCAGTGCATTTTTGGACACAGTACTGCAACGAATGTATAATTTTGGTGAGGTGGACTGTCCTCGATGATTGCTTGTTCCCGGCTTGTTTTTGCAGGAGTTGAAGGACTCTGCCATCCAAGCATACCTGAAGGGAGAGATGCCGACGGTGTGCGGTCACCGCCTGGAGCAGGGCGACATCAGGGTGCAGTACAGCTTCTCGGGGGCTGACGGAGAGTTGCTTGAACAGTATGAGGCACACGCTGAGGCGGATGTGAGTGGCATTGTCTTTCCTTATGATTGTGTCCAACTGTTATGCTGTTGGAAAGCTTACTATGTGCATTACGGAAACTTGTTTCGTTTTAGAGCGCAGCTCTGAGGCGCCCGTTTCCGGCTTGAGTGGCGTCGCCGTCAGCGTAACCGCGCAGTGCATTATGGGTAAATTTCCCCGCTAAATTTAGCGGAAAATTTTCCCCGCTAGATCTAGCGTAAAAATTTCCCCGCTAAATCTAACTGAAAAATTTTCCCGCTAAATTTAGCGGAAAAATTTTCCTGCAACATATAGCAGAAAAGTTTTCCCGCTTAATTTAGCGAAAATGTTTCCCTGCTAAATCTAGCAGAAAAATTTGCCGCTAAATCTAGAGGGAAAATTTTCTTGCTAAATCTAGCGGAAAAATTTCCTGGCTAAATTTAGCAGAAAAAATTTTCCCCGCTAAATCTAGCGGAAATAATTTCCCCGCTAAATCTAGCGGAAATAATTTCCCCGCTAAATCTAGCGGAAAAATTTACCGCTAAATATAGCAAAAACATTCCCCCACTAAATCTAGGGGAAACTTTTCTCCTAAATGGAAGGCAAGCAGGTGAGGAGGAGGGGCATAGCCTCCTCTCCGTACCTTCCCCTCCTCCTCCTCAAGAGCTGCGCTCTAATTCGGCATTACAGGGAGTTGTAAACGGCTTTCATTTTTTCTATTTCTTTCCTCATGGCCCACCACCCTAATAGTGACTTTTGTAGAGCGCAGCTCTTAGAGGCCCGTTCCCGGCTTGAGCAGCGTTGGCGTCGGCGTAACCAAGGTCACCCCAAGGTCACGTGACCTCCCCGATGACGTCATCGTCACTGATGACGTCACCGGCATCCGCATTGTCATCATCATCATCACTGATGACGTCACCGGCATCCTCGTCGTCATCGTCATCATCACTGATGACGTCCCCGGCATCGTCATCGCCATCACCACTGATGACGTCATCAGTGACGTCACTGATGACGTCACTGGCATCGTCATCGTCATCATCACGGATGACGTCATCAGTGACGTCACTGATGACGTCATCGGAATCCGCATCGTCACTGGGGGGGTCACGTGACCCCCCAAGGTCACGTGACCCCCCAGGTCACTTGACCCCCCCCCCCCCCAGTACCCTTCCCTCCTCCTCCTCAAGAGCTGCGCTCTAATTCGGTGTTACAGAGAGTTGTAAACGGCTTTCACTTTTTTTATTTGAGGGGTCAGTTTGTGTTTGCTTGTATGATTATGAACATGTGTCTTCGCAAATATGCAGGCAACTGATGGCTATTTTACTTGAATTTCATGTTTTGCAAATGCTTGCTCAGGCTTGAAAGGTCATTTTAAAGCTTACTTTTCTTGTCAGTAATGGAGATAGTGTATCTTTCTATGGCTTAGAGGGAGAAAGATATTGAAGCGAAAAGATTATCCTGCACCGATTGTCATGACAAGTGAAAGGGATATTTACACGGGGGAGGCTTTTCAGGGAGGGATGTGCGAGACATCGGTGATCGACGAAACCAGCGGCATTCCCTCCCCGACTCCAGCACGCACGCAAATGGCGGGGAGCCGAGAGGGATGTCAATTTTATCAGACGCATATAGCGGTCGTGCTCAACAACAGGACTCAGTTCGCACTGACAAGAGTAGAAAAATTGAGGTGTACATGGCATGGCAATAAGCAATTAGGGCAGCAGCGTTGTTAGATGTGGAAGACAACAAACTGCTTTCTGCTAAAAAAAAAAATGCTTCATGAATGGGTGAATGCAACACAAAGGACGTGATCCAAAACCAGTTGTACAAGGAGGGCCTTGAGGACGGCATTGACGAATGTCAAAGACTCCTTCAGGTAACCTCGGACAACACGCGCAACAGCGCAAGCCACAACAAGTTAGGTGATCCTGACGCTACTGCCGGTATCCCGCCGAGCAAAACCTGTAGGGCCGTCGGACACGCGTGAAAAAATACCGCCAATTGCGAAGAGATTCACCACCAAGGCGGGGGCTTTCTGTGCAGCCCGAGCATAAGTTCCCCCATCCCCCTGGAATGTCTACGTCCGCGTGGCTCAGTGCAAAGGCATGACGTTGCTACCAGGTGATGAGCATTCCAGGGAGCAAAGGGAGGGACTTCTCCTCATGTGAATACCCCTTTAAAGGTAGAAAATGGCATCAAAGACCGGTCCGCAAGAAGAGGGCCCCCACCACGACTTTCCTCCTCGCTATTCTTCCCACAACATGAAAGGAGGAAACTGTTCCTCCTTTTTTGCCAGCTTCCGAGCTCATTTCCTGCCTGTGAACAAAGGTGCGAAGGACGAGGGAAGGAATTTTTGCCGGACAGGAAAGATTTTGTCGCGTTGGAGATAGAGTGATGAAGAAACATGGCGGCGATGATATTGTGAAAGTAAAATATGCCATCGGTGCTCAGCTGGTCCAATGGCGTGGCAATTTCCCATTGTCTTTTGAGGAAGATACCAGAAACAAGTCTCCGGCTTCTTTTCTGGTCCTTCTTTCTGCACCCTGCATTGTAGGAGTTGTCGGTGGCGACCGTCGTTTGCTGATCTTGTTGCCCATTGCGTGCAGCTTCTCATCTTGCTGGATGTGTCTCCGGACCAATCAATGATGGATGAGGGCCTTGCCAGGGAAGTGATCAACCGAGTTCAGAAGCTCAGAAAAAAGGTAAAAGATTTTTTAAAATTTATTTTATTTTTATCTAGATAATAATTTCTTTTGTTGATTAACCTATTTTATTACAACCTCTGGTGCCACTAGGCATACATGAATAGTGGATTTTGAGTTTGAAGCAAATTCATAGTACATAGTGATTTTGGCCGCACATTTTCAAATCGAATATCAAATAGTTTCTTTAAGAGGATATTGCAGCTCCTGAGCCCTATGTGATTCCAATGGCAACTTTTTGGTCTTTTTTTAGCAACCACCAAACTGGTTGACTTGATAATGGTTTTGCTAGAAAGATAATTAAAAACTGAGTAATATTGTGGCGCTACATTTCCCGGGAACTTATTTTTATGGGAACTTAATTTTTAGTGGAACTTAAATTTGCTTAAATAAGCATTTTTTTTTTTTTTTTCCGTTCTTTATGAACATTTAAAAAATAAACCAGTGCCTAAGTACGAATTCTGGCATCACAATATTGAAGACCAGAACTTTTTGAATATATCTCTAACAAGATCTTTTTTCTAGAGATTTTCATTGTGATACATTGTAACCACGTAGGCTAACAGAAGTGCATGAGAGTAAGGTAAAGTGTAGTAACATTGCATAGGAATTCTACCTGTCACTATTTAGGTAGTAATCTTTTGACACGCATTACTAGCTATTTTATAGTAGTACTTTGTAAAAGGCCCATATAAAATTACGATAAAAATACCAAGTGCAGTGATGCTATTGCTGCCCCAATTGCGCCAAGGGGCTAACCCTGCTACATCCTACTACATTTTTCCAAAATATGGCTAATCTGTGCCAAGCCTGCGCCAAAGGACCAATTTTGGTCGGCTCTCAAAATCGAAACTAAACTGAACACCGTATTTGAGCATGCGTGGGCCAGGTGGCACAAGCGGCCACCCGACAGAAAGTACCTATACCTCAATCATCCATCCAGTCTTGTATGTCTCTCGTTTCGCACTCTCGTCATCTCATTGCATATTTTTAAAATTTTTCAACGATAGACGCGGCCCTGTGCGTACGCTCCGACGCAAGGGTGCCGGGTACCAGCTATGCCGTCATGCTGTGTAACGAAACCACGTTTTTACGCTGCGGGATTTACTTTATGAGCTGAAGCACTCTCTCCTGAAAGAAATGGCCTTTGGAAAGCTATATTTGGTCAATGCCCGCCAGTGCCAGTCGTCGTGGTCGCGCGACGTCGGGTGTTGCCGTCCCCATGTCGTTGCAGATATGGCGCTTTCTAAACTGTAACATGAGGGCCGCCGCAGGTTCATCAACATTCCAGTTCTTGTTTAAAGGGACACTGACAGGGTATTTATGCTCGCCAAGGTTTTTAGTTGTACGTGACATATGAGAGCTCAACTACCCAGAACAGAATTTGCGGCTCGAAATTCGGTTTCTTTCCGCCCGAAAACCGCCGATCAAGAACTGGCCGGTTCGAGTCTCGCTCACTCTTTTTCGCGGTCACGGGCCGTTTTCTAAGGTATCGATGCGACCACCGAATTTAATCCAAGTCGTGGGTCACTGAAGGCACACACTCAATATTAAAAATAGAAAAAAAATATGAAACCCATTTTTTGTGGCTTCTAAAAAGCTGTAAATACGTTGATTAAAAAAAAAGTTCCACAGACAACCGGAAGCATTCTGTGCGTTCGTCGTTTCGCGTATCGTGGGACTTGCGGGGACGGCGATGGCAGCGGACGACGGGCGTGGGACCTCTATTTCAGAACTGTCGTTCACGGTACTGGCGAATTCTGTCTACCGTTAAAAGAGAAATTTGGGACTGATCAGAAGAATTGGTATTCATCCCTACGACACGCCCGGCCATCAAGCCGATTTGCACGAAGACGTCGCCGAGCCGTCGCTCCCTTCTCGTGGCTGAAGACATCGCTCGCGCAAATGTCAAGCACGACGTGTCTACTTCGAGTTGAATATGCACGCGTACGTTTCTTCACTAGGTGCGAATGTCCCCAAAGCGTGGTGCTTCCCGACTTCGACTCGGGAGTGCTTTTGCTAGAGAAAAATCGACAGCAAACTTTCCAACTTACAGTTTACCGGCTGAAGTATTACCAAGGAAAGAGATACCCCACAAAAGAGATGCCCCAGTAGCTCAGTGGGAAAGACGTTCGGTTCACACGCGGCAGACCGAGTTCGATCCCCCGTGAAACTTTTTTTTTTTTTTTTCAAACATTTTCTGATGTTTACATATCTTTTTCTTTTTTTTTTTTTACAATCATCACTGAAGAAACAAACAAAAAAATAACAAACAAATGTTGTGGACGATACTTCGCTAAATTAAATGGTATAGGATTTCCATTTTGACACCTGCGAAGTCAATGTAATCACTTTCCACAAAATGCAGGGTACGGGCACCTCGGAAAGCATCCGCTTTTTGAGGTGCCCGTATATGTTCTACAGGAATTGCAGCCAGCCATTGGTCCCGATCCTGTTGATCTTTCGGAAACTCTGTCGCACAATGCCACTTTTTTTCGGACGCAGGACATGTGAGCCAGCTCTTCACGCAACATCTTGGGTGTATTCTTTTCGGAGCCGATCATGGAAATTCACCACGGGCACTCACTACTCATCTCCAACTCCTCAATGTACAAAACAACTCATCTTGGAGTACAGAACAACGAGCGGAACAAACATAACTGCAACAAAATCGCACGGCGAGCAGTTCCCGCACGCTGCATGTCGTGTCGTCTGCTACAGAGAGGAGAAAAAAAAAACAAAAAAAAAAAACGCACGGTCGGGTGTAGCCACGTGACTTCCGCCACTCACTCTCTTCTCTCCACTTCTCCAACCTCCGTCGGGCTTCGGTTTCGGTTTCGAGCAGTTGCGTCTTTTGGCTTTATTAAAAAAATACGCTACTCTGTTGCAAAAAATTACTTGGGTAGTCCTCCGACACCATAATGAAGCGCCTGGCAAAAAATAAAAAAAAATTTTTGGGGGGTGTTAGTGTCCCTTTAAATCATACGCTACTACAAAAGTCCCTCTTTAACTCAGACTGCTGTGTCGAAGTATTGATTACCTAGGTTTCTCTTGGTGGGCTTTCTTTCAAGAGGGACTCCGGGACGTGAAAAATTTGGCGCGAAAGAAAGTTGGTAAAGAGGAGCGAACTAAAGCAAAGGATGCAATGTCTGCACGCTGAACCCATAAGCGCACTTGTTTGTCTCGAGTTTAGTCGTTGCACAAAGCGCTCCAAGAACTTTTGACCTTGGCTCGCGATGTCTTGCATTGATGCGCTCAGGTTCTTTTTTTCTGTGTGTTTAGTTTGTGCCTCGCCTGCCGGCCTGGCAAGAACGTGCCGCTAGACTACTTTTTGGCGTATGCTGGACAGTTACTTTTTACATACAATTCTGGTAACCAGTTGGCGACGGAGCGGAGTGGCATGGTTTCCGTTTCACTCGAACAGCCAAATCTGCTTGCGTGACGAAGCACGTGCAACTGCAAGCCAGCCGAAGTTGCCCTCATGTGCATGCGAACGTGATTGCATGACAGAGGCGCAAGCCGGGATGCTTGCAATTCATTGTTTTACGTTTGCTTACTTTTGAGGAAAATCTGGCACGTCGGGAACCAGTAAAACGTTGGCAAGCCGTTCGGAATTGGTCGGCAACGCCTACAGCAATGTATGTACACTTGTGGGATGTCTCAATGTCTCTTTGAAGGCATTGAAAGTGGACATTCATTACTAGCCGAAGGCAAAGCGAGGCTTGGAGCAGCCTTCCAGAAAGTTTTGAAAAGCAAAAAGAAAAGCACCCGCTAGTCATAATGCACCTTGGTTTTATGTACAATTTTGCATTGCACTGCAGTAGTTACGTGGTTCATCAGCTGGAGACTGCTTCCGTTTATTATATCGCTAGTAAACCTAATGCTGTGATATTTACAACAAAGCTGGTCATTTTCAAATAAAGTTTAATATGTGCAGTTCGGCTCATATTTATTTATAACGGGTACATGTACATGTATCATTTAACTGAAGCATTGCAAAATGTGTGATATTATTGACATTTCAGTTACATGTTGAAAGACTCCCAGGTGGTCTAACATGACCTTAATTTGTTTATTGCAGCGATCATTGTGCCCTTCATTTGTCCAGCACTTAAAACGAATATTTTTATATTTCTAAGAATATTTGCTCCAAAAACTACTTTTACTGCTCCGAAACGCTGTTTTGGCTGCTCCAAAAGTCACTTTTTCTGCTCCAAAACACTGGTTTGGCTGCTCCAAAAGGTGCTCCAAAACGGCTTAGGCCAATCACATCACTGCAAGTGTCAAATAATCTTACATTGTTTTGGCACCCATTCCTTTCTACCGATCTCCAAAAAGAACATTCTGTGTTTTATAGTAAGCACGATGAACCAGAAGTCACACTTGCGAGATCCCAGTCTTGCATTTGAGTCGTACAAAATGCAAGACGAAAAAACTATGAAAAATTATGTGGGCAAACATTTTGGCATTTGCCAAATTCCTTTCACGCACGAAAACACGGCCACATCTGTTAGTGCTAAAACAAACGGCTTGTGTTTATGTTTTGTAGGCCCGTCTCGTTCCAACCGACGCAGTGGTGGTCTACACGACGGTGTCGCCGGCGGACCACCCCGTGGCGGCGGTGGTGGCTTCCCACCAGAAGCTCATAGAGGGGAGCCTCAGGGTGCCCCTCAGGAGGGGGGGAGCCCACCCCGAGGGCGACGCCCTCATCATTCAAGAAGTCCAAGAGGTGAGCTCTCACTAGCGGTGCTAGGACGTAGTTCCATCGAGCATTATTGTCATGTCATTCGGTGCACTCCTCAAAATTCAATTTTCTGTCGGGCGAATCGGCCACCTTGGTTTCTCCAAGGCAGGGTGCCAGCCTACGGATACCCACGTGACAGGTTTTAATCCCAGTCAAGGTACCCGCAATCTGACGAAGGCTTATTGCCGAGATTTTGGTTGCACGTCAAAAGATGCCCAGTGGGTCAAATGAATCCTTTCTGCGAAACGTCCCTCATTGTTTGGCTCATAAAACGCCCAAATTTGACTTGTGCAAACGTTTAGGCAGAATTTTTATGTAAGTCTGCCTTACAATGGGCATTGCTTTCCTCCAAGGAGAATTTGGCTAGTGCAGTGTAATTGTTAACCGGGAATCGGTGATTTGCATCGCGTGGTAGCAATTACACGGATACACGCTAGTATGATGCCTATCCATATCGAAACCTACAGAAGCGTGGATTTAATTAGTGACATCCAAGTTTGCCGGGCAAGCTTTTACTCCAGATGCTGCGACAGGGTTCGCACGGGTCCTCGAAAACCTTGAAACCCCTTGAATTTGGAAACAGCAATTTCCAGACCTTGAAAGTCCTGGAATTTGTAGCAGTGCTTGAAAACGCTTAAATTTCCCGATTACAGCCAATTCTTTTTTTTTTTTGCAATGAAATTTTTTTGAAGTAATAAAATATAGTTTTTTTTTTATGTGTATGTTAATATAAATTTCGTTAACAATTAGACACATTTATTGGATGCCCGTTAAGCTCCTGGCCACAATGGTAGCAGTCCTGGTGGTTCCGGATCTGGTCTCGCTTGTCTGCCATCTTGCGATCTTGCCCCTTGTTCGACTTGTTCCCTCGCATGCTGTTTCCTAGCCACTCCTGGTTTGCGTGTTCTGCGTCTATTTTACGCTACATATGGTGGACATAGTTTAAGTTGCGCACGATGGCTGGGAAGTGCGACTACAGACACCGAGTAGGCTGAGGCAACAGGTGACATCACCTAAATTGTCGAGTAGAACGGCCTAAGGAAAGCCCGTAAAGAATTTTTGCACTGCATTGAAAGAGCAGGTTATATTATAAATTCACTAGATTGAGTATTGGAAGGGATCCTTGAAAATATCTTTACAGGCCCTTAAAGGGCAACTCCGCTCAATTCCGAAAAATTTAGGCTTCCATGTGATTCACATTAACAAAGCACTACTAAACAACTCTACGTCTTCGGATTCGCGAAATATGGAATATTATTTGTGTAATCCTAATTTAAACATCAGCAGATACCGAAACCGAAACTTCGGTTGCGTCAGGCAACATTGGTCTCGGGTCGTCAGAGTCGTGGCACGTCACGTCGAACCACGTGGTCTTGTGACGTTCGGGAGGGAGCGAAAAACCGAGTGAGGTCTTTTTTTTGTTTCTTTTTTTTTATTGGACGCGGGCAGGTCGCTCTGCATGGCGTGGACGGTGATGGCCCGGGGGTGAGGGGGAAGGGGAGAAGATGAAAGAGGAGAAAAGGAGCGGAGAAACAGACCGATAAGCGCGCAGGGCAGCGCATCCCAGGCGCATCCGTGTTACGGTGATCACGTGAACGCCCGGTCAGCCAACACCGGGAGGAGAAAGTCATGACGTCATCGTTCGATTTCGCTCTGAGAAGTAAAAACAAACAAAACGTGAGAATGACGTATGCATGCCTCTGACGTAGTGGCTCAACGTTGGCCGCTCCATCTCCGTGGCATTGACTGCGCTGGTGATTGCGCCTTGCGCCGCACGCTAGAGTTGGCAGATTTCGGCAACTTGGCTCGCTTGAAGGTTTGCTGGCCAGTTTATTAAATATATAAACGGAATTAGATCGTAATATTTGACATGGGGTCTTCCTATATGATACTGAAGAGGGCTACATAGTTTTCTAAATATCAAAAATGAAGCGGAGTTGCCCTTTAAAAGTCCTTGACAACCCTTGAATCTTTTTCTTTGAAGTCTGTACAAACTCTGTATGATATTGCAGTTTGTTAACACTCCTGACCACTTCACCCCTTCCGCTAGCTGTCACATTTGTAAGTGCAGAAACTACCACCATTGTGAACTGAGCTGTAAATTTGGTGAAAGGCCTATCTAACTGATCTTGACAGTGCGCCTGAATTTAAGAAGTAATTTTGTGGTGATTCTACTATTTGGAAAAAAATTAATTGTTTCTTTCCAATCCATTATTGTCATATGTTTTGTTGTTTTGGCCCACTGTGACTGTTGTATTGCTACATAATATGCTGTTTAGCTAGAGCAGTGGTTCTCAACCACTGATGTTTTGGGGACCTCTTCTGGATAGGTGGAAGTGATGGGGGACACCATCCACCAGGAGAGAGGGGAGGGTATTGGACGATTACAATGACAAAAGGGTAAATGGTGGAAACTAAGTACATCAAATCAACTCTGAAGCTTTGAAACAAAGAATAATCTACCCTACTTGCTCGGTGCACATGATTTGGTCATTTAGCTTTGTAAAACAGCCAGCAAAAAAAGTTTGAAAAAGGTTTTTGTGCTTGGCTTGACTGAAAGCCTAAAGGCTCGTTCGATCACGCAGTTGCATTACGCTGTGTTGCGACGTGCTGCACAGCATCTCCCCCTTCGCTCATTGCAAGTGTCGCCGTAGCAACAGCTCGACGCAAGCAGTCTTAACGAGGCGCAAGTAGTTGCAGTTGCACTCGAGCGCAACTGTGTGAACGAGCCTTAAGGCTCCGGGGACGCCAAGAAGGCCTTCAGGGACCCCAAAGGATTTCTGGACCCCGATTTGAGAACCGCTGACCTGGAGCATACATTAGGTAGTAGGTCACATAGTTTCAATTTCAGCAAATCCTTTTTGTCATCAACTGTTCATTATAACGTGAGGGAATCTGTGATTGCAGACAGAACTCGACATTTCTCGCAACTTTCTTCAAGTTCAGATTGCATCTTAAAGTGGCATTTTCCGTGAAAACAATTTTGACTGACGCACCAGCTTGCTTTATTGCATCCGTAACTTTTTCAATATTATATCTCGTTGGGTTATCGGATTAGAAAATGAACAAGATGAAGGAAAAGGACTGTGCTGAAAGCTCTCTAAAGTCGTTGGTGCATGTGAAAAGTAATTTGTTGAATTGTGGTGCTTCATGCCGTTGCTAACGCTGGATTCTTTTTTTTTTCTTTCTTATAGCTAAAAGGTGCACAGCTAAAAATTGTAATTGTCAAAGACAGTGGTGGCCTCATGGCTAGTGAGAGCCTGAAAGACTCAGCTACTGTGTCACCGACTTCAGTTCCAAAATCAAAGTCCAAGAAGGATTCCAAACAAACCGAAGTTGTTTTAGGAAAACATGATGATTCCGAAGCTCCTCCATTCTGTAGGTGAGCAAAACATAGAAACATCCGTCTGGAAATTTTTGCGAACATACTTTTTCATCTTCCTTGCAACAACCCACCATAGAACATTTGCCAGAATGTTTGCTGAAATGCTCTGTTTACTCTACTCTTAACAGTTTGTTTCATACCGATGTACACTTTGTTGGCCTGCTTTGGGTGCCTTCCATTGTTTACTACACTATTTAAAGTATTTATTGGTTTACACTGATGTCTGCTCTTGTGGCCTGCTTTGGGTGCCCTGAATTTGTGTTTCTACTTTTTTGTTTGCATTAAAGCTTTTCCTTCAACTGCTTTTTCTGAGTTGGGTCCTTTTTTGGGCATGCTTGTGTATGTCCTTGCCTTGTCCTTCTGGTTGCTCGGGCTTTGAAGCACTTTGTAGTCTTCCTTTGACACCCGAGGCAAAAAACAAAAAGATGCATGATGTTTGCTACCTTGCCTGCATCAATTCTTAGTTTTTGATGCAACTCCGGTTTGGTGTTTGAATCGGTTAGATCTTTAGCTTGCTGTGTCCTTGTCCTGCCGTTGCACTGGTCAGCTCATCCATGCATTCTTCTGTAATCAGTGACGGGGAATAGAATTGGAAGGCCATGCTGCCACTGTGAACTTTCAGGTTTGTGAATGTCGAGCTGTGCGGTGGCACGAACGGTCCGAAAAGTCGGAAAGCCACGGTTCTGCTGGAAAACCCGATTGGCCAGAACATCGTAGATCTGGCAAGGCTACAGTACTTGGTAAGCTGAGATTGGTGCTTTTTATTTTGCTGTGTGAACTTTAATATATCTGGGATGATTTCCTTGGAACTATTTCATGCTACAGGAGATTGTATGGGTTATTGGGTTGTACCATAAAAATGAGGAGGCATTGACATAAACCCCTATTGGGTTCTTGGCAGTTGCTGTTATTCAAATCCTCCTTTTGTTTCCTTCGCTTGCTGTGACTTGGTTTTGCCTGCAATGTTTCGTGTTGAAGCCCAGCAGTGCATACAGCGAAAACTTCGGAACCATTTGCAGTGCATGTACAGTCTTGGACAGTATAAACTGATTAGCCTTAAACTATCGTAGCACATGTTGAAGCTAGGTGCAAGATGACATAGCCCTTTTAGTTTGTTGAGTCAAGGATATATGTGGGGACTACTCTGAATCTTCTACCGAGTCACACAGGTGCATATTTTGCAGCGGAGAACATGCCTGCCACAGTGTTAACGCTTTGAGCAAGCTGTTATTTCTCAAATTCCCACTGAAAACATTGGAAATTTCGCCTCAAAATTGTCTTTCATAGCAGCTTTTTGTGCTCCAGGCTCGGGCTCTCTTTCAGTTCACTTGTGTTCTTCCCATGGAGTGCTCCAGGACAGCTGTGAAATCGCTAGGCAATTTCTATACTTAATTCTTCAGGTGATGTCAAGTTTTAGCTAGGGTTCCTCAATGTGTATGCATTTGTCTTGGGTTTATGACAGCAGACCATTTTGCATTGCTACACTTCGTTTTCTCAGCCTCAGAATGTCCGAGTCTTCAAAGCATCTTGTTTCTCTATTTCTTTGTATTTTCCTCCAATCGACACTAAATGTTGTAAACCCCCCCCATCCTTCCCCCCCTCCCAGTTACAACTTAGATTCAATATATAGTTTTAGGAAGTTGCCTGGTTGTGAAATGTGTGCTTTGTTTAGGAAAAAAACACCTGATCTTGTTTTTTTAACTAAGCAATTTTTTTTTAACTTTTAATGAAGAACGTTAAAGCGTTTTGATCTAAAGCGTTTTCTGATTATGCCTTGCTTGTAGGTTCAGGTGGTTTTCGAACTGCCAGGCAAGACGCTGGATGTGTACAGGACAAGGGACAGAATGTCCAAGCTAACCAGCCTCACTTCAGAGGACATAAAAGCACTGCATGGAAAGACATTATATGTTCAACTCAGTTAAGATCCTGGATACAGCTGACCTCTACTATCCCTAATTTATACTGCATTTTTCCCAGTAGTGACAATTTGTGCACAGGCATCAATAAACCTCCTGTTAAACATGGAACCTGGGCTCTGATATGTGCATTTTTAACTTTTTTCCCCCGTATAAATAAGGGTGTTCATTGGTACACTTGAATGAGTCAAGAATATGGCAGAAGTTCCCCCCACACCCTCTTTGCAGCTAGCCAGGGTTTCTTTGCAGTGCACAGATGTGTGCATTGGTAGCATACCGCTTGTGCATTACAACCGATTTCTGTGGGAATCTGCATAAAAAGCTCGCTTTTATCGCCCCCCTCGCACTCCTTGGTTCGCTCCAACATGTCTTCCACATGTCACATAAGTCGTCACGACTGCTGCCTTTTCTGGTTGGTTTGCGGACGAGGTGTTTCATTTTTGCATCGTTTTATACGTTCTCTTGTTTCCCAAACACAAATTTCACAGATCGCTGGGGTGGTCCAGTTGCGCCATTTGTGCCATTTGGATAAATTCCCCCTTGCCTGCGCCTTGCTGCGCCCAAAGGAAAAGATGGCACCAAAGCGAACAAAGCTGCGAACGAATTGGCTTTTGGAAGAGTTTTCGTTTTCGTCCGGCGACTGTGGGAATCCACTGGTATTTCGCCATCACAATTCAATCCAGGTCTCTGGCTCTGCGGCATTGTTTCACAGTTTTCGCACCAATTTTACTGACATACCTTACGCGGCCTAGTTTTAACACTTTTAGTTGCAGTTCAAAGTGCACTACTGAAGATTAGCAAGCACAAGTAATTTTTTTTTCTGCATCAAAAACTGCAGCAATTTGTAACAAAGCCGTCCCGACCAAGCATTCTAACGAAATAGGAACCATGTGTGAACACAATCCTATAAAGCAAGGTCACACTTCTTAACATGAGCGCATGTTAAGAAGCGCGACATTTTAGGTATGGCACTTTAAATAGTCTCCCAGCACTCTGACAACTGCAGCTTTTTTCCACAGGCTAACTTCGAAAGAGGCATAACATTTCCTGACATAAAAGCTCGAAATTGTCTGCTCCAAAAGTGGAAAGCTCTGCTCCAAAACCTGTTGTTCCCTGCTACAAGAGCTGCTTCAAATTACCACTTGTCAGTTCCACCACTGTGCTAGGAGCTGCGGCTGACATGGTTGAGCACCTGGGCTGGCGCGATAAGCTCGGAAATTATGCTCCGTAATACTACAGGTCTGCCTTCTTTGGTCTTAATTGTAGGTTTCTATATAAATTTAAAAATCTGCATAAAAGCAAATGCGGATCTATATTTGAATAAATACGGAAAGCAAGGCTGTTCCCGTGCAGAGAGTTGAGTTTGGTAGGTTCATAAAGCTTGGGGACGTGTTAGCGGATATGTTGGTATTTGGTGGAATTTAATGGAAATTATATTTGCAGGCTGAATAAACTAATGAGTGTAAAAGTGGGAGCGGAGGGAGGCTTTATCCCATCTGAAGTGTTGCAATATAATTTTTTTAACAATTATTTTACTACCAATTGTAAATGGAATCTACTCTGACTAGAAGCTTATTCCTGAAAAGGACGCTCCGTGTTCTTTTTGTGCCTTATGTACTATTATTACAAAAAGGTAATAAGTAATATGCTCTTGTATCTTAGGAACCCCCTCAAAAGTGAAATGTGAACTCGTCTAGCTATGCATTCTCTTTTTCATTTTAAAGTGATCTGTTAACACCAATACAATATTTTGCCTTCTACAGAACCTGCTACGGTCAAACGCCGCTCTTATCACCACATCTGCAGGTGTCTCAGTTTTTACAGCATAGCTGTTTATGGCTAGAGTTCCGTGGATTTTTCATGTGCGTCAACAATAACTACGCTTGCATCGCCGCGCGCGTACGCCTTCCCCGTATAAAAGATTCGAAGTAAATAACCAAAATAAACCGTTGACGAACGCGCGCGCATGAGGCCATTTGTTTTAGGTTTTTGTTTCAGAACAGTTACTGCTGCTGGCGCCTCACGCGCACGCCTTCCCCGTATAAAAGATTTAAAGTAAATGACCAAAATGAAGCGTTGACTAACGCGCGTGCAAGATGCCATTTGTTCTAGGCTTTTCATTTAGAACAGTTACTGTTGCAGACGCCGGCACGTGCGGCGCGTGGAACGCCATTCCCTGCATTCTCCTTGATGCTTAGGTAACTTAGCAATAGGTATAGTCAGTAGATTAGTTATCAATAGGCACCATTTTCAATATCAGTAGACTCTCCGGTGGATAATAAAGGTTTCTCAAAGATTTGCCGCTGTGTGACCCGCGTCGGCCATGTCTATGGTCGCACCGCCCTCTCTTTGTCGTCGTTCCAAGCGCTTGCGTGCCTAGTTTCCTTCCGCTCTTCCAGGGTGGCGGTCCCGTCGCGCGTGTCTACTTTCCGCCGTGGTGGCTGTCCCGTCGCACGTGTCTACTTTCCTACGGCTCCTCGGGCGGCGATAGTCCACGCGAAATAATGACCACCGATTAAGACAGCAATAAATGTGTGTGCGTACCTTTCGTCACGATGACCACCGATCAAGATAGTAAATGTGTTCGTACCTTTGCTCAAAATTCTGTTACGTCTGTGTCGGTTCAATCATCATCATATTTTCGATTATTTCTTCTTCGGAGACCACCATACGATTATGAAAAATGCCCGGGATAAATTCAGTGGCTCTTGATTCTCGCGAATATGATGATACCGTGTTTCTATTAGCGGCGAGATGTTTTGGTGGCACCCTCCTATGGTTTCCTCTCGTGACGTCATTACCTAGCGAATATAAGTTCGACAGTGTTTGTAATTAGCATGGTGGAAGCTGAAAATCAATGCTCTCTGAAACAAACACTGCCAGTACCGTCAAAACTGAAGTTCTTAGATTACTCTTATTTCTGTCGATGAGAAAACCTTTGCTGACGTCATAGTCAGCATTCGGTCAATTGTGGAAGGCCGACTGTAGCGACGCTTTCGTAACGAGACAAACAATGTATTTCTGGAGCACAACGAGCATGTACCACGTGCCAGAAAGCGTCGTACCGCGTTTCACGCGGCGCCGTGTGCTCCCAGAACACTTCTCATTGGATACATTTCGCTTATTGTGCATTAATAAGACACATGAAAACGCCAGGGCCCGTTTGCTGGAAGCTAGCTGGAAGCGCGGTTAAACGCTAACCGCGCTTAAAGTTAGCAGCAGTACCTAGGAGAGGAATTTTGAAATCACGTGACCGGCTTGGTAGGGATGCGGGGAAACATGGCGGCGCCTCGGTGAGTGAGCGCCGCTCGCTTTGGAACTAATATGTCGTTGTAGCTGCAATATCGGGCGCGTTAGTCAGCTATGAATGGTGCAGGAGGCTTTCGCTTTGCCTTACCTCACTTAAATCGCAAAGCATGAGCAATGACCTCGCCGCCTCTTTTAGATAGTCTTTTGATTCTGGCCATTCCCAAGTCTAAATGAACGCGATAATTGTCGGCATGGCAACGTCTTTGGAAGGTGGATTGCCTTGACTCAATCGACCGGGTATTGATAGCACACAGCGTCCCAATAGACCTTTTTCTAAATTTACCAAGCACCGAGGTCGAGGTGCATGCTACGAGTGTAGTTACACGCGTTGCACGTGCTGGCGTCTGCAGTAGTAATTGTTCTAAAGCAAAAAGTCTACAACAGATTTTGCCTTGCACGCGCGTTCGTCAAAGCGTTATTATGATTATTTACTTCGAATATTTTATAAGAGTAGGGCCAGCGCGTGCGGACCGTAGAATTACACTTCCAGCGTTCTCCTCGATACTTGGGTAATTTACGGATAGGTCTATTCTCGCTGGAGCTGAATTACAGTTTTTTTTTTTTTTTAATTTATGATGGTGTTATATACAGTTCTTATGCATGCTGGCCAACCATGCTGCTGGTCTACCGACCGCCTCAGTTCAGTTCAGAAAGCGTTTATTGGCCTTTGGGGGAGGGAGAATGGGGCTGAGATCGGTGGCTTACAAGCCTGGATCTATGGCCAAGGGAAGGGGTTGAGGGGGGTTAAAGATAGGCGGTGAGCCCCGCATCGTGGATGAAATCCACGAGCGTGGTCATAACCGCCCGACGTTTGTCGGGAGGGCCCTGAGGACCGACCGCCTTTCACTGCTCACTTCTTCCTCATCGTTTCTAGGACTGAACTTCGCCGTCCCCTTTTGTAGAGGTTTGTCCCGAGTTCATTACAGCCGAGCATTTAGAAATTTTCCAAACAAGGGTGAATTTAGTTTTACCTTACCCAATATTTGTACCACGAGCAACAACAAAAAAAATTGTCTGCTCAAATGTATGCCGCGCTGCGTCGCGAGAACCCGGTAGCACGCGTTGTTGGGTCCCCCCTTTTCGGGAACGTTTTCTATGGAAGCCACTTCGCATAAAACACGGAGCTATCGCTCATCCATCCCTCGTCAAACTTGGCTAGGTACTTCAGGTACCTAGTAGGGAAGGGCGGTTAAGTTTTAACCGCGGTTAAAGTTAACCGGCTTCGAGCAAACGGGCCCTGAAGACAAACACCAACGCGATCGCGAACGTGGAAACTGCGTACGCCGCAGCCATTTTGTCAAACGAAGCGACGGGGCCATGCCTGGCTCCCCGCATCCCTATACCGAGCCAGTCACGTGATTTCAAAATTCCTCTCCTAGGTACTGCGGCTAACTTCAGCGTCGGTTAGCGCTTAACCGCACTTCGAGCAAGCGGGCTCAGAAAGCCAAGGTGGAGTGGCGGTGTGCTACCGAAACACCACGGATTACTGGAAGGAAGAAATCGAACAGGCCCGAGCAAAAACTTTAAAGTGGGAGGGCCGCGACCTGTCAATGTTTGGCCGTTCAGCAGTTTCTAGCATGTTTATTGTCGCAAAAATCTGGTACGTCCTCCGGATGATGTGGATGTCGAAGGCCAGCATCCAGAAGCTGCACTGAGTGCGGTCTTTGTTTGTGGCCCGGGATGGGAATGTATGAGCCGTACAAATTTGTTTCGCGCCGTCCAAAGTGATGG